TGCCTCCACTAGAAAAACAAAGGAGGGGTGGGCCCGGTCCAATTCTCTTGCATCTGCGAGCGAGGGGGTGGAAGCGTCTCTGTGCATGTTGGATCTTGGGCCATTTTTTTTGCGAGGGATGGGGTGGATAGAATAGATAAATTGGAGCAACGGCAAGGAAAAGGGAAAGGGATAGGGAAAATCCATTGGGAACCCCAGAAAGGAAACAAACATACACGTACTGTACACAGACGCGCGCGCAAGCAAACACATATACACAAGCAACGAACACGTAAACAGATAATGCATTCCATTCTTCAACGGATCTGCTACTTCTTTATTTGGACATATTATGGATGAACACCGTCTCCTCCATCGCCTCCTCCTCTTCTTCATCATTTGTCGTCTTCACTTTTCCTCATATGCCATGCAATGCCATGCTATGCCATGCCTTCTGCCCAAATGTCGCGCGCGCCAAGGGGGTCAATGATAGGTTCCGATAGAAAGGAATGAAAAAAAGGATGGGGACGGAAATGGGATGGCATGGAATGAGATGGGATGCAAGAATTACCCGGAGCAATAATGCCTCCCTCTCGTCCTCTCTCCCTTCCTCCTTTCCTTCTCGCTCCTCTCTCTCTCTCCTTTGCCCTCTCCCTCTCTGTCCTTTGTCACACAGAGAGACGCCCCTCTCACACACGGTAGTTGTCATCCGTCCTTGTTTATCATCAATCAAACATATCATTGCTAACGGTAAACCCTTTTTTTTTCCGGTGTCTTTCCTTTCTCCTGACATCCTGACAATCCCGTTTCTAATGTTGTTACCTTACCTTTCTACCTGTCCGTTTTTTTTGCTCTTTGTTTTGGGAGATGGATCCATCTGTGTCCGTTAGTAATGAATGCCGTTGACCGTTTATGTTCGCGTGCTCTGAAGGGATTAGTAATTAGATAAACTAAAGCTATTTTGAGGGTCTTGCTGTGGATGAATCGCTTTTGATCGTAGACAAAAGGCAACGTTAATTCTCACTCTCGCTAACTATTTAGTTCCATTTCTTTCTTGTCCTCTTGTCCTCTTGTCCTAAGTCAATTTTGATTGTCCATTTTATTTTCAATCGAATGGGTGGGGGTGGGCTATGATAGACATCTCGCCTGCAGAGTAAAGTGGAGAGAACGCGACGTTTGTAGATTAGGAGTCCAAGAATAGGTTTCTGTGCGAGTATGACGAGAGGAGGGGTAGAGTTAGATGTTTCAAAGCACTCTTAATTTTCTCACTTCTCTACACCTTGTCAAGGCAACACGTAAACTGGACGATACCACCCCTTCACGCGTGTCCACCAGTTTTTTTATTATTTTTATTTTATTTGATCAGAAACGCGTAACCTGACCCTCTTTGTCTCTGTATGATCCGTACCAGACCCCCTCCTCTCCACTTTGTGTTTCTTACATGCCCTTCGCCGCCTTCTCCTTCCCCTTCCCTACTCATGTATGTTACTGTTGGTGTCCTAATGGTAATGAACCCTCAGAATCAAGTTTATGCAAAATAAAGGCATCTTCCGAAACGAACACTGTTTTTATTTTCTGTTCATTCTTGTTTATAGTTCATTTCATGGCAGTACTTGTTTGTTTACTTTGTTCCATTAGTTTGTTCAAAAAAAACCAAGTGCTCTCGATCTCTCTATTCTGTTTTTTTTCCGTTTGTTGATAATGTCTGGGGCTGATGCGTAACACCGCACCGTGCGTCCCCTCTCTCCCCCACTCCTTCGCTTACCGCGCTCATTCTATCCTTTTTTTCTTTGTTCATTTTTTCATAACGTCTAATGGGGGAGAGAGAGGAGGGGGGCAAAGAAAGGGGGAAGAAAGAGTAATATAAACGATAGAGAGACAGAAAGAGAAAGAGAAAGAGAGAGGCAAGCAGATCTATTTCGCGTTTTGCCTCATGTCTGCAAAAAAAGAAGAAAAAGATAAGGCATGGGAGGAAAGTAGGAGTCGACAAAAGAAAGCATTCCAATTTGGATCTTCGGGATAAGCTCTTCCCCTTCTTTTCCTTTCCCCTTCTTTTTTGTAGCTGGCGAGAGAGATTGGCCTTGGAGTCGAGGGCTGGATTTGAGAATGAAAGGGATAAGGAAGAGAGAGTGGGTGAGCTAGTGAGAGCTAGAGAGAGAGAGAGAGAGAGAGAGAGAGAGAGAGAGAGAGAGGGTGGAAAAAGCGAGGGGTGCTGCACGACAGCGTGCGTTATACATAGCATTCTCTTTCTCCCATTCCCTTCTTTCGTCTTCTCCTCTTCCTCCTCCTCTTCCTCCTCCTCCTCTTCTTCCTCCTCCTTGATTTCGATTTGACCTTCAAGGGACCGGATGGGTAATGTAACAAGCTGGCTAGATGTACATACATCGACTTGCTTTGGAGACTGAGTGATGGTGTACTGGGGACCTTATTGAGGTGCAAAATTTTAGCGTGTTTGTTGGACATGAAGGTGCGCGGTTGAGTGGGTGAACTGGAAAGGGAGGAGTCGTTTGATTGACTGTCAGAACGCGTTGATGTTGGTAGTACATTTCTCAAATAGCCAAAAATGATAACAAAGCGCATTGACGACAAATGGCTCGTTTTGAAGGGCAGAAAAAAAAAGGCAATGCATAAGGAGTGCCGAATTGCATTAGTGAAGCCGCATTCACCCCTCTCTCATTGCCTCTCATTCGTTCTTCCCATTTATCCGCCATTCAAGCAACGCCTTCACTCGCACTCCATCTCTTCCTTACGGTTGACTTCTCTTTGAAAACAACAACAATCTACTTCAATAATAAATATCGAAAGTGATCCGTGCTTCGTCCCATTGGATTTCTTCGTTAGCTTTTTGACAGGTGCAACTTTTTTTGCGACACGTCTACTTGTCTTTTTTTTGTTTTTGTTTTTGTTTTGACTACTCTTACCGCGTTGTTTCGTTTCCTCGGTGAAGTTGTTTATTTGTTTTTGGTCGTTCGCGTTCTGCCATTTGTTTGTTTGCTTGTTTATTTATTTGTTTGTTTGTTGTCACCCATACCCAGAACCCGACTCTCCTGTAAAATTTCCGTGCTGTCCACCCTCTCCCATGTGTGGTTGCATTCCTGGTGCCTTCCGCCTCGTCATACTCTTCCTTAGCCCTCGTCTTTCATGCCCCCTCTCGATTCTTGGCCACTCTCCCTCCCCTGCTGGTCCAGTTCCTCAAAATCTGTCCGATCCTACCCTCTCGCATGCGAGTCCTCTGTTACACCAGAAATGAACACTACGAACAACGTACTGCGCTAGGCCTTGTCCATGGAGGAAGCAAATAAAAACAACCTTGGTGGATCTCGAACCTTCTGTGAAAAGAAAGGCGAAGGAGGCTCTGGATTTTTTTTTTTTGGTGCATCGCCTTCATATCTCCCTCCTTCTCTCCTCGTCTTCTTCCACCACTTTTATTTTCGCATGGTTGTAACAGACTGTCAATGTATTGTACATATTTGAGGGCGTTTTGTTCCACAAGGAATGAAATATGCAGGCCAGTTTAAAAAAAGCACGAGGAGGATGATCTAGGCATTATGGTGGTGGTTTCTTTTCAAGTGAAAAAAGGAAGTCAAAACGGCAAGAGTAGGATAAAAGAAAATTTATCCCCGCACATATCTAGGTGTTTCTGGGTGCTAATTCATTCGTTTTTTACGCGTTGACGCCAGTTTTCATTCAATGGCCATGTTGGTGCCTTTGCCCTCATAACTTTGAATTACCCCCGTGATTTTGCTTTTTTATCTTTCGACGCCTTCCTCTCCTCGTATTTACTTTCTCATCGATATTAGAAATGTATTCTAGAGGAATAGACGGAGAGAATAACGGAACGAGAGCAGAGTGCCCCTCCTTGATGGATATTCAACCCACAGATCCAGTCGTACACACAATCAACCCTCGCCTTGCTATTCTCCATTGCCTTTTTTATGTTTGTAGGTGTACTACACCGATTCGGACTCTGAAGCTCGTGTCCGTCAATCTCCAAAACGACTCTTTCTCTCCTCTCTCTCCTCTCTCTCACACACTTTCTTTTCTCGGCTTGATGGGGATCCTTTTCTCCCCCTTCTTTAATTATCCTGGCAAGGCGATACGCATGGGAAAGAGAGCCAAGAGAGTCGATGGAAGGAAAGAATGATAATTTCCTTCGGCATAATATTTCAATCGTGCTTTAACCTGTCTTTATGCAAAGAAAAGTGAATGAAGAGCAGAGTAAGAAGGAGGAACACGGTGTGTTTGGTCTGGATCCCATTTATTATATGTATTATTTTAACTTACTTTCTCTGCTTTGCATTTGAAAACGACGTCATACTCGGGCCTGTTGCCATATTGGTTGTTTTCCTCAATGTATGCATATCCCTGACCGTTGAGGTTGCTGTTGAAATGAGCCTGTCTGACCGTCCCCGTCCTTCTCTGTCTCCGTGGATTTTTTTTGGACGGACATGGACACAAACAACAGCGCACAAATTAACATTCTTTGAGGATGGACTGCAGAGACTGAGACCTTGATAAGATGAATGCGATTGGGGATCCACTTTTTATGGAGAGTATGTTTTCCCTAGACCCCTTTTGTTTCTACACTATCCTGGCAGCTTATTGACAACCTAGTTTGACTGCTGCCGGAGATTCTTTTGAGATGTGAGATCGGAGAGAGGGAGGGAGAGGGAGAGGAGGAGAGAGAGAGATCGAGGAGCACTATATGTTTATCTCGATAACATGCACGCAAGATACGTACGTGAAAGGATGGCACAGGGGGCGACGTGATGAAGACGCGCTGAGACCGATAGAATTGGTTCTCTATCAGACCATCACTCTTCTATGCTATTGATCAAACCAGGCCGCGTAATAACAGAGTGACTCAGTGACTGCTGACTTGATCTAAGCCACAGTAAACACTCCGCCCCTTCCTCCAACACGATCACTCTTGCATCCCCGAAGCTGTCTCCCCTTTGTCCATGAACCATTAGCACCACCGCTTGTCAGGAACAACCAACATCCCAACACATCCGACCATAATGTTCAAGCTCACACTCCAGGGCAAGGCCGCCTCCGCTGCCGCACCAGCATTGGCCCGTGGCTACGCCACCAATGTTACTCGCACAATGTTCCCTCGCCATTACCGTCTCCGCCACAAAGTCCAGTCCGAGCAGGATGCAACCCCCCTCAAGGACGGCTCACTCTTCATCCGTCGCCCCACCGCCGGTCCCACAACCTCGATCCTCTCGTCTGCACACCCCTCCCCAGCATCCGTCTCCTCAAGGACAACCTCCACCCCTCTCTCCCACCCCGACCTGCCCCCTGCCCTCAAAACCGCCACCACAGGAACCACAGGAAAGTCTGCAGTTGGAGCAAAGCCTGAGTTCGCAAAGTTGTCCGAGGAGCAGATTGCAGAGATGAAGGCGCTGAGGCTGGAAAACCCTGCCAAGTACACCCGCTCGTACTTGGCCAAGAAGTACAACGTCAGTGATTTGTTTGTCAAGTGCTACATCCCTGCCTCAAAACAGGTCCAGATCGCACGGATCAAGGCTCAGCAGCGGTCGTTTGACAAGAAGGGTTGGAAGGCTCAGGAGATTGTTGTCCAGCGCCAGAAGCGTCGTGAGCTCTGGTAAGCAATAGATCGGAAGGCGCGGGCGGATGAACCGAGAGCAAGTACGCGAGATCACAGGACAAGGATACCGGTACGGGAACTGATGCCGTACCTGTCTGTCAGTCAGTCAGCACCTACAGTCCTTCCCTCTGCCTACAGCCAACCATCCAACCAACACCAACACAAGCAGCACCAAACCAAACCATACCACTTTCACTCATCACCCCTTTCACCTCAACTCATCATATGGGAACGTGGAGCGCAACGGATCAATCCCACAACCCGCCATGGCGTCTCAACACATCATTTTTTTTCGGGATATTAGCATAGAAACAACACGCACATGGGATTAAACAAATAGCAACACCAATCGACCTCCCACTAAGTTGTTCATGCGGAATGTTTTTTGTTGGCATTTTTTATGTTGCGTCTTGGGTGTTGCGATCACATTTGCCATGTTCATTTCGTTGAGGGGATTACGACTATGAGCGACTCTAAAGAATTCCTTTGAAGTCGCGCGGTAAGTTGAGAAAAGAAAGTAAAGGAATAGCAACAAGAAAGAGGGAAACAAATCACGCCATCAAAAGGCTCGTGCAAAAAAAAACAAGGGAGTAAGACGTGGTTATTTTTCTGCGTCTCACCATCGCACATCGTCGCGTCGTCTCGTTCATCCTTTGCTGCCGCCGTATAGAAAGATCTATATGATAAAGAGAAATGGACATTGAAATACCACATAAAAAGAAGAGGCACTAAAACATTATTGGCCCAAAACCACCCTTCCCACATCAAGACCTTATTTTCGCCTATAATTTCCTCGACCCACAAGTCAGCTACCTTCGTTGCCACCGTCACGATGATGACTGCCTTCGGATAATAAAAGAACTGACGCGTTTCTACAACCCCTTCCTTCAATGTGATCTCACCCTTCTTGCATAGCCCATCCAACGGGTATCCCATAATTCCTCCTATTCGCTTCCCAACGATGAAAGACAATGCCAATAATATCAGGGGCAGTTGGCCGCTGCTACGGCTGCCCAGTGCGCCCCTGAACGCGGTCCCACGAGCCTGTGGATAACGTAATTGGAAGTACCAGGGCCGCTGTAAAGCGACTACCCTCTTTAGTCCAAGAGGTCACAGAGCAGGGTCAAGGCTGCAAAGTGGGGTCTCTTGCACCCTAGGAAGGGCAGACATGAGCGCTCTCCAGAGGATTCCGAAATACCTAGCGGAACTACGTTGCTTTTGTCAAGAGAACAAAAGCGAAACCAAAGACATACCCTTATCACCCTCGTACGGACCACGCATCCAAGAAACAGTACCGACAAAGTGTTGGCGAATAGTCCTCGTGAAAAGAAAGAAAGCTGTGCCTTTGATCAATTGTTAACGTCCTTGCACTTTCCTTTTGATCGAACAGGTTGTTTAAGAAAGATGGGCCTAAAAAGAGTCCAAGTTTAAGCAAGAAAAATACAACTGAAAAATGTGTTAGAAAGGCCGACTTTCTAGAGAGTGCATAGTCCATCCAACGGATTTCCCGCAATTCTTCCTATTCGCTTCCCAACGATGAAGGGCAATGACAATAAATATCAAAGGCAGTTGACCCCTGCTACAGCTGCCCAGTGCACCTCCGCACTCGCTCCCTAGTGCCTGTGGATAACGTAATTGGAAGTATCAGGGCCGCTGGAAAGCGACTACCCTCTTTAGTCCGAGAGGTCATAGAGCAGGGTCAAGGCTGCAAAGTGGGGTCTCTTGCACCCTAGGAAGGGCAGACATGAGCGCTTTCTAGAGGATTCCGAAATACCTAGCGGAACTACGTTGCTTTTGTCAAGAGGACAAAAGCAAGATCACAGGTACAAAACCGAGGGGTACTCCTACGAATGATGCATCCAAGAAACGGTACCAACAAAGTGTTGGCGAATAGTCCATGTGAGAGTTTCCTTGAAGGGAAGCCGATGGCGACGTTTTTTTGCACTTTCCTTGAGAAAATCTGGAAGACCGAGAACATCAAATGCCGGCTCCTGAGTTTGGTCTTGGATCGCGCAGAAGATCGAGTCGAATCGGAGTGGTTGAAGGCAGAGCAAACACAAGAAAGGCGCACGAGATGTGTGATGGGTTGTGTGTGTGAAAGGAAGATGGGAATAAGTTCATATGACTGATGGTGGCTGGCCTGGTGGCTGAGACTATTAAGCCCTGAAACTGATAGGCTAAAGCTGGCTCAAATATCACCAGCCTGTCTCAAACCTGGAGCTATCAATGGTGATGGTGCCTGGCAAACCTGTTCCTGGATTCAGAAACCGACATCCATTCACTTTTATCAACGTTCATCGTTGCCAATTTGAACCGCTCGTTTTGTTGCCCTCATCGTCGCACCATGGCACCATCGACCTTAGGTCCTTAGGTCTCCCACACGTTTCGGTGGCGGCGGCGGCTTGCACATTCATTCACCGCAGCTGAGTCTCAGCGTCTATTTAACGTCAGTTGAGAGCAAAGGTTGGCCAAAGCACATCATTTATTAAGACACAGACGACACAAAGTTCATTCAAACTCAAACTGATTCCTCCAACTCCCATGACTTTGACAACTTTGACAATGGACTCGCGCAACAATCACGTCCTTGGCTTATCAGTTTCAGGGCTTAATAGCCTCAGCCACCACGCTAGCCACCATCAGTCATATGAACTTAATCCCATCTTCCTTTCACACACACAATCCATCACACATCTCGTGCGCCATTACTCCTTTCCTGTGTTTGCTCTGTCTTCAACCACTCCGATTCGACTCGATCTTCTGCGCGATCCAAGACCAAACTCAGGAGCCGGCATTTGATGTTCTCGGTCTTCCAGATTTTCTCAAGGAAAGTGCAAAAAAACGTCGCCATCGGCTTCCCTTCAAGGAAACTCTCACATGGACTATTCGCCAACACTTTGTTGGTACCGTTTCTTGGATGCATCATTCGTAGGAGTACCCCTCGGTTTTGTACCTGTGATCTTGCTTTTGTCCTCTTGACAAAAGCAACGTAGTTCCGCTAGGTATTTCGGAATCCTCTAGAAAGCGCTCATGTCTGCCCTTCCTAGGGTGCAAGAGACCCCACTTTGCAGCCTTGACCCTGCTCTGTGGACTTTTACGCTACTGAGGGTGGTTGGTTTCTAAGTGTTCTTGGTGCTTATAATTCCGTTATCCACTGGTACTGGAGACCGTGTTTGGAGGTGTACCGGGAGGCGTAGCGGTCGGTTAACTGCCGTTGATGGTTTATATGTCTTTGTCGCTCAATGTTGGAAGCAATGGGGTGATGGATAAGAGGAACGTAGGCTGGAGATGAGTTTATGTGCTTTCGAAGGGTCGATCCCTCTAGTCTACGTGGTCCATATTTTCTTTACTGTTCTAGTTGCCTAGATTGCCTTGTCCTTGGCTGTTCATAGCGATGGTATTGGCAGACGCGAGGATAATTAGCATATCAAATAAAGGTACTACCCATTTTTTTTACTGCAACTCCATTACCTTCTTGGTGTCCGCGGGGCTCACAACTAATCTCCATCAGAACCAACAATGAAACGCATCCAAAGCACGCGACCACATACTCAGGGGCGGGTGTTAGATACAGTTTTTACCATCACCTTTTGTTTCACTTTTACCTCCTAGAATGTTATCGCAATCATAGATGTTTTATCTAATGTGGATCCACTTCGGGATTTTCTGTCGCAGGAAGTCGCCCTAATCACTAGAATCAAGTGATTGCTAACAACATGATCCCCCCCCCCTCTCTCTCTCTCTTGCCACTGTTCGATTGCGATCGGAGCTCCTTACAGGGGGAAAAAAAGAAGGAATCATCTTTAAGAAACGCGCCCAGGAGGATACTTCCAGTCGAAAGTGTTCATTTGTTGGGATTCCGTCAAAACGCTATCAATTTGAGAGGCCGCGCCTGGTATCCCAGTTTTATTTTGCTACCAAAAAAAAAGATCATTATAAATAGAAGGCAGATCAAAAGTTTCGAAGCCAACAATGAGAACGGCCAAGTCACGACTGAGGATTCATAGGAACAAAACGTCACTCGACAAACTCAAAGGACTAGCTAGGCGCCTGAGTATTGGCCATCATGCTTATTACCCTTGCCGAACAACACTCAAGGGACCAGATATACCGACTGACAATTATTTTCTTCGCCTTTTCCGCTTACACCTTTATACCATATCGTGTGTTCGAAGGCTTGTATTACCCAGTACGTAATGCAAGAGCAATAAACGCCAAAAGCAATTGAACATCATCTAACGATAGAGCGTGTTTTTGTGGTGCCAACAAGGGTCCTCTTACCCTCTCGTAGTGCGTTTTCGGTTCGTCCCCTTGCAAAGCAACGACCGTTCCTGTCAGCGAGTAGATGGACGTCTCTTTGCCCCGGAAGAAAGAAATGAGACAGTGGAGAGCTTTCTTGGTGATCGTAGACGTAGCTGGTTTATTACTCTAGCGATTTTTCCATTTTGAGTCACCACTACCGTCCACTTCGACGCGTCCTGAAGTATGGAGTTGAGAGATGCACATACAGCAGACGGTATACCTTCTTCTGAGGTCTGGGTCCATCTCTTTTCTCAAAGGTACGGGAAGCTGTCGACCTTGCTTTCGAAAGGACAAAAGTCCAGTGTCTGAGCGCCATTTTTAACTCAACAGATGCACACCGGTCAAATTGCAACGGACGAGACCTCGCTCCTCCTCCTTCCCCATTCCTTCTCGAATATCGTTCGTCCTATCATTTCGTTTTGCTTATTTCTTCTTCTATTCACTCTTTGTCGATTCCTCTCTTCCTCTCCATCCTCGCACCACCATTTTTTTTCTGACCATTACTGTTCAGAACAAGGCCGCACGTCGCTTGATTACCAAGGCAGCCGCCGCTATTTTACTCTTGGCCCCATTCCTGGTTGTCCAAACCTACGGACAGCAGGACCCGACCTGTGTCACTACCTACGACCCACCGAAGACTGCTTCCCTGACAAGTCCTAGGGTAACCCTCTGCAAATGCCATCCTCTTCCGATGACAGAAGACAAAACCAAAAATATATTTATGATCCAACCAAACACCTCTCCGTCACCTCTCAACCACGTAACTAGTCGACGGTGGCGCATTGTTCAGCATCACCTGCAACCTAAACTACAACGTTCTCAAATCACCTCCATTAACACAACCTACATCCTTACTCAATGCGGGGACCCCCACCCCAAACACAACCATCATTCCTCGAACAAACACCACCATCGCTATTCAAATCCCCGTCACCAACCTTGCCTCCATCGCCATCACCATCGCCGCTGTCTCTTATATCGAGATGCTTGGGAAACAGGCTGCCATCAAGGGTGTTGATACTGAGGGGTTGGTTTCCTCCCCATGTGTTCAGGCGGGATTGGAGAAGGACAGATTGAAGGGCTGGAGGACTCGAAAAGTACGTTAAGTGTTGAACAGATGAATAAGGTCAATGTTATAGTTCGTATGGTGTTGAGCCTGCGCGGAGAACAAGACGGCGATTACTTCTGATGTTGAGGTAGTCTTTTTCCAACTTTTTTGCTTTCAGAAATGTGGGCCCAGGCGAATCGTTCCCACTAACAAAACGCGCTCAAAACACTAACACTCAAACCCATACCTGTTTTTTCATCTCACTCCGCATACATCCCGTCTCCAGAACGCAGAATGACTCGAGTTCTACTCAACGATCTTCAATGCCGAAAAAGACGCCCAAACTCCCACAGTCTCAATCAAGAACAATTACAACTGCTATAAATCCGCCGCGACAACAAAAACAAACACAAAACCAATCATCGCCTAGTCTCTATTCGACGCGCCTTCCCTTTGCACCAACCCTGCATCTTGGCTCCTCTCGGGTGCTCCTTACAAACGTGTCCTCTCCACTAATGCTGGTGCGACGTTCTTTAACGGGACTAATCCTTCTGCTTCCTCGACCCTCTAAATCCTAATTGACCCTCGTAGTCAATAGAAAGCGATAACTATTCCCAGTCCAATGGTCTGATTCAGCAATAATCTAAAGAGCATAAACTTCACCCGAGATACCGTCAAAAGCAATAGCCTCTCACTCCTTCACACACCTCCTTTACAGACGCATACCATACTAAAATCCACATCGCCACTCCTCCTCTTCCACCGCCGCAAGTCGCCCCTCTCGGTCCCTCCTCCTCCTCCTCGCTCTAGCTCTTGTCACTGTCACCTCCATCGTAGTCCAAGCCGCACCAGCTTCTCTTGTCCTTTCGGTCGACCTCAACCTCAAACCCGATTCCGATCCTGACGCCGACCCCCCACGCCGCCGACGACTTCAAAGAGAACGACAACAACCTGAGCCTCTCCTCTTTACTGCCTCTGGCTACCAAATACGATGATAATGTCATCAAAGGAACCACTACTCGAGTCGGTATTTCTAAACCTCTGCCAGCGGGAACACGTGCAAGGATGGAACTTGAGGTCAAGGCTGGGTATGTTATCAAGAAGGCCCCTTGCGTAGGTGGTGTAGGCTCATGTGAAGTAAAATTTCACAAAAAAAAGTAATAAAAATGGACGAGAGAGTGAGTTGGCATGGGACGGCAACGGCGTATTAGACCGCCGTCACCTTCTCAACGGTGACCAATTGGACATTAGTCATGGTGTAATTCGTAATTGTGCGGAGAGAGTGCAGCATGTTTTTTATGTGTCTAAAGAATTCATAAGATGGTCGGCACCTCATTTGGGGACAAGAAAAGGGAGATGGGGTCAAGTGCAATCAACATGACTATTACTACCTGGCAACTATTTAAAAAAGGATCAATCTCCTCTTCCTCAACACTTGACCTTCTTATCCACTACCTCCGCCTTCTCATCCTTCAGAAGAGGCCGGATCCTCCAGATTCCCAAAAGATAATTCATCCGGATAATCAACAGATCCAGAGCCATTTGAATCGAGTCCCTCATCAACGAGACCTTGGACCCATCAATCTCCTGCCATGCCACAGGAACTTCGGCAATCGGGATCCGGAGCTGTTGGGCAATCATGAGGACCTCGATATCAAAGACCCAGCCCTCAACATGCATGTTTGGAAAGATGGCCTGGGCGGCTTTGCGGCTGAAGAGCTTGAACCCACATTGGGTGTCCTCGATCCCGCGGCAGCCGAGGATGTAAACGACCTTGTGGAAGGAGTACATCAAAAAGTTACGAATGAATGAGCGCTATTCGTCATCATCATCAACAGGGCGAAGCGAAAAATGAGACAGTCAGTTGGGGGTGGCTTAATTATTTTTAGGAATTGCGTATATATATGAAATCCAAAAAAATAATAATGAAAGATTGAGGGACCCACCTTGACGACGGCATCGGTTTTAACCATGTGGGCTCTAGATCCGACAGCAACTCCCAATCCGTCCTGTTCAGTGGCCTTCAACTTGACCTGCAAGGCATCCAAGTCCGAGAACCGCGTCGCACCATCTGCATCGACCATTAAGATGTACTCTCCCCGCGTGTATTGCATTCCCTATTGCCAAATCATACATAACGGTTTTGTGAGTTTTCCAATTGAGCGGCGCCAGATCATTCGCAATAGAACTACCTCCATCCAAGAAAAAAGACGAGACAGTCCCGACAAAGATCATCGAATAGCTACCTGGATTACGGCACCACCCTTGCCACGGTTCTTTTCAAAGCTCAGAACACGAATATCCTGAATACCCTCCTCCTGAGCCATCTCCAAGGCAACTCGGACCGTCAGATCCTGCGAACCATCATCAACAATCAAGATCTCATAGCTAAAAGCTGAATCCTTGTGCGCCTTCTCCTTCAAGAAATCCAGAGTTTCCTTCATCATGACGGGCAACCGTTCCGATTCATTATAAGCGGGGACGACGACAGAGAGGGTTTTCGTGGGGGTGCCCTCGTCTGTCCGGGAGAGGGGCTTCAACTGGGCCTTGTACTTGTCAGATCGGGTAGAGCCTCCTGCAATCTTCTTGGTCTTCATGGCTCCTGGTGTTGGCGTTGCTGGTGTGATGGATTGTTGTTTGGCGAGTCGTTGCTGGTAGTCGTTCTCTTCCTTGATCAAGGAGGTGAGGTGGGTAAAGTCCTGGTAGCATCTCTCTGACGGTGTGGCTTCCCTTGGGTTGGGACTTATCATATAAAGTATGGAGAATGCCTATCTCATTCATTTTTCCAATAAAAGGCTGGTTAGCACGAAAAGCAAAGGTTGAATGGGAACTTGACATCCTTGCTTCTCCTCAACGACCTGTCCATCCAGAGTTCATGTTCATCCAACGTGTCCTCCCTGCTAAATCGCTTCTCATCGTCCCCTTTCATCTGTTCTGTTCACTCTTCCTTGAGTCATCCCTTTCCTGGTTCATCACAAGAACAGCAGCTGATCATCCTGGGTGTTCACCCCTGCTTCTCTGATTGTGCTGTCATCATGCGATGATTCCTGAACAGACCTGCTCTAACTCCCTTGTTTTGTCCCTATTATGGAAGAGACGAGACGAGAAAGTAAACACTTACGCAGAGGATACCCCCAAGTGCGATGGCGGAGAGGATGGCAGTCCAGGACATGATGTTGTTGTAACGGTCAGACTGAGTTGAGACGACGTGACGATGAATGAGACGATGTGGATGAAACGGTGAGAAGTGAGGAAAAGACGAGAAAAGAGAAGGTAAGAATTGAGTCGTTAAGTGAGTGTCGTGAAAGAAGGGAAGTAAGGAGGCGAGAGAGGGGAGTAGAAGGAGAAGAAAAGGAGAGGAAGTGGGGAAGGTATGAAAAGGACCAAAGGAAAAGAAAAGATGGAGGCATCCAGCCTGCCTGCCCAAATACAATGATCGCCTCTCCACAGAGACAATAGCCCAATCGACATAGATTCGATGGGCGCCTTTGTCAGTGTCCAAATCTAATGTCACTCAGGCACATACAAAACACAGAAACAAAGCAATTGAGCACTCGTCTCTTATTCTTTCATTGGTGCTCTCAAATAAACCATCGAAAGACACACCCCCTCCACTGTACCCACATACAAAAGCACCAATGGGCCAGTCGCAGTCGCCCACGCCAGTTTTGCAGCGCCTGACTGGCTTTCCAAACTAATGCTTTCAACGGCTGTGGTGATTTTTCTATGAAAAAAAAAACCACTCAGAACGTCCTTGTTGTTTGTGCGTTGGCACCAACATCAACAAATACCTGCACTAAAACATGTTTATATTAAGGAGAATGGAAAGGAAAGGGCTAGTAGTTGCGGTAGTTGGAACTTTGGTCGTTCCGGCGAGGACGCTGCGGCGTGCCTCCCCCTCCACCACTACCATTGTTGCCGTGCGTCGTCGAGTACGAATCGTTCCTATAATATCCGCCGTTATTGGTGTTACTGTTGTTGTACCCAGTACCGCTATGGTTGCTGTAATGGTTGCTGTCGAGGTCAGAGCCATGCTGCGAAGGCAAAGGTGACGCCGATCTAAGGTGCGAGTAGTCGTCATACTTGACGCCACTGCCTCCACTGTTTCCTCCACCACGCGGTGTCTGGGCGGCGTTGTAGTGGTTGTCGCGCGACTTTTGGGAATGAAGTTGGTCCTGGCTGCCGGTGCCCGAGTGTTGGTCATAAGCGTCTTCTGTCGTGAATGCCGATTCGGCATAAGGATCAAATCCACCATCGCCCTTACCACCACCACCACCGCCACGCTGCTGTTGGTAGTTGCCCTTGCTACTGCTGTTGTTGTAAACAGGTTTGGCCTGGAAATAGTCCTCGTTGCCATAGTTTTGGGTGTAACCGGCTTGTTGTGGGCTGGGGTTGTATCCTCCTGATGGTTGAGTGCTGTAGCCATAGTCGTAATCCTGCTGTTGGTGTCCATAGCCACCCTTGTTGTAGGGGTTTCGTGGAGGTGGCGCCGCAGGGGAGGGCGCTGAATCTATAATATCGACCTGGGGGAGAGTGGGCTTTCCCATGTAATCCAGGGCAATGTCCTTACCGCCCTTGGACTTTGCTGCGTTGGCTCTGTTCTTCGTGTTCTTCTTGATCAACTCTTCGATTCTAGATTGTCCGCCCAGCCCAAACACGATACATTACAAAAGCCATACATAAAGGGACAGGGAGGTATTAGTAAGAGCCCATCCGTGTTCAAAACGTTCTTTCTTGGAGTGGAACAGCAAAAAAAAACCGCAAGTTATTCGATCCTTTACCGCTTGTCGATCTTGTAGCAGCAGTACTCCTTGAGGTTGCCCTGAATATGGCTGACTAGAGGGATGTACATGCAAACGGCGGCGATGAAGGAGAGCATGTTGAAGACGAAGACTGTCACTGTGAACATCATGGCGCCGAGAGCGATCTTCTTGAAGAGATCTGAATCCTCGCTGCCGATATAAGAATTCCACTCGAAGAAGGTACTGTCGAAATGGTCCTTGAAAACCTGATAGAGCATTGTCATGTTGATGAGCTGACGAGGAGCATCGGCGAGTAATAAGCGTTTCCAGTCTATTTTACGATACCCACGTTTTGGTTGAGAGAAAAGAGGAGACGTTTGTTAGTAGACAGTCGTTTACACACTGCAACATACAAAGTCAATAACCAAAGAAAGACCAGTACTCACTTCTGAAGGTGAAGAAGACAAAGAAGGCGACGTTGTCGACAAACTTTTTGGAGCTGTCAATCTCGGCAAAGAAGCAGTAATGGGGGTAGGAGCGGACGGTATAGTACCGTGCTGCAATCTGGGAGGTGAAGGCATAGGAAATGTCCCTGGAAGCGATGATACCGTTGGCTCTGCGGATGTCGAGGGCAAGGAGAAGAAGGCCAAGCACGATACAGCCCGTGAAGAGGTACTTGTACACCTCCATGGACAGCTTAATGCCTCCGATACCCAAGTCGAGTTGCCCATCTCGATTTGGCTTAATGAAAGAGGTGGGGTTCTTGTTGGTCCACAAGTTGACGGCGGTGAAGATATCGGAGCAGTAGACAAGGATACCACGGATGATGATGAGGAAGACCATCATATAGCGAAACTGTCGCCAGCACGAGTTGTCGATAAAGTCATCGACGTTGATAAAGTCGAACTTGTGGTCCTGGACCTTTTCGCGCTTCCAGTGAGCACCCATTTTTTTTTGGCTGAGCTTTCTTTTTTGATGCTGGGGGAGAGAAGAGGGTAGTGAAAAAGTGAGCGGAGAGAAAAAGAAAGGGGCTGGGCGGAAGAAAGGTGATGTTCGTTTTTGCAAGGACCGTAATGCGAAAAGACGAAAGTGGTTGGTTGATAAAAGGGAGTTGGTGATGGGAACCCGAGGAGAGGGATGAGGAGCGAGTGAAAGAAGACGGAAGGTAGGACCCGGGATGGGACCAGACCAAATGGGAGGAGAGGTAAAGAGAGGAGGAGTGAGTATGCTTGTCTGAAGGGAAGAGACAAACAGGAGGACAGGAGGAGCAAAGGAAAAGGATGGAGGAAAAGGGGCGGGTAGGAAGAGGGATGGAGGAGAGGAAGAGAGGGAGTAGGGGAAGTAGGAAGGGAAGAAGGGAAGAGAGGCAAGGGAAAGGGCGGGAGGATGGGAATAGAAAAGAGAAAGGAAAGGAAGTGGAGGGGAAGAGTAGAGAGAACCACAAAAAAAAATGCCAACAACGGGCAGGGGCAGGGGGAGAATGGGAGGGAGGGGGGTTGAGGGCTGAGACTAAAAGCGACAAACACTGACGCCCGTTGGAGAGTTCAATTTTGATTGTTGAGCACACACATGGTCAGGTACCCATGAACCACTAGGCTAACAAAGAAGAAGTATTATTATTAATTGGGTTCCTCCGAGGGATTCGCACCAGTGGGTACATGTACATACTTCTTTCTGGCGGAGAGGAGGATGAGACCCTGGTAACAGAATAAGAGAGAGAGGCAGCCAGGATGGACGCCCTAAAGTAAAGAAGTGATGGTGGCGTATGTGTGTGAGTGAGATTGATAAAGAGTGGTGTGAAACCAAAAAAGTGTGATAACAGTAATAGACTGATATGACGCCCAGGGGTGATAATAAATGATGAATACTGTCTGGAGATGACAGCCTTTTGCCCTCGTGGACATGGGATGGAGTCGAAATAATAAAAAAAAAAAAAAAAAAGAGCACATAGGATTACTGTGCCTGCTCATTCCCCTTCCCCCTCACACACGTTTGCATGTCCATAGCGAACAAAATATTCGCATACCTATCCACTCTACATACAGAGACATTTCTGCGATAAAAACATAAAAATCATGGCTTACACTCTCTTATCGAACGGCATTCGATTGGGTACGTACGAGACAACTAATTACTGGAAATTGACAGGGGTCGAACACAAAACAAAATAAAAAAAACTCCTGCTTTTGCTTCAAAAGCAAAACAAACAAAAAAATCTTTTAGCCTCAACTCGAAGATAATAAAATGCGACTACAACTGCAAACACACCCTACTTTTTTCATACGACAAACGAAGCATTCGGAGAAGCGGAAACATCGAAAGGCAGAAAGTCTGCTTTGCTGAAGGCGAAATTTCTTTTCCTCCCTCCTCCTTCCTCCTCCTGCGTTTTGGTTCTCGGTATCCATGCTTTGATGCAGGTCATCAAGGTTCTTCGATGAGGTGTAAGGAACCATATTGCTCACCTCACTTCTCAGCTTCTCAGCTTCGGCGTCTTTGGTCAGCCAACTCTAATTAAAATGACAGGTACTCATTTGTCAAAAGAATCCTCCAGACCTAAGCCTTTTTTTGGTCATGTGACCGAACGCTCCAATATTTTTTCTCTGCAAGTTTTTTTTGGTGGCAACTTTCCACCTTCAGTTTCAATTGATACAGTACCAAAATACTAAACCCGGAACTGTAGGCTTTTTATTTTCTCCGACTTTTAACAGAGCCCCAACCCCTGCAACAAGTCTTTCGTCGCAGAGGGGCGCATTGTCCACCACTAGTCATCTCCAAGAATAACAGCCAGCGATGTTCCCTCTACTCCTCTTCTCATTTGGCTCACTCAAGACCCGCAATGACTACACTCACGGATTGACGCTCTTGACCCGCGGCATCTTCGGCTTCCCTAAAAGCCGAGAAAGCATTTTTCGCATTACAAACCGACGAAAAAGGAACGCGCAATTGGTTTTGTTACTGTTGTAAGCGGCATGAATTCCAAACCCCCCTTGTGTTGTATTGCACGGCCCTGGCCTGAACTGAACAGCCCTCTCCCTTCTATCAATTAGCGCACTACTCAAAATGCGCAGGTCGCCCCTCCCTTTTACGTCTTTCCTTAACGAAGCGAGGATAAAATAGGCGATGAATCTTATCATCTACTTTCGCTCTTTGGCTTGCGGTTCTCCTTCCCCTGAGCTGGGAAAAAGAATACGACGTTTTTCAGCATGAGGCAATATTCTTTTTTTATCGACGGAGAGACAGAGAGACGGAGTGGGTAGGTGCTCGAATCAAGGCTGGATAGGATGTCCGGTTGGCCGATTGCGATTGTGGATTTCCGTGTATCAAAAATAGATAGATGCTATTGAGCGGGGAAAGGAAAGACCAGGGAAGGGTAGGGAAGGAATGCCAGGTATAAATCGATTGCTGCGAAAAGGAACGCGAGTTTGGAAGACAGAAAGCGCAAAAAAAAAAACGCCACAGCCACAATAAGTTATCTTATTGTTCAGGAGCAATATTGGCGCGAGAAGGGGAAGGAAGGGAACAATGATCTCCCAGTCCCTGGCTGGTTTTTTGAGAGCTTGGGTGATGCGAGAAGAAGAATTTTCTTTCTAGAGTAGATTGCTAATGCCGCTGGGTTGCACAGGGACTGAGAGGTAGACAGGAATGATTAAACGAGAGATAGTATCCCCAAGAAAATGGCTAATATCTAGAGAACTAAGTAACGTATTAGGGTGTTGTTTACCGGGCCAAGGCGTGTAGCATTAACGAGCAGTAAGGAAGGTATGCGTTCTGCTGAGCTGCTATTGCGTGGGTGAGGGACCGAGGGTTCATTTGGTTCATATATGGGCAGGATGGCCTCCCCGAATGGACAGAAGGGGACAAAATAGGGATAGAGAGAACTGCTCACCCTCTCTGCTCGGTGTTGTTTGATCGGTGATTTCTTTTTGTTGTCGCTCGTTCCTTCCTTCGCTCCGAATGAAAATTATTTGTTTGGCTGAACTGGAAGTTGAAAAGCAGGGGTTGGCGGACAAGAGAGAGAAGGAGACAAGCAAGAGGGGCATTCGCAATTGAAGAATGTAGATGGTCGATACGGTATCGACAATCAAGAAGAGTGAGGGAGGATGCTGGGCAGGCATGTGTGAACAAGGAATGAAGGAAGCGAGTGAAAAATGGGCTGTCGAATTATTGAGTTGAGATTTCTTTTTCTCTCTGTCCCTGTGGTCCAGAAACCCGTTTTGACGGTTGTTGTGGCACTGTCCTCCTCTCCTTCCTGAGACACCTTTTCTGCGTCCTGTTCCTGCCCCTGTCCCTGGAAATAACCAACAGGCATTTCCAACCCGTCACACAATCACAATCGACCTCTCCATTCTTATTTATTTAACCGCAAAAAGGGCGCACCTTTCGTCTTTGCCCTTCCCTTTCTTTAACTTGGCTTTCCTTTCTTTTCTTTCCCCCTCTCTTTTCTTTTCTGCATTGCCTCATCCCTCTCATTTTTGATCATCTCCTCGTCCCCTCCTTGCGAACGAGCACCTCGTTCATTCCACTAAACCCCGACCGCCATTAGTCTTGCGCACCTCCGTCTCTCCTCCTTCTTCTCCTCCTGTTATTATTTCACTCCTTCCCTCTCCTCGCCCTTCCTCCCTTTCCCTTCCCTCCATCAACACACCCACCTTCATTCGTCATTCGTCACCAGTTAACAACAAACAAGCACACATAAACTAGAACAGAAGAATGAGACCCTCATTACGTCTGACCCTTGTCGTTGCTGTGGCCCTGATGGCTACTGCAGTTGTCTTTGCTCAGGAAGAGTCGCCCGCACCACAACCATCACTGGCTCCTTCTCCAACTCCAGTTACACCCACTACTACTACGGGCCCTGGGGTCACAGCCGAACCACAACCATCAGCAACGGCGCCTTTCTCTCCAAACATGCCACCCATCTATCCAGCAGAGCCTCTCTCCACTAGGGATAGCCCTTCTTTCCCCGATCCAGAATACGTCAAGTATGTCACTTTCTCTCTCACTCCTTGCCTTTGTTTTTTCATACGCCCCATTCATTTTGTCGACATATTATTGTGTCAGAGGATGAAACGCTGTGAGAGAATGAAGAAGTGCTTGTTACACATTGCGCTTGCTCCATGGATGATCAAGAGCAGTATCATCTTTGTCCTCTCGTTGGCAATCTTAGTCGATGGGGAATGGTGCAAATTGATGTCGATTGATACCTTATGGCATTTATGTTGAGCAAGACTGACAAACATTCATTTTCTCGTTGCCCTGTTAAATAGGCTGTTAGACTACATGTTTCTGTTCTACGAGGCACAACGGTCAGGAAAACTACCTGCGGATCAACGCGTTACTTGGGTAAGTTCTTCAATCATGACGAGTGTAAAGCATAGAGTGTGACCAATGACACCGTTTTCTTAATAGGAACCCTACCCATTTGCGTTTTGGCGTTTATCGTTTGGATGGGGCAGTATAAAATAATGGACTAGGCATGCCCTGCATCTTACAAAGACAAGAGGGGAGGGCAATAGATCAACACACACATATAGATTGGCACTGCAGTGTTTGTCTGTGAGGTGTTGTGAAGGGTTTGGTGCACAAGAAGCAAGCAAGGACAAAAAAAATGTCCGTTCTCCTCTAAAATTACGATTGTGTTGAGTTTGCGGGATTGTTTGGCTGAATACAGTATAGTTGCAATATGCTGTATGTGAGCCTTGGTCAGGGTCTGAGCCTGCAGCCTGAGCACAAACATTTGAAAGTGTATGGGTATCAAGATGTTATATGCTGGGTTGGAGGTTGGATATTTAAAACCATTTTGGCAACAGCCCCCTTTCCCTCCTTTCTCCCTCGTCTGAGACCGGCACATCTCTTTGCCGCGACCATTATTGTGTATAATTATTTACGCCTTCTTTTCCTTGCTTTTATTGTTTCAATCATGTAATAGCGTAATGACTCGGCCCTGAATGACGGCAAGGATTCCGGCGTGGATCTCTCTGGAGTAAGTCTCATGCAATCATGTCCCCATGGTAGTCTGGCAGCTGTTGCCAATCGACCTACAAGGGATGACACTCATGTTCACATATCGGTTGCTGACAGAAATCAACTTTCTCAACATCAACCAACGATAGGGATATTACGACGCGGGGGATTACATGAAGTTCATCTTCCCATTAACGTTTACAATGACAGAGACATGCTGGGGCGCATTGGAGTTCTGGGACGGATACCAACTCGCCAACCAAACACATTACCTTGACCAGATGGTTCGCTGGGGCATGGACTGGCTGATCAAGGCACATCCCAACGATAACACGCTCTATGTCCAAGTCGGATTAAACGAAGTCGACAACAACTACTGGGGTCCCGATTCCGGTATCCCTCTGCCCCGTACTTCATTCAAGGTCACCAACACCAGCCCAGGAACAGACGTCATGGCTGATGCTGCCGCCGCATTCGCGGCCTGCTCCATGCTCTATCGCGACAAACTCAAAGACACCACCTACGCCACCACACTCCAGACCCATGCGACGTCGCTTTTCAACGTCGCAGAGACGGCTCGACCTCAACAGGCTTATCAAAAGGTTGTACCTGCTGTCACATGCTGCTATGAATCCTCGGGATTCATAGATGAGCTAGCCTGGGGCGCCGCGTGGATGTACAAGCTGACACAGGATGCGTCTTTTGCGACTAAGGCTGACAACTATATCAGCCAACTCAACGCTGGCTCCGTCCAGATCAACACCATCACATGGGACGACAAGTCGTCAATGGTTTATGTCCTCATGGCCGGTGCGACCCCTCCAGCTCTTCGGACGAAGTGGCAAGGGTTTGCCCAAAAATATGCCGACTCTGTTGCCGCTGCCGACAAGCCCAACATGTTTACTGAAGGTGGGCTCTTTTACTCCAACGGCAACTCTCAACAGGACTCGTCGGTGGTGGCAGCCAACGCTGCGTTTGCTCTTCAGATCTTGGCCAACAACATGAACGCAACAGGCAACAGCGATCGGGACCGGATTGAGAAGTACTCAAAGTTTGCTTTGAGCCAAGTCGAGTACCTGTTGGGCGAGAACCCGGAGAGGACGCCCTATGTTGTCGGCGTTCACCCCAACTCGCCTGCCAACCCTCACTCTGCCCCTGCCTCGGGCGGTACCGACATTAACAACATCAACACCTCTCCCAGTGTGGAACGCTGGACGCTTTACGGTGCTCTTGTTGGAGGACCCGACAAGAATGATCGTTTCCTGGATGAGCGTGACAAATGGGAGCAAAGCGAGGCATGTGTTGCATTGGTGTTTTCGGAGGTGTGTCTAGAACGCGCTTTTGTTTGACAAGAAAATCATTTTTGCTAACTTCTCTCCATTTCTTAATATAGGTCGCATTGGATTATAATGCACCTTTCCAAGGGTTGATGGCCCACATGGTCTCGACAGCTACGTCCTCTCCTCCCTATGTGACCATCGTCGCTGGTCGTCCTGACCTGCCACCAATCTTGAACGGCATGGCTGTCTGGCAGATCATCCTCATTGTTGTCGGCTCGATTTTTGTCGCGGTCGCCATCGGAGCCTTCGTGTGTTATCGGAAGCGGGACCAAATCCGAGCCTGGGCTGCTGCCCGGAAACAACGGTCGGCAGAGAAGAGCATGCCCAAGTATGTCGTCAAGCGATCTGCTCCCCCAAGGAATCGTAACGATAGAGATGTTGAGGCCTTGGAGGTTGGTCACGGTCAAGGTCAACCTACTCTTCTTCAGGATGTTCACCGCGCTACGTAGTGCCTTTGGAAGTTTCCTTCTATCTCCCGCTGAGAATAACACATTTTTTTGAAGTAATGTATGTACATGTTCACAACATCACGACCTCCTCATTTCATTTTCCCAATTTCCTTTTTTCCCTCTCAACTATCTAGTCAAAACAAAGCACCTCATAATAACATTTTACTTTTGTAGTCATGTAAACATGCGGAGGGGTAGGATCTCGTAATCAAAAGGTGTCGCCATACGACTGGCCTACAGACAATGAATGATTCGCCACTTTTTTTTTTGAGCTTGTCTTCGTCTCCTTGACGTATTCAACTCACCCTCTTGTCGTTCGCTATGTCGATGATTGGTATTGTTCTTCTCTCATATACATGATTCCCACATGGAAGTTCTGCACATTCAAAGAGAGCAACATGATCCACGACGGGGAGGGGCGGGGGCGCTTGGTGTTGTTTTTGTACGCTCTGGTGTTTTGTTCAGGTGCTTATCCAAGCCAAGTCCCCCTTTCACATTCCCTTTTCGTTGCCGTGCCGATCCCTTAAAAATCTTCGTTGTCATCAATGCCCCTTTGCAAACACACACACCTCCCTCCTTCCTTATTTTCTGTCCTCCTTTGTTTTCCCCTCTTTAGTCCCGAGAGCCACGTACCAGATGGTGGCAGACTGGGGACGAAAATTAAATGGAGAAGAAGCACGATAATAAGTGCAGTATGTTCTGTTGTGGAGCGTTCATGGATTGACTGCACACCAAGAATTCCCAGCGAATTCGTTTTTACTAGGAGAAATAAAATGAGATGGGAGGGAGGCGAGAAGAAGGAATGACGAGAAGGGAGGGAGAAGAGGGAGTGATAGGGACACGAGGGTTTTTTTACGACATGTGGGCATTCATATATTGACTGTGCGTTTCTATCGCGATAGGGGATCGTCACGATCTTCGCCACTGATCAGAAGAAGTGAAACAATCAGGTGATATTTTATCGCGTAGCGCGTTTTGTTCTGCGCCACTGGCAGACGAAGAAAATGCGAGGCTGATAGACGAAGAGAGAACAATGGGATGAGGCGAGGATGAAAAAAGCATGCAAAATGTGGTGATATCATTCCCGAATCCTCTTCCCTTTGCAGCGCCCATCACCTTGGATCCTTTTTTCGTCTAAATTTTTTGCTAATAGTCAGGGCACATATTACATATCCATTCAAGGAGACCCCATACAGCGCATGCCTCCGTGCTATTAATCTTACGATCTGGATCATTTCTTCCTATTGCTTACATCTTGCCCATGTCAGAAAATGTTATATGAAGGAGACAACTTCATAGATAGTTAAGCGTGCCCAAAACACCATCAAATATCAACACGGTACCACTGTATTGGAGTCCATAACAAACCCGTGCGATAACATGGTTCTCTTCACGAATCCATATGGGCTCTCGCGGATTTTGTGTTGATGCCCTCAGCCTTCCTCCTTTTGCCTTTCATTGCTTTTTTTTCCTCGCTCACAGATCGGGACTCCGTGGAGCGTGTCCGTGTCTGTGTCTGTGTGCCTTCTGTTCGTTGTTCTTACTTACTAATTGCATTTTGGATCAAAAAAAAAACAACTTTGTCGGTTCTCATGGTGTGCGTTTGTTTATTCGCAGGAGAGCAACAAAACAAGAGAAAAAAAACACAAGGGATTAATGGGAAGGAAGGAAGGAAGGAAGGAAGGAAGGAGCAGGAAAAATCGTGGTGATTTGGAATGGGAGAGAGAAGATGAGTAACCACAAGAACAAACAAACGATGAACTCCTGACTCCGGCAAGTAGGTTGAGGAATGTTGAGTTATGAACAAAAAGCAAGCACGCATGTATGTGTTGCTACGCCCAATTGCGCTTATTTATACTTCTACGCGTCGAAAACACAAAAAATGTTGCTAGGATGACACAATGTTATGCAGCTACACCGTTTTTTTGAGTGCACTCATGCTCAATACCATCATAGTCGGAACAGCATGGCTGTTTATGTACTGTAGACATAGGTTTCTCTCACGCAAGGGATACACGACATGAAGCATGAGCAATTGGACTCTTAGCACAATGCAGTATATGTACATTAGGTGTACATTGAACAGGATGGGCATGAGCATGGCATGGCATGGGCATGGCATAAGTGAGTCCATGAAAGCATCGTAGCGTTGTCCTTTATCTCTTACCTTTTCTACATTTCCTTTTTTTCTTCTCCCCTTTGATTATTTTGTGTACTTGTTTGTGTGTGCCTCCTCACAAAAAGTAGTTGCCTTCCTTCCCCTTCGTTTTTCTTTCCCCTTTGGGGCACCGCACTCGTGCCATCCCATCGGTCTATCTCCTTCTACTCCTCCCTTTTATTTTCTCTTCCCTCTCCTTTCCCTTATTTTCTATGTTGCTTGTGCGCTCTTTTTTCGTTGTGGGTTGGCTCACTCTTCTCCTTACTTTTGGAGGCACATACCTCTTTCCCTCCTTTGTCTTTCTCTCGTCCTTTGTAGCCCACCTGGTCTACTGATGTACGATTTCCTTTGTACTTCTGCCCCTTCCTTTGGCAGCTTTTTTTTCGTCCACATCCCATCCATCCAACCTACGAACTACTGCTACTTATTCGTTCGTTGGTACTGTTGACCAACTGGATTCACAAATGGCCAACAAAAAAACGAAAAAGGGTGAACCCAAGAGAAAAAATTGCACAATTCCATCCATCCATTCTTTCCCCTTACTTTGGGACAGCCTCTCCATGGAATGAAAAGCACGCATCATAGACACCAACTCAACTCCGTTGATTTTTTATTTTTTTGGGTTTCGCCCTTTTTGTTTCTTGTAGTTCACAGCCTTTTTCTACTGCTATCTCACCCTTCCTTTTTCGATCGGGTAAGTGTTTTTTTTTCATGCCATGTGTGTTTGTTGTTTTCCTTATGAACAACGAGTGTCAGAAAGAGTAAGAGATCCACCATCTGAGATTCCAATCCTTCCCAGGAACCAAAAACATGGGTTTACATTTTGCCGTCCATTTTTCACTTTAGTAACTACTATAGACATAGGAGAAGTAAGTAGATAAACGGGTCATCGTGAATGGCTAAAGGTATCAGGGGAGGAGAGAGAGGGGAGAGGAGAACGAAAGAAAGGGGAAGAAAGAAAGGTAGAGAGTGAGGGGAGTGAGCCCTCCGGCTTGCATAAAGCGCCGAACCGAACGACGTACGATGGACAGTCAATGGTTGGGGGACGTGTGTTTCGTCCTCCCCAATGACCAGTTGGTACATGTACATGGCATGGGCATGGCCAAAAATGCGATCTAGGTATGGTCTATTTGTTCTTTCCCTCTCTTAATTTCAATTCCCCTTACATGTTTCTTATCATGTTTCTTGTTCGTCCTCTGCCTTTCCCTCCCTGCTCTTCTCTCTTGTCTCTCACCACGCATCGCATTGCATCGCATACCCAGAAACACCTCAAACACAAGCCCATATGTCGCATCTCTCTCAGAAAAAGGGACAGCCATGCATCCATTTTTTTGCATCCAGACGCATCCACGTCCCTTATACTAATCCATTATCGTATCCTGCATGTTATTTTCTTCCCTTTATTTGTCTTCTGTCTCTTCGCATCTTTTTTTTTGTTTGTTACCTGCAAGTCACCATCATTACAAAAGACGAACATCGACAACCAACCAAACAACCAACGCACACCAACCCCCTTCTTTTTCATTTTCTCCTACTCTATCTATTGACCCTTTCTATTCCCATCCCATTCCATCCTGTTCTTTATTATTTTCCGTCCCTTCTCCTCCGTTCATCCCTCCGCCTGTCCCTTTCTTTCTTCCTTCCTTCCATCGGTCGGGCGTCGCGTTTTCCTTTTTCTTTTGCCTCCCCTCTTTCCCTCTCCTCTCTCTCTCCCCTGAGTTGACTTTTTTCACTTCCATCTAACGATTTCATCCTTTTACTCTCCTTCTCTTCCACCATCACCAAGCGAACATAACCAGCAACAACATCAAACAACAAACAACAAACAACAATTAAAAACGATCAACTGCTTAGTTTCCCCTTTCTCGGAAAAGCAGCTAGTCCCTGACATTATTTTCATTCTACCTTGCCCACTTTTTTTTTGATGAGTTGGTTCGTTTAAATAGACCGTCTTCATTCTTCTCTCTTCCTTTTTTTTCTTCTTCTCAACTCAATTTCACTTTCATTCTTCATCTCTTTAATCTTTTCTCATCACTACATCAAGTCCTTGTACTTCTTCTCCCTTGCCATTCCTCTTCATTATTATCACATAACCTCACATTCATTCCTCGTACATACACCACCATATTAATTGATTTATTCTACTCCTACTTTTTGCTATATTTCTCCTACATTTCTCCTACATTTCTCCTACATTTCACACATCCTACGTATCTCATTTCTTTCTTCTTTTACTTCTACTTCTACTCCCCCATCACGCATTCACAACATACACCTACGATCCTCTTCTTCTCTCTCACGCACTCACATACACACACCCATCACATCCCTGCAAGACATACACAAAAAATGAAGTCACCAGCACAATTGCCTCCCCTGAATACAAGATACCTCACCATGGAGCAATCAATGGAAAGAATGAGTTTCTCATCCCCCAGTTCTGCAGGCTCTACCGGATCGACCTACTCGTTCCCTGCTCACCCCTCTATCTCCTACCCCGATGTGAGCCACCAACATCCTCCTCAGCATCATCAACAATTTCAATACCCACAGCAGCCACATCATTCATACCATCATAGTCACCCTCGCCAGATCCGGTATGGTGGTCCCGGACATAATAACAGTGAGCATGAGTTTGCTACCTATACCAACAAGCCCTGGCATCGACATGAGGTATGTGTCCATATGTATCCTGCTACCGTATCGAGGATATTACTCACTTCGGCAAGAAAATGATGTTGATAACTCACACGAAACAACGAAATTGCTCCTCTGTTTTGTTAATGTAGGACCAGTTGTTGAACGAGGCGGTGATAACATGTGGGACAAAGTCATGGCAGAGAGTGTCGGAATATGCGTTCCCGGACGGCTCACGCGACAGGAACGAATGTATGCATCGGTGGCGGGTTATCTCGTCCGCTCGGCCACGACAAGTCAAGGGACCCTGGACCGACGAGGTACGCCACATTTCTACATCAATTTTTATCAATAAGCTAACAAGACAACGACGGACATTAACATAAGTTTCTTTATATATTTATATGTGTGTTTGGAAATAGGAGGATAGAAAGTTGAGTGAGCTTGTGAAGAATCATGGGCCCGAAAAGTGGGTATTTATTGCATCCAAGATCGGATCGCGCACAGGCAAACAGTGCCGAGAGCGTTGGCACAACCATCTCGATCCCAACAGTATGTTTCACATTTTTTTTCCGTCGATCAATCTCGAGATGTTACACAAATCAAACCTATGATTACGATTGTCAATCCTCCTTTCTATTTTTATGTGTAATCAAATCGCTGATCAAACCTCCGTCGTTTCACATTCATCCATCATTTATCAACAAAACAGTCAACAAGGCACCGTTCACACATGAAGAGGACATGCGCATCCTGGAATTGTACAGTCGGATGGGTTCCAAGTGGGCCGAGATGGCGAAGCATATGCCCGGCCGACCCGACAACGCGATCAAGAACCATTTCAACACCACGATGCAGCGCAAGAAGCGGAGGATGTCCATGCCTTCGATAATGATTCAGGAACATCACTCCCAGCAGCAGTTGCAGAGTCCTCCTCTGTCTCGGCAGCGACTCTTTCTTCGCAACAGTATCAGCGGACCGAGCAGTGGTAGTGGGTCAGGTCCGGCTTCGCCCCTTGCGTACCCTTCCGGTGGGATGCAGTTGCCGGCGCGTTTCTTGCCCTACGAGAGGCGTCTTTCTCTGCCAGCCCATAACGTCATGGCCCCTCACCCTCCACCTCCATCGACCACCTCCTACCCCTCCCCATCAGGAGGAGGCACAGGTATGGTGCGATCCAGCAGTGCCCTCGCTCATCATCACCATTCCCATCAGCGCATGCCCTTGTCGCCTCCAAGAACCCCCGACATGCCACGTTCACGAGGTCCTTGGTCGTCCTCAGACTCTGAAGTGTCAACATCGTCATCTGGACACTTCATGGCCCTCCCTGGAATCTCTGGCCCCGCCCCCATTGCTCCCCCTCCTCCATCTACGAGGCCCGTGCCCCAACACCACCAGCAAGGCGCTATGGGTCCACGGAGACCATCCTTTTCCTACGCGAATGTCCAATCCTCCGCAAGCATCAAGTCCATCCAGACGAGCAAAAGCAGTGGCTCCACGGCTTCCCAAGCCGACGGACCTGTAGGTGGTTTCTTCCCAGGCCCACCACTGCCTCCTTCCTACGACCGTTCGCACAAAGAGTCTCACCATGGCGATGGCGGTGTGCATCCTTTTCGAACCTCGCACTCTCCACCCCATCATCACCATTATGGCGGACCATCATCTCCACCACCAGTTGGACAGCCAGCTCTGTTGTTGGGGACGCCACTGATAACTAGCAACGCGACGAAGCAGACGGCAATAGTGAGCCACGGGAACGGCAAACCCTCGCTCTTGCATCATTGGTCGTGCTCGGCACTGGATGAGATGGCAAGACACGGTGACGATAGTGGCAGTCGTCGATCGAGTTGTACAGATGAGGAGGGTTGTGAGATGGAGGATGATGAGGAGTATGAAGTTGACCAGGAGGAAGAGGAGGAAGAAGAGGAGGACGTAGAAGTGAGGTGGGAGAGGAGACGGAGCACCGCGAACATGATGTCGATCCAGAACTTGGTCGGTCCCTAATCCTCCTGAAATTAACAAAAATAAACTACGAGACTCTCCGATTTTGACCTTGACCCCGCGTATGACAAACACTATCGGTTGAGTTCACCAAACATCCTTTCTTTGCGTGTATCACAGTAGCGGCAAGGCGTACCCTTCCCTATCACCTCTCATTGCGGCCTCCTTTAAATAACTTGCAAGAATGGTATCTGCCTTTTCTTACCCTATTATTTTTGTGGCTCTCACTCCTTCAATCTTTCGCCTGTTAGCTTTTTTTTTTCTTTCCTCGAAATGAGCTCCTCCCGTCATTGTGGCACTCCGCTTACGGTTCTCTCAAATCATTGACGCTCTCTTGCAGAAAAAGTGTTGGTAATGGTTTTTGTTTTTGCCCATAATAAATTGTTCGCTGTTAAAAATCGGAGACTGTTCCCTGCCTGCCCTCCCTTTTCTCCCATTCTTCCTTTCCCCCTTTATTTTTAGGTTATCAAACAAGCGACTTTTTAAGCCAGCAAGAGGGTAAGGGAAGGAAACCACCATCAGGGACTATTTTATGAGAGGGAAGCGAGATTGAACGGAAAGATGAGGAGATGGGGCTTAACGGGCTCTAAGGCATTTCAATTTTTTTCTGGTCGCCCCCCCATGGATGATATGTGTCCTTGTCTTTCTCTCCCGTGTTTTTTTTCTTTGTGTTGGTTCTCTGTTCGTGGATCTCTTTTTTTGTGATCCCTTCTTGCGTTCTTCGATGCGATCCACCTCTGCTTTCTTGCATCTGCGTCCTTCTCTCACACTTTCTTTCTCTCCTTCCCTTAGCTCGGTTATGTGGGTCAAACTTTTTTCGGTTGCTTTTTTTTGTCTCGACAATTCTGAAGGATGCGGTCGTTTCTCTGACCCTGTGAATGTCGCACTTACCCTTTCTTCCTGGTACACGGTCCTCGAATGGAAGACAAACACATTCGCACGGATATTACCTAGCTGGGTATATACACACACACACACGCACACACACACACACACACCAAAAATGACTTCCTCATCACCTTGACCGTCGTCGTCCAAGCCGCCCCAGTGTCACTCTCCACCACCTCCGACTCCGATTCCAACTCGATCACCGTCGCCGCCGTCAAGCGTGACGAACCCCCAGCAGTGGCGCCCATCACTCAAAACGCTGACGATGGCGCCGGCGTCATCAGGAACCTCCCCGAAATATTGCCAAGCTCGCCAAAAAACCTCTACAAACAACGGCGCTGTGAATCACTTGACCGACCCTAGCATCTCCCAAGATGCCTCAAATGCCGTCACCAAGCCGCTCCAAAACGCTGTCCAAGTCGTTGGAGGCACCTCCACTACTGGTACTGGTACTACCACTGGTCCGGCGAATGCGGAGGCTTGAAGAGAAGCGCTTAAAAATGAGAGAAGGCCGTTCCTGTCAAACCCGATTTATGCCGTCCTTTAGATAAACCAACAGTCCACACCCCTATTTTATCTTCATTTCTGCCATCTTTTACTCCAAATTTGCATTCCTTCTATTGTTTCCTTTAAACCGAGCCATCCCTTTCTCCCTCATGTGGCATGGTATGATGTAGCGCACATCATTTTTTTTCTTATTCAAAACCCCGAAAGTCGTAAATAAAAAGGAGCCTTTTTTTTGCTTTCAGAGATGAGGGTCCAAGCGACTCGTTCCTAATTTCGATGACAACAATCAAAACGCGCCCAACTCTAAAACACTGACGCACAAACCCATACTCCATCTCCAACGCACGGAATGGCTCGAGTACTACTCGACGTTCTTCAGTGCCGAGAAAGACGCCCTAACACTCACAGCCTCAATCAAGAACAATTACAACTGCTACAAATCCGCCGCGACAACAAAAACAACCACAAAACCAATCATCGCCTAGTCTCTATACGACGCGCCTTCCCCTTCCAACAACAACACCGCATCTTGGCTCCTCTCGAGTGCTCCTTACAAAAGTATCCTCTCCACCGATGCTGGTGCGACGTTCTTTAACGGTACTGATTCATCTACCTTCTCGACCTCTGCTACTTTTGCGACCGCAATTCAGACGGTCGATATCCTGATTGACGAATCTGTCTACATACGACGCCTTCTTGCAGATCTACCAACTCTCTGCCACAGTCGCACCCGGATCCACTCTCAAGGTCTGCAGTTTTCAGAGAATACGGACTGGTCAACCCCAACGATGGTCGCAACTGGTTCGGAGGCGCCGTGGTCATGGACGACGCCGTACTTCAGGACCTTGTCCGTGCTGTCCATCCAGAACTGTTCAAGATCTCGCAATACAACTGGATCCGCAACACTGCCGAGGATGAGACGATGCAGCTGTTGACGAGCGCCAATCGCACCGTCACGGATACGACTACCCCTGTCCCCGGCCGCGCCTTGTCATGTGCCAGTCTGCAGGCTGGAGGAAAATTCGGATGTGGAAACAGTGCGAACGGTCTTGGAAATGGTATTTTGACCTTGGCTCTTGGTCTCTTGCCACCCTCGCCATCATCTAATTATTTCACCTTTTGCTCTTTAGTCACCAATTACAATACAAAAAAAGCAACGAGCTATATTTTTCTTCAATTATATGGTTTTTATTTGGATGATTTGCAACCGTTACGAGAAACGGCGTGGGAAGGAAAAAAGAGGGAAAAGGTTCTGTACGTTAGAGAAAGTTTGAACACGAGCGGGATGTTGTGTGGAAGAAGAGGAATGAGGGTCTTTGCGGATATGTGAACAAAAAAGAAATGGAAAATTATGAAATAGAGAGTGAAGTCATTTTACAATAAAATCTTCAAGGGGGTTTCCATGTAACCCTTGAAGGCCTTCAAGAACTGGGCAGAAACGGCACCGTCGACGGTGCGGTGGCCAGGGTTTAGTGTAACGGCCATGATCGAGGCAGTGCGGTGCTCGCCACCCTCAGCACCGGGGACAACGCGCTTCTCGGTGGCTCCGACGGCCAAGATGCAGGACTAAGGGGGGTTAATGATGGCAGTGAAGTGCTTGATGACGTACATGCCCATGTTGGAGATGGTGAAGGTACCGCCCTTGCACTCGTGGGGGAGAGCTTGATGGCGGAGGCACGGGAAGCCAAGTCCTTAACCTGGTTGGGGATGATGTCTCGGCGTTGGCGACAATGGGGGTGATCAATCCAGTGGGGGCCGAGGTAGCAACGCAGATGACCGAAGTGTGGTACTAACTGATAGAGTCGTTCATCCACGAGCTGTTGACCTCGGGGGATGACCTTGAGGGCAAAAGCAGAAGCCTTGACGATGAAGTCATTGACCGACAACTTGTACGTTTCCTCAGAGGACTTGCTGAGGACCTCGCGGAGCTTCATGATCTTTTCCATTTCCATCTCGACGGTGACATAGTAGCGAGGGACGGTCTGCTTCGACTTGGTCAAACGCCGAGCAATGATCTTGCGCATGTTAGTGACGGGGGCGTCGGCGTAAGCAGCACCGGCGGAAATGGCATCACCGGATTTCTTTTGCCAGGTTCCAATGTTTCCCATGGCCATGGTAGGAGAGAGAGAGGACATGTTGATGGTGATATGGGAGGGAAAGCTATGTACTCCCGTGATTACTATGAGAAGAGATAGAAAGTGCCTTGGTTAGATTCACGTTCATAACAAGATAACCGGTTTTTCGATATCTTCAACAGGATACCATCTCGTCCCTCCTTGGCATCGTCTTCCATTTTTTCAGTCATTTTTTAGTCTATCTGCTCGCGCAAGTGTTTGCTGTTGGCTGGACTGCCCCTGTCTGTCTCCCTTATTCCCTCCGTCCGTCTGTCTGTGCATTTGTTTGTCTACTTTCATTTGTTTTGCCTGCGAATTGACCGAATCATTAGAGTTGTTGTGCCGTTCCTTTTTCCTTGTTCTTGACACTTTCTCTTCGTCCATCTCCTCGTTCTTGCACTCTCGAACTCTATCCTCCTCTCACTGCTGCCATAAACAGTCAGATTAAGCGAATCTCGCCCTCTCCCTCACTTTGATCCAGATCCCCGGAGACAATAACAATAACAATAACAACAACAGCAACCACCCTTCTCCATCGCGCTTTGATACCCTTTCTTACACATTCCAATATGACTTGTTCTAGTCACCCCCTAATTCTCCAGTTGGCGCATTTCAACAACCCACGACTATGCTCACTTGCACATCACACACATACACAACCACTCAGCTCCCTCCATGCTCCCATCCTTCAGACGCGCATGCTCAACAGCAGCCCATGAGGCAATTGCGTACGACTAACGTGTACCTTCACTCTTGTTGTCATTACTTTTCCCACTACTCGATTCTATGCATGAGCCTTGCAAGTCCATGCCATCACAACACACTAAGTGCTACTGCGCACTACTACTCTAAGCAGGCAGCAGTATCAAAAGGAGCAATGGATCCTCGCGGGTTGCCGACAGGCATCTACAGCTGAACTTACCACTTCTCATTATTGCTAACATTGCAACACGGTTAATTTATTTCACAATGACGTCATCACCGAAATGGGTATAGCTCTGACAGAAGCATGACCTCAAGGCCTAGGAATCATCGAGAGGCATCCTGGGGCTGATTGCAAAGATGGATGATGAACATTTCAAAAAAAAAAAGGATGAATTCAGAGAAAGATGGAGCACTTTAGTGGGAAAATGGCAGCAATTTTACTGGATAAAAAAAATGTTGCAGAGCAATTACTCCTCGACGGGATACAATTCCTTCAAGACCTCTTCCAAAGGATCCTCAATGCAGAATCTCGCGCGGCCAGCATATCTGACCTCATTATCAACTAACAATGCAGCACATGGAATTCCTTCATACCCGATTTTCATGAAAAGGGCTAGAAAAGCGTAAAAAAAAAAAAGATCTGTCAGACTAACTTTTTTTTTTCAAAAAAAAATGAAAGTAAAATTATCATTTGTACTTACAATCTCTGGCGAAGTGATCTTCTGTATCAATATAAGATGAATAGCGGATGCTTTCATTTTTTGTTTCGAGGAATGTCCTGGTTTTCTCGATGCTATGCTCTTGTTGTCTGTCGAGCATATCGTCATTATTCAAACCAATGACGGCAATGCGTCCTGCGTATTTTTCAAAAATATCCGATAATTCTGGAGAAATTTCCAGGCATGATCCGCACCTATTTTGATATCGACATTGGCTCAGGTTAGATTAGATTAGATTAGATTATTATTATTTTTATAAGAAAAAAAAGTAGATCCTTACCATGTGGCCCAAAAATCAACAATAACAATTCGTTCTTTGCCTTCAAATTTGGGGCCAGAGGCATGATGAAGACTCTCAACAAGTGCCAAAATATCGACTTTCTCTCCAGTGTACGGACTCTTCCAACCCTTTCTGAAGCATGGCTTGGGTCCAGCCTTGAGAATGTCGCGGATCGCCTCAAAGCTGGTAAATCTGCCTTTGCCAAGGACTTCAAACGGGTCCTCATATCCAATCTTCTTGGATTCAGCCTTGAAAGTCTCAACAGCTTCCCAGTAAGCTTCCTCCTCCCATTTTTCTTCGTATTTTTCGCGGAATGGACTGACAATAGTTGTAATGCACGCCTCCAAAAGCTGAGATTCCTTGTCCTGTACTTCTTCTTCGGTAGACATAATGTTGTAACTGTGGGTAGTTTGTTTTTAAGGAGTTGGGAGTGAAGGCTTTTTTATAGTTGTTTCTTCAAGTTGCTCAACATCTTCTTTTCAAACAAAACACCTTTTTTTAAAAAGAAACTTGCATTTCTAGCTCCTTCTATCAATTGTGGGTTCGATTTATCCTTTTGGATCGTACAAAAAAAAACATTTGGTCCGATCGATTTTGGTCCTTACTTTTTTCACATGGGACCAGCGATGTCTAAATCAATCGTCATACCACCGCTGTGGGAATGGGAACCATTATGCTATTGGTTCCTCTACACATTGCGACTGAAAATGGAAGTACAATTTTCATAGCCTCATGGGTAAAGAAAGAGGGATGAAAATCAACAAAGACGAAATTTCACATGAGATTTAGTGCGCCAACAAGAAGGAGCTCCTCAAGACCATTAATTGCATGGAGTTATTGGGGTATTGAAGCAAAACCAAGCATTTCCCCTCCCTTCTCACGCACCACGCGCTGGTCATGCGTCGGAAACATCCAAACAATGAGGGATTTCTTTCGGGTTCAAAAATCTCAAGATACCTCTCGGAATTGGATGCCGAAGGGACAGAAAACGTTGAGCAGTCGGCCGAACTGATTGCTGCGCGACATTGGCATCCTCCAACACATTGCCTGTCCCCTCTTTTCTCACGCACCATGGCTGGTCATGTGTCGGAAACCTCCAAACAATGAGGATTTCTTTCGGGCTCAGAAATCTCAGGATACCTCTCGGAATTGGATGCCGAAGTGACAGAAAACGTTGAGCAGTCGGCCGAACTGATTGCTGTGCGACATTGGTATCACACTTTTATACTTTTTATCCCAAAAAAAATAATAATTGGCGCTTGAACTCCCTTCTGGACGAAGTCATCCTTTTTCGTATTAGGAAAGGAATGTTTTGTTCCTTATTTCGATAGCGCATTTTTCATTTCAAAGGCACTAGATCTATCATTCACCTGTTAGGCTTCGATCGATTTCCGACAGCTCGTCGAGGTTTTTTTGGCTGCTTTGACGACCTATCCAACTCTCGTTTGATGTGCGCCCATACGTTCTCGATCGGGTAGAGGTCAGGAGAACATGGAGGCCACTGCAGAACCTTGATCCTCAACTTGCGCAAACAGGAGGTGACAGAAGCCGCAGTGTGAACCCGGGCATTGTTGCAACAGATTAGGTTCTTTATATCGCATCGCTCTCCACCATCACCATCGCCATCTAGATAGATATGACTGCTAGCCTTAGAAACATTACGCTGTTCTTGTACAGTGATTAGAAAAACTGTTTTTGACATTCATTAACTTTTCTCATTCTCATCCTAACCCTCTACTCTCAAGACTCGCTCTATTGTTACACTCTCTTCTTCATTGTTCACGTGAAATCTCAACCAAAGTTACTTTGTAGAATCGTCATCGACATCGCTTTAAAATAAATAATTTCATTGAATCAGTTTTTCTAATTGACCGCCCTTCATCTGCCGCGGTCGTCAGTACTTGGTGCTGCGTCCTTTGTCCTGAATCACCATCGCCAGGTGGTCGGGCATGCTCTCGTATAGATTGTGAAGGTATTCCTTAGGAATCTCCCTCCTGATCGCCTCCTCACGTTCCCACAGCCTGTTCGGGTTCCCAGCCGCCTCTGGCTGCCGATCCAGCTCCTGTTTGACGTACGACCAAACGTTGTCGATAAGGTTGAGGTCGGGCGAATTAGGTGGCCACTCAAGGACCTTGATCCTGTGCCTTCCAAAAAAATCCATTAACTTGGGCGCAGTGTGTGGTCGGGCATTATCCTGCTGAAATATGATTGTCCTTTTGTCCACGCCTAGCCAATCGCGGGACTGACGAACACGCCTTTGGAGAACGCCGAGATAGGCATCAGAATTCATACTGCCTTCAATCCAGCAAAGGTGTCCGACGCCAGAATATCCGATGCAAACCCAGACCATTATTTTCTCCCCCCGCCTTGTTGTTTCGGTCAAACTTGGTGAGGCAGGTATTGTTGTTGTTGGCGTCTGTAGTAGCAGTACTTCTTGCCGAAGGACAATGCAGCTGAGGATTCATAGGAACAAAATGTCACTCGACAGCTCAAAGGATTAGTCAGGCGTCTGACTATTGACCTTAGACCATGCTTATTACCCTTGCCGAAAAACACTCAAGGAACCAGAAATACCGACTGACAATCATTCTCTTCACCTTCTCAGCTTACACCTTTATACCATATCGTGTGTTCGAAGGCTTGTATTACCCAGTAGGTAACTCAATAACAATAAACGCCAGAAGCAATCGAACTTCATCTAACGGTAGGGCGTGTTTTTTATGGTGCGAACAAGGTTCCCCTTACCCTATTGTAGTGCGCTTTCGGTGTGTCTCCTTGAAAAGTAACGATCGCTCCTGTCAGCGAGTAGATGGATGTCTCTTTGTCCTAGAGGAAAGAGAAAAAAACCTCGCAGTAGAATAGCCTTCTTGGTGATCTTAGGCGTAGCTGGTTTATTACTCTAGCGATTTTTCCAATTTGAGTCACCATTACCGTCCACTTCGATGCGTCCTGAAATATGGAGTTGAGACATGCACGTACAGCAGACGGAATACCTTCTTCTGAGGTCTGGGTCCATCTCTTTTCTCAAAGGTACGGGAAGCTGTCGACCTTGCTTTCGAAAGGACAAAAGTCCAGTGTCCGAGCGCCATTTTTAACTCAACAGATGCGCACCGGCCAAATCGCAACGGACGAGATGTCCCTCCTCCCTACCCATTCCTTGTCGAACATCGTTCGTCCTATCGTTTCTTTCTTCTTTTCTTCACTCTTTGTCAACCCCTCTCTTCCCGTCCATCCTCACGCCACCGTTTTTTTCTGACCATTACTGTTAAGAACAAGGCTGCACGTTGCTTTATGGCCAAGGCAGTTGCCGCCATTTTACTCCAGGTTCCCTTTCCTGGTTGTACAAACCTCCGGACAGCAGGACTCGATCCGTGTCACGACCTATGACCCCACCATGGACTACTTCCCCGACAAGTCCAATGTAACCCTCTGTACATGCCATTCTCGTCCGATGGCAGAAGACAAAACCAAAACATCTTTATGATCTAACCGAGCACCTCCTCCTTCGCCTCTCAATCGCGCAACTAGTCGACGGTGGCGCATTGTTCAGCATCACCTGCAACCTAAACTACAAAGTTCTCAAATCACCTCCCTCAACACAACCTACATCCTTACTCAATGCGGGAACCCCCACCCCAAACATAACCATCATCCCTCGATCAAACACCACTATCTTTAACCAAATCCCCGTCACCAACCTTGCCTCTCTCGTCACCACCCCTGTCTCTTATATCGAAATGCTTGGGAAACAGGCTGCCATCAAGGGTGTTGATACTGAGGGGTTGGTTTCCTCCCCATGTGTTCAGGCGGGATTGGAGAAGGACAGATTGAAGGATTGGAGGATTCGAATAGTACGTTAAGGGTTTACCAGATGAAGAAGGTCAACGTTGTGTATAGTTCGTATGGTGTTGACCCTGGGACGGATAACAAGGACGGTGATTACTTCTGAAGTTAAGGAACCCGAGCCCCTTGAACGTATGTTTTTGTTGTTTGATTTTTTTTTGTTTATGCTAGTGTATTCCTGTTGGATGTACTCTGAAAAAAGATAAGGTCTAAACAAGAACAACGCGCTGGTCACCACGTCGGTCGCGGGACCAGATCCAAGCCAACGCTCCACCACCACTGCAAGCATCCTCCCCTTCGCCTCCTTCTTGTTCGTCTTGCACTATTGATTCTACTGTAGCTACACCAGTCGCTGAGGATGCTGGTGGATGTTCTTGCTCCTGGTCATGCCCAATATGCTGCTGAACATCATCACCGTCTTCGCCAACAACTGTCACTCCACCAAAACCTGAAGCAGACCTCAGCCGTGAATCAAAACAGTCCAACATGGACACCACCACCTCCTTCTCCGTCGCGCTCTTCCGACTCCTCCCAAACTCAAACAACGCAACCCTTCCATCGCAAAGGGTGCACATCAGCATCGACCCCGACTTGTTGACCTTGAATGTATGAATTGTCTCCACCTCCTCCTCTTCTTCATCCTCGTCCTCTTCATCTCCCTGAACTCGTCTCGGTTTCGAAGCAATGCGACTAGACTCGCTCAAACTACAGCTCACCATTCTCCTTCTTTTTCGCTGCTTCTCCACACGGCCTTTACCGAGGGGAACAGGGCAGACGCGAATCCGGTACAGTAACTCCCCTGTCCTTCGACACCATACACACAACATCCCCCTCAATTTCGAATTCGTCACGATCACCGTCTCAGTAATCGCAACCTTGGCCGCATACTGCTGGTACGTCTCAGTCTCGAACTCGGTATGCTGTCGCGACGTCAATGGCTCGTCCAGTTCCATGATTAGGTCCCCTGTGGACAGAGAAAAGAGCTGGTACCCTTCGATCACGGTTCCGACAGCGATGATACCCGATTCATTGGTAGTGGGGGTGGAGCAAGGGGGCTTGCGGATGGCGACGGAAAAGACTCCGAGGTCGAGATCGCGGGTTGTGAAGAGGTCAGAAATGAGATGGAGGAGTGTGCCGGAGAGGGCGTCCCAGATCCGGACCGTGTGGTCTGATCCGCCGCTGACCACTGTTGTGTCTTCGACCGCGACAGCTTATGAGAAAAAAAAATCACGCGAAAAAAGTAAATGCTGCCTGTTAGAAAACTAAAATTATCTTTGGGTGCCTTTGATGGCGTGTTATCACCTTCATAGTTCAAAAAAAAAGAAAGAAAGAAGGAACCTTACCATTAACCCAGCCAACATGACCAGTAAGCAACCTCCGTGCGCGGACAGGACACCCAAACTTATCCATCTTCTCCAAGAACTCCTGTCCTTCCTTCGCCGCATTACCCTTCTTCCCCTTCCCTTTCGAATCTCGTTGATATGCATCGCCAAATTCTGCCACCAACACATCCCACACCCGTATAGTGCCATCAATCGAGCATGAAACAAGCAACGTGCCTTCGTCATTAACATCCATCCCCGAGATTAGATCCTGATGACCCTCTTCTTCCTCCTCCATCACAGGCTCCGTCTCCGTCTCCCCATCGCTCCCATCATCAGCATCAGGATCACTCATCTCGCTATCATCACGACGATGAGGCCCTAAATCGATAGAATGCTGCAGCGCCCAATCAAGCACCTGCATCAACGGTCCTCCCGTGCGAGTACGATAGGTTCGTACAATGATCCCGGCTTGGGGGATGAGGCAGACATCCGAGTACGTGCACAGACTGCAGCTCAAAATCTCTGCTACATTAGCGTCTGTAGATAGTAGAGGAGGCGACATTCTGGCTGTGTTGTTGGTGGTGCTGCTGCATGCATGCTTCTGTTGGAGCTGCTGCTGCTGCTGCTTGTGACCATTAGTGCTGGTAGTGGTTGACGCTTCGCCACGGTGCATCGAATCCAGAGACAGATGTGGCTGGTCCATCAAGAGGTGGTGATCGTGAACATGATGCTGGTGCTGGTGATGATGATGTTGATGACCGTCCGATGACGACATCAAACCCGAACCTGAATCAGAACTACTCGCTTGGAGAAGGAGCGCCGTCGCCTCTTGAATTGATACAACCACAGGAGCAGTAACAGAAGCATCAGAAACCGTAGCCCGCCCAATCTGGTCCGATGGCGATGGCGATGGCGATGGCGATGGCGACAAGGAGGAGGAGGAGGCTGAAGGTGATGGTGGTGGACCAGGGACAACAACTACTGTGGTCACAGCCCTTCTTGAAGCCCACCCGCAATGTATCAGAAACGTCTCTCGCCAATACTCAGTATCCATGGAGTCGGCGTCGCTGACTGACGAAGTGGAGGAGAAGCAGGCTCCGGGAAAGGCAGAGAGGGCAGCGGTCCGCCAGAGGATCCCCTCATAGGTCTTGAAGACCGCCCTCCATTCCTGGTTGACGGCCGTGAGGTTGTGGAGACTGTTTGGATCTGGATGAAGAAGGGCGACGCGGAGAAAGATCTCGAGGAGTAGTTCAGTCGGCAGGTGTGCTGTTCCTGTCTGTCGTGACGGTGGTGTTGTTTGCGCTAGGGGATGATGGTGGGCCATGAGGATGTATGGAAAGGGGTTGAGTAGTAGTGAGTTGTGTAAAGAGAGGTATAAAGAGATTGAAGAAAGAAAAGGAAGAAAGAAAAGGCTGCGAGGAGCAAGTCCTTATCCTTTTCCTACCCTCCAGGACATGAGTACCCTAAAGGTTATGTCAAATTATCTTAGGAACACATTCTGAAGCCCGCACAGAATCCTCTTGTCCTTGTAGCTCAGGTACACACACATACCCACACTCAACCGAAGTTTTTTTTTATCCTCGTTGAAGCGAGTTTTTATTTAGTCTTAAAGAGAAGGCATTGAGCAAAGTAAAATACATAAATCATCAAACGTGATTGAGGAGGAAGAAGAGAGGGCTAAATAGAAGAAAGAAAAATATATAAACAAGAAACAGGTATCAAAGAGAGAGAACTTTAGCAGTTCTTGGGGAGGTCAAAGGACTCGGTACGGACGGTGCCGAAGGGGAAGTTGGCACCAATAACCTTAGCCTTGGGGCCCAAGCCGCGCTTGGTGAACGCCCTCCAGATATCGCACTGGTACTCGCCCTTGGTCAAGAGCTTCTCGGCCTGAAGAATAGCGTCACGGGCCTGGATGAATGAGGGCATGCAGGGCTGCAACTTCAATCCATCGACGACCAATTGGAGCACAAGCGTGTTGGCGTACTTGGTCTTGTCGTCGGTGTACCACTCCTCGGTGAAGGGCAGGCGCAAGTTCAGGTTACGGTAGACCTCGTAGAGCATCTCAGCCCAGACCTCACCCTTGGCGTGGACACCCCAGTACTCCGACTTGTCCATGATCTTGAACGTCTCGGGGTTGGTGTCGAGCGAGGTTGAGTAAGGGAAGCGACGGATGCCGTTTCCGCTAGCAGAGTAGGCTCCCATCGTGAACTCGGACTTAAAATCGTGCTCGGGCTTCTGGCGGAACATGGTCGCAAAGAAATCGCCCCATCCCTCTCCCATACCACCGGCCTCTCCCCAACCAAGGCATCCAGAGTTGGCGGGTCCTCCGGTCAAGCGGGTCGAGATACCGTGGGCGTACTCGTGGATGATGATGCCTGACTCCAAGTCTCCATCGCGCATGGGGTCAGTAATATCCCAGACGTACATGCGCATCTGACCGTGCTGACCATCGGGAGGCGTGGCAAAGTTGGCGTTGTTGTATCCAGAGCCGTCCTGGGCGTTGGCAATGACGGCATCGTTACCCAGACCTCCCTTTCCAAAGTTGTTCTCCTGGAAGTTGCCGGACTCCTCATCGAAGCCATAGTGGTGGAAGACATCGTGGACCTGGTTGTTCCAGTAGAACAGGTTGGTAACGGCAGCATCGATGTAGGTCGAGGGCTCCTTGTCAAAGTCGATGGGGAAATCAAAGGTCAACTCGCCATCCTTTCCGACCTTACCCTCTGGCTTGGGGTTGTTCTCCCAGTCGTTTCCGTTCCTGCGGTTCTCTCCAGCAAAGACGTTGTTTCCGATGGTGGTGGTAAAGTTCTTGTCCTGCGACTGACGGTTCCATCCGAGAGGAGAGGCGGGGACGTGGTGGGGGTCCTTGACCAGCTGGCGCTTGCCCTCCTCGGGGTCGTTGATTCCCATGGGAAAGACGTTGTAGGTGGCGTCCGAGACCCAGTCGATGACCTGGAGAACCTTACCAGTCTTGGCATCGACCTGGGTGTGGAACCAGTTGTCGGTGTCCTTCATTTCGACTTTGAAGTCGTAGACGAGTCTGAGCTCACCGTCGGAGGTTTGAATGTAGGCTTGGTTGACGGGGACCTCGCCGTTGGCGGTGAGGGGGCAGTTGGTCATGATGATATCGGCCTTGTCGGCGCGGACGGAGGTGGTGGCGACGATATCCATGTCCTCGGGGCGGGGAATCTCGACGTTGAGGAATCGTGCGAAGGAAGCCAAGGCATCCTGAGGGGAGACGACACCCTCGGGCTTGGCAGGCTGCTCCGGCTTGCGCTATTGTTATATTTGGGTCGATGGAGGTGTGTGGATTAGTTTCATTGTTAACACAATAGACGACAGCTGACTGTGGGGGATGGTTCATATAGTGTGTGGTTCTTTTCCCATTGTTCCTTGACCAATAACCGTTGTTACTGTGCCCCCACCATACATCCAATCCAATAGAGCCCCAGCCTATGAGTACGAGTGAACGAGTCACCACCCCTTTGTTCATCCAAATAAGGTCCCGATTCAACCCCGCTGTCGTCATGCAGGTCACATGGCTCATCATTCCTCTTGGTCCTGGTACACTACCATCCTCCCTTTTTTTAGCCATTTGTCTGAACACTCCTTGGCGCACACAGCTCATTAAGCTAGCTCCTTTTTTTTTTAGTTGGGCTTGACACCATTTCCTCTCTTACTGTGCCCCCCATGGTTCCCTTCCTTCGTTCTTTTTTTTTTTTTTTTGTTGGGGCGCCACACTTAGCTACATAGACAAAACAATAAAGAACTAGAAAAATGCTTACCTCGTGGTGAGGACGACGACCCCAGCGTCCAAAAGACAATTGACGACCTTCTTCCTCCATAAACTCCTCGGTCTCCTGCTTAATCCACTCCTTGATCGTTCCAAACGACAGGTCCCGCTTCCCGAAACGGCGTCCACCCTTATAGGCGTTGTTGTGAGCCTTGTCACCCTTGTAGAACGAGTTTCCAAAAGAAATGACCTGGCCATCCTTGTCAACGTTAACATTAATGTCTCCATTCACAACCTCAAGTCCATCAACCACCTGACGGAAGTACACATGCGTCACTCCATTATGCTTGGAGGTGTAGGCGTTCTTGACGATGTAGTCGGAAGAGGTGAGGCGTTGTTCGACAAAGTCCGTGGCGGCCTTTGCAGGGTTGGACGCGGATCCTCTAAACAAGGGGGTGGAGGGTGCGAACGAGGAGGAGGAAGAAGAAGGGGCGCTGTATTCTTGGTGGGCAAGGTCGGGGCCGAAGGGCTGGACGTGGGAGCGGTGGGCTGAGACGGAGGCTGCGGAGGCCAGGGCGACGGCTGCAACGAGGGAGAAAACCTTCATAGTTGAATTGATGGGTTGGGTTACTGGTTTTTTTGTGTTTGACTTTTGTTTGTTTGTATGAGAGTGTGTGTATCAAATATGAAAGTAAAAAGGGTTAATGGGAATCAAAGGGGAATGAAGGGAAGGGGAGTCGGAGTAAATAATAAGAAAAAAGGCTGTGAAGGAAGAGAAGGATGGCAATGGGTTGTGGAAAGAGGGGGAAAAGGCAAAGAAGAAGAAGAAGAAGAAGAAGAGGAAAGTGCACTTTGTCTTTTTAAGAGACGCGAGTCTGACTAACAACGAACAGAACAGTCAGTCAGTCGGTCACCGGATGCACCTTCCGCCCTTCCTTCCTCTGCGCTGGGGCTCACATTGGCTAACTCACTCTCCCTTATAACTGAGCCTCAGCCTCAGTCAGGCAGCTGGATGAACCTCTGAATTGAACCATGAACGCAAAATATCGTCCATTTGTTTCGTCATCTTCATCAAACCAAAAGAAGTGCTCACATCAATGTCGACACGCAAGTGCATCCGTCAGTTATCTAGCAATTGCACGTACACGCACTTCCTTACTCCTGAGAACAGCAAGAACAAGGCAAAAACACTCGTTCATGCCTCGAAAAGGCAACAAGCATCCACACAAAGGTACACGGGGGTTCGAATGGCCCATGATTTTGAACCTGCACCTTGTCCTTGCCAATTCATTTGCCTCTCCTCTTCTTGCATTGTTTATTAGCATTATTGTTTGTCACAACGCTGTCGACTTTTCGCCACCTTATTAACCCCTAATGCACTGACGTCTTCTATCTGTCTGAACAGAAATGTTGCATATTTGTTCACTACCTTCACATTGTTTCCAAACTGGCATCCAACTCCAAAGAAGAACAACAGGTCATTCGGTTTGCATGAAACAAATTCGAATAGGAGAGTGTGAGATCGTGAGAGGAGGTACGAGAAAGAAACAAAAAAAGACTGCGGGATGAGCTGCAAGGGAGTTCAGGAAAGGAAGGACGGTGTAAGGGTTAGTTCTCTTCGTATTATATGAGCTTTTGTGACAATGATGTGAACAAAAAAAAAAAAAACGAGATTGAGGGCGAGCGTCGAGAAACAGAAGGACCCTTTTGAGCAATTATGTGATATGATGTCCTTTTCTGGGCATGAAATTACATATCTCATCTCCAAACATACGCCGTACCATCACACTGACCTTATTGTATTTTTTTGCACTGGAAGGAATCTTGGTCATCGCATTGTCTGTGTGTGTGGGCATGGACGCATGTTTCTCATCAGCATTGTTCAGGGCTCTAGCCTCGCTTCGCCTTGCCTTTTTTCCCCGATCAAAAATAATATTAGAACACATTGATAGATCATAGAGTGCAACAACGTGAGACGGGACGAGATATCTCAAAATCCAATCTATGATCAGGAAGAGTTGAGACTGATAGACGCGAGCGAGGCGGTGATCTTTTTTGCCATAAGGTTCCATCGGTGATTCATTCTTTTCTATGTTTTTGAATCACCTTCAAAGTAATAGCATTGACCTAGAGAAGTAAAACATCACTTCTCATCCTTTCAAGAGAAAAAGCGGACGTAGTTTCCGAAAACAGGTCTATTAAAGGAACCACCTCTCCACTTACACACTAAGCTACACGACCCTCAAATCCTCAATCTCAAGCCTTTGCTGCCCCACCCCGCTACCTCCAAAAACCTCCTCCCCCAACCCCATCTCCTGGATCAACCCTCCAAAGTCCCCAGACCACACCTTCATCATCATAGCCCGGACCTTCTCCTTGGCATACATATCCACCGCCTCATCCCCTGTCATCGATTCCACGAGCTGCTGTAACCAAGGTTTGGGTTTAGGGAAGACCTTGACTACAATGTTCTCGACCTGCACGATGGAGGGCAGATGTCCCGCGGCCTTGTGGGCTTCGAGGCCATAATCTCCTGCGAGCCGGACAGCCTGTGACAGTCCTCCCAGCTTATCCACCAGTCCAGCTATTGTTGAAGATGCCGAACAGAAAAGGATTGTTAGCTTGATATAAAAAAAGGGAGAAGAAAAATGATATGGCACAATAAGCAAAAATGTGGTCGAAGAAATGACGCTGTTGGTGTAATGTACCTTTAAGAGCCTCCTTGCCGTTCATGACACGACCGCCAGCAACGTTCTCGACTTGCTCAATCGTCAGATTCCTGCCATCAGCAACGCGTTTTACAAAGTCCGAGTAAGTAACATCGATTTGACGCTTGTACCGCGTCAAAGCGGCTCCCTCCAAATCGTTCAAGAAGGAGGTATCCGAGGATCCGGTAAAGAACTGCTCCACGCTCACACCGATCAGCTTGAAGAACTCGGGCGTGAAGTATGGTCTCAACGACGCTACTCCAATACTTCCCGTCACCGTCGTCGCTATTATTGTTAGATCGATAGGATTATATGTTAGTATCTTAGAAAATAACAGCGCAATAGAGCGATCAATTTTGTTGACTTAAAACAAACCCCACAGACTTACGTTGAGCCATGATAGCCTTGGCGTGGGTAGAGACAAAGTATCCTCCACTGGCGGACGTGTTTCCGAAACTGACAATGACAGGCTTCTTCTTCTCGTCCTGGCACCAGCGGATGGCATCTCCAATCGTATCACTTGCGATCACATCTCCTCCACCAGAATCGATTCTCAAAACTACAGCATCAACAGTGGGATCGTTGGCGGCCTCGCGGATACCCTTGACAATTGTGTTTGCTCCAAAATCTCCGCCACCCCTAGAAAAACAAAGTTGATATAAACATATAATTAGCGTGTGTGACGCAAATCAATTCGTGACCACAAAAACAATAACATGACAACGTACCTCTTGATGCCGCCGATGAGATAGACGATTCCGACGACAAGACTGGGCTCACCAGTCTTGGCCAACTTGTTGGTATGTTCCTTTGCCTTGACACGCATGTAATGCGCCAATCCGAACGCGCCCTGCTTCTCAATCATCTTTCCACAATCCCGCTTGTACACCAATCCATCCACCAGACCTTCATCCTTGGCTTCCGATCCCATGAAGGGTCCGATTTGAATCAAATGGTTCAGTTTCTCGACAGGGTCGCTTCCAAGGGCACGCGCACGAGATTTGGCAATGTCGGCCAAGATCTGGGAGTTAAGGCCCTTGAGGAGATCAAACAGGTTTTGCTTCTGAGGTGGGGGTAATTCGGTTTCGGTGAAGGGGCTGACCATGCTCTTGTACTCCTTGCGAGCCTCGGCTCGGACCTGGATTCCAAACCGACCCAGGAGAGTCTTGAAGAAGGGGACAGTCGAGGAAAGTCCGACCAAGGGAATGCTGCCGCTTGGCTGCATGTAAACCTTGTCGAACACCGAGGCCAAGTAGTACTGCGACTGGTTGTCTATCAGTTTCAAATAGAGTGTCGTATCATATGAGTCTTCCGATCGCAGGAAAACGCAACACATAGAAGGGCTACCGAAGGGGACGACCGGCGTACATACCAAAAGAGTCGGTATAGGCAATAAGAGAGACTTTATCCTCGCCTCCAAGAGCCTTGGCCTTGGCCTCCTTGAACTCCTGGATCGCGTTTCTCAATTCCTGAATCTGGGCCAGTCCAAGCCCCTTTCCTTGCTGAGTCTTGTTAGCCGACGAAAAGTTGGCCATAATACCAACGATCCTGGGGTCATCCTTGGCATGCTTGATGGCTGTCACAACGTCAATCAATGTCGAGACTGGGGCTGGTGAATCACCGCCCGCAGCACGCAATACCTTTTGGTAGTAACCCTTGTCCGTGTCTGTCTCCACGATCGATCTATTAATGGAATATTTGTATGCGTAAATATCATCTCTGGCGGGCTAAGGTTGTGATCATTGTTTGTTCGTAAATACTATTACCCTGAAAAAAGGCTTCAATTGTTGGGTAACATACCCGTCTGTGATTCTCCAGTGAAGAATAGTGTCCGGTGGGATGGTATCACGGATTTTTTGCAAGCGCCAATTACTATTTTCCCACGATGATCCAAATGACAGACGCAATTCTATGGTTAGTTCCAATGTCAGATAACAACACCTCCCATGAAGAGGTGCAAACAAAAGGTACCACGGCCTAACGCGTTACGAAGTATCACTTACTAGAAAAAGTTGGCGCTGCTGTAGGCGAGGAAAAGCCCAAAGGTGATCTTGCCGCGGTGGCCCCAGGTCCGAACAAACACGTTTGGTTTCGGTGGAGGTGCCTGACCTGCATGCGGAGGTAATGCCGCGTGCACATGAGGTCCTGCTCCTGTTGTTCCTCCTGGCAGAGTGCTGGTGGCGGCTGCTCCTGCAGTTCCCGCAGCAGGAGGGGGTGGTGGTGTTGACATTGTCGTCGTTGTTTTGTTCAAATGGGAAACAAAAGGAAGAGCATGAGGTGTAAAGTCCTCGTCCCACATTGAAAAGGCGAGCTTGAAGGTGGCTTTTTGGATCCGTGGATCACATGATCATTTCTGTGTCTCTGCAGGGTTCCAGGACCTGCTTTTTCCTTGGGCTTAGAGAACGGAGCAAAGGTGATCACATTTCAAAGCTCCACACATTCATTCACCGATGCAGCAACAACAGGACCAACAACACCCTCCACATGACCATTTTCCCACACGGCGGCATGAAGATGAAGACACCTTCAAAGCTCATTCACAACAACAACAACAACAACAACAACAACAACAACAACAACAACAGCAACAACAGCACCCAGAATGCACACTATACTCCCTAGTCCAGTACGACTGTGATCTCTCACCGTCCAACATCGTCTGCAAACCCGTCTTCCGCCTCCTCAAAAAGTAACCCTCTCCTCCTTTCTGCGCGGACTTGTCGCGTCTGGTTGATTGCCAATAGCATAAATATAAACGACTGAGCCCTGACTTTACCATTTTTTTCTTTGTTCTTTGTTCCTTGCTGTATGTAGGTGTAAAGGCCGGCCTACGGTAGAAGTAACGCCTCTCTATGATCCTGCTGGCAACATTCTCTACGGATAACGACCACTATTTTTGCACTTCACACTGTACACTATTAAACACTTCACCCCATCATGCATTCATAATAAACAACATTCCACAATCACTCTATGAGGATCGGCGCATTTTGAAGCAGATATCCCTTCGATCGTGATATTTTGTGGTAAAACAAACATGGTGGATGATGTGTGCGCTATGGTGGAGAGGCTTGAGTATCACATCCTGGTCGTGGGAAAAGGTGACCTTGTCCAACATTCCTGAAATGCCCTCCGTTCTTTTCTTTCTTGTTGCCGCCTGCTTATCCCTCATGGTACTTCTGGCTGATCATGTATTCCTCCAACGAAATCTTGCCACTGAATTGGTTGCAAACAATTGAGGAAGAAAGAGAGAACGCGCATGCGTGTTGTGTGTTAGCAAAAAAAACATGAGCAAATGAAATCTCCACTTCCACCTCCATGGTTCTTCCGCTATGTCCTCCTATTTCACATCCCCACTCAAAAAAGCCAGAAAAAGAACTTACTCATTGTTGATATCATCTTCCCCGATGACATGGTCAATCATATCCAACATCTGCTGGAGAGTAACAGTCGACTGAGAGTTAGGGGTGTGCTGGTCGTTATAATCGCTAAAGGCCGCCCGTAATTCGATTCCGTCGAGGTGTCCGTCCTTGTTGGCGTCGTGCAGCGTGAACAACATCATCAGCTCCTCCTTCTCAGTCAGGTTCTTGCCTTTCTCTCCCATATGCTCCTTCGCGAACCTATTTCGTATTTTTGGTGATTGAGGGAAGAAGAACGGGTAAATAAGGGTATACTGAGCGTCTCAATGAGAATTGTAGTAGAGTCGGAGTATCATGCTGGTCATAGTTGCTGAATTTTAGTCCATGACTTCAAGGGAGCCAGCCAGAGGCTAAAAGACAGACAAAAGAGGACGTACTCCTTGGCTTTGGCGGTGTCTCCGTAGTTACTGTGTTCAGCGTCGGTCTCTGGGATGTCGGCGAGGACGGTCGAGGTTGCGACGGCGAGGAGAAACAATGCGGAGCAGGCGAATGCAATTGACTTTCGTAACATGACGGTGCTTTGGTAGTAGGGAGTGAGGGTATGGACAAGAAGGGAAGAGGAAAGGGGAGGGAAGGGAGAGGGTGTCAGAGAGAAAGGAGAAGAAGGGAGAGAAGAGAAGAGAAGAGAGTCGTTGGGAAAGAGGGTGTAGGGTGTGTAAGTGGCCTGCTTCTTCTCACACTCCTTTTTGTCTTGACCCCCTACTTCACAGAACACAGGAGGAGCGTGCTTGTGACTGTCTGAGGATCCAATGGGGGAGACTTGAAGAGGATTCGAATGTGTGTCTCAGTCTTTCTTAGTTTCTTACTGCACTGCTGGAGAGAAGACGAGAAACAGGGGCAGTAAGTGTGTCAACAACACGTTGTGTATCACTTGTTCTTCTAACTGTGCCAAAAGGAGACTTTCTATCTTGGATCGCATGGGCTGCATTGTGGCTATATTGCCCTATGCTCCAAAGACTATGATCGTTTCTACAGAGCTCATTGATCCAACCCATTTCTCCACAAAGGTGACCAGAGGCTGTTGTTGTAGATGTGCGATGGACTGTTGGCATGATTCGACTGGAGTAAGACGTAAAAGTTAAAAAAAAATAAGAAAAAAAGAAGAGCCTCAGCCAGAAGTGTAAGCAAGTAAGAATGTACATGTTGGCATGTTGGTTTGCAAGAGACAGATTTAGTCGCTCTGACATGGCTCGCTCTGATTTGCTGGTTTTTGTTTGATCCACCACCAACCCCATTTATTGTTATTATTGTTACTCAGTTGCGAGAAGGGTCGCACAGGAATTATCCACAAAGAGACGTTGAACTCGAAGAGAAAGAACACGAAGGAAGAGTGTGCAAGCAGTTGTACTTAGTACTAAGGCACTTCAAAGATGTCAATTGGTGTGAGCACAGGAATGGGCCACCAATGAGATCCTGCCGACTGCCCTCCTTGCACTTTTCATTGATCTCAACTGATAACTCGCCTTTAAAGTCGTACCTTTTCTTTTTTTATTCTCTTTTCTTTCTTCTACTTCTTCTTCTTCTTCTTTATCGCACCCCTCTTGATCATCCTTCCACTCCTTCCTTTCCCTTCCCATTTCTCTTTCCTTCTTGTCCATACCCTTTCGCCAACCCTAACCTCTCTTCACACACACATATTACACATACATCATGAAGACCACTTTCTTGCTCGCTTCTCTCGCCATCGCCGCCGTCGCCTCTGCTGCCGGCACCACCTACCTCGAGGAGAACTTCACCGATAGCAACTGGGAGGACGTACGTTTGCTATAACTTTTTCTTCTCTTTGCCTTTTTATTTATTTTTAACTATCGTGTCAACAAGTCATCCTAACGTGTTCCCTTCTCTTTCAAATCCATAACATCAATAGCGCTGGACGGCTTCCTCAGCCAAGGACAACTTGGGCAAGTTCGCCCTCTCATCGGGCACCTTCCAGGCAGACAAGGAGTCCGCCCAGGGTCTTCAAACAACAGAGGACCACCGCTTCTACTCCATCTCGACCCCCTTCGCCTCTGTCGCCGACAACTCAAAGGAGGACCTCATCATCCAGTACACTGTTAAGCAAGAGGTCAACCAGGAGTGCGGCGGTTCCTACCTCAAGCTCCTCCCCGAGGGCTTCGACGCCGCCAAATTCGACGGCGACTCTGAATACGCCATCATGTTTGGCCCCGATGTCTGCGGCCCCGACAACCGCGTCCACATCATCCTCAACTACAAGGGCAAGAACTTGCTCTCCAAGAAGCAGTACCCCGTCCCCAAGGACTCCAAGACCCACTTCTACCGTCTCACCGTCCACCCCGACCAAAAATTCTCTCTCATCATCGATGGTGAGGTCTCTGAGGACCACGTCGAGATCGAGAAAAACTGGGATATCTATGCTCCCCGCACCATCCCCAACCCTGCCGAGACCAAGCCTGCCGACTGGGTCGATGCCAAGCAGATCGAGGACCCCACCCACGTCAGGCCCGCCAACTATGACCAGATCCCCCGCTACATTCCTGACCCCGAGGCCACCCAGCCCGAGGACTGGGATGTCGAGGCTGATGGCGATTGGGAGGCTCCTGATATCCAGAACCCCGAGTTTGAGGAGTTTGTCCCCCGGTTCATCCCCAACCCTGCATACAAGGGCGAGTGGAAGGCTTCCGAGATCCCCAACCCCGAGTTCAAGGAGGATACCGAGTTGGGTCACTACAAGATTGCCGGTGCTGGTCTTGATCTCTGGCAGGTCAAGAGCGGATCGATCTTTGATGACATTATTGTCACGAGTGATGCCGCCGTCGCCGACAAGTACCTCGAGAGCTGGAAGGCCAACTTCAAGACCGAGGGCGAGATCGTCGAGGCCTTGGATGCTCAGTTGAAGGAGAAGGAGAAGCAGGAGAAGGAGGCCGCTGCTGCTGCTGCTGCTGCCGAGACCGAGAAGAAGCCCGAGGAGAAGGATGAGCTTGATGAAGAAGAGGAGACCCCCGTCGCCACTGAGGCCGAAGCTGAGGCTGAGGTCAAGGAGCCCGAGACCGAGACCGAGACTGCCCCCGAGGCTGTCCCTGAGGCTGAGGTTGTCCCTGAGGCCGTTGTTGAGGAAGTCAAGGAGACCAAGGAGGCCGCCCCTAAGGTTGTCGAGGAGGTTAAGGAGACCAAGGAGGCTGAGACTGAGCCCGAGATCGTCGCCGAGAAGATCGTTGAGCCCGAAGTCAAGCTTGAGGTTGTTGTTGATGAGACCAAGGAGGCCGAGAAGGAGCCTAAGGCCGCCGAGAAGGAGCCTAAGGTCGCCGAGAAGAAGGATGAGTCTGCTGAGGCCAAGCACGACGAACTGTAAAATATTTTAGACCAACCATCCACCTTTTTTTACCCTTATTACCCTAAAAGCTTTCAAATACAACTTTGCACATGTACAAAACAACCAAAAGTGTCTGCTCTATTTTAAATTGCGATGGTATTGGACATTGACGACGAAGGGTTGTGCAATTGGGACATGGTTGACAACAGACCTTCACTTTCAGGGCCGAGACGCGGGCAAGATTAGGGTGTATTTTTCAGCGTTGGTACGGAAGCCGTGCCTTATTCGACGAGAACGAGGGGTGTGCGATAAAAACGTGTCCGTAAATTAGCAAAGGGTGGTGTTGTTGTCAGTTGGCTGTCAATGGCCAATGGTTTTCCACCGATCCTTGCTTAGTTGAGAAGTACGTCCCTGTTGTTCCAGGGATTAAGAGAACGTGGAGCCATCGAAGTAATTGAGCCGCGCGTTGTGGGAAGAAAGAGAATCAATGGGTTGAGGGGAAGAAAGAGACCGAACCGGGGAAGGCATGTTCTTCATTTTCTTTTGTCGTTTGGATGATTGAGTACCCACAGCTGGGGCCTGCAGGGCGCACGTGGGGGGAGTGAACGCTGAATGGTTGTGTGAAATAAAAGAGCAGTTAGAATGCCTTGGGCGTTGATGCCAACAAGCTGAGGTTGTGGGTAAAGATCAAATACCATTGAGATTCTTGAACAAGGGTTAAGAGACGAGTCCTCAATGACGCGGATGGTGTCTAGGAAGGAGCGATACGTTGGACAATGGCGTCCCGATCGTTCTTCCTCTTTTCTCCTTTTTTTTTATAGGTAGTGTCCCTTTTACCAAAAGGATCATTTTTTGCATGGCGTGGAAGTCCTAAATTGACTTGCATGTGTGTGTGTTAGAGTTTCAATTACTGTCCTCCTTTGCTCCTTTGTTTGACCCCTTTTGTCATTCTTTTACCTTTCCCATCATCTCTTTCTCATCCCCCTCTTTTCTTCCTTCCCATTAATTCATCCACACACCCTCTTCTCTCCAGAACTAGACGAGCAATAAGACACGGACCACTCACTCATCAACGTTCGACATCCTCTCAGTCCGGCACACCAGGAAACAAGCCCACCCGTCCTCGCTCCTGTACCCCTGTCACTACCCCGAAGGGTCCTCACTCCACGTCTCATACCCTCCGGAGGCCCCTTTGTCCCATCGGATCGCCACCCACCCTCCACCTCTCATAGACCAGAGGACATATAACTCCTGTACAATAGCCACCAACACGGCCACAACCACAACCACAACCATAACTACAACGGACCAGCCATGGCCTACTCACAGCATCAGCATGCCTCAGGAGGACGAGGCAAGCCAGGGATGATCAACCTCGACAAGATCACCAGCAATTCCTCCTCAGGGTAAGCCCAAAATACGCCCACTTTATTTATATTTTTAGCAACTTTCGTCTGCACTCACTGTGCCACTGCAATCAATACGCTCCGCTCCCTTCCCCCATCCACCACCACCATTAACCCACTGATACTTTGCTTTTCATAATACATTAGGATCCCATTCAATCATATCGCATTTCTCGGGATTGCAAAGTTAGTTCAGGCAGCGAGTGCCCACTTTTTGAGAGAGTGGATCAAACTGGAGCACAAGCCTTTGGGAGTCGTGTTGTTTTGTATCCTAGCGACTGCTGCTGTTGTCCTCCTGGCGATTGAGCGGCCGTGGTCGAGGCCCGCAGGCATGGATACCTGGAAGGTAATTGGAGAGAGTATTAAACGAACACACAGTAAGGTCGATATTCCATCTTCAAGCAATTAACCGACAGCTTTATTCCTTCTTTTCTATTACTCAACTTACCGATATGAAAAACAGTGGAACAAGATAATGGTCTATGGTGCAGCATTGGCAGGACAGATGTACCTCTGGCTTTGGGGTCTGACAACACTTTCAACACTGAGGTACCGTTATTTACTTTTTATGGTTTGAATACGTCGCTGCTCTTTCATTTGGCTGTCCGGGATCCTTACACGTCTTAGGGGTTGTCCTTGGATGTCGTTTATAGGGTGCTCATGTTGACACAGTACGCCAATATCTGGATGGTGGCAGTCTTGGCCGCGTTGGTCGGAAAGCGTTCCTCGTCCCAGGTAAACAATTTACTCAGAATCAGGATCGACAACTTTTGAAATGCTCATTAGTCAAAAGTTGACGTGACCCTGACCCTGTTACCTTGTTCTTTTTGCACCCTTATAGACTCAATATTCGTTTGTGGTTCTCGGAGGAGTTTTGGCTTGCTTCATTCTGGACATTTGCTATGCGCCCGCAGGATCTCACTTCATCATGATTGCCTCCGGTTACGTCGCCATTTTGGCATCGACTCAACTTTCAATCTATCAACGCGGCGTGGCAAGAAGACTCTCGGCAGAGATGGGCAACAACAAGACACTCCATGCAGTCGCAGTCGCCACCGCAGCAGTGGTTATCAGCCCCGTTGCGTTGGTCCAGAGCATGATCTCGACCCAGTCAGGAAGTGTTTATACCCACACCCCATCTTGGTTCGTCTACCTGATCCTGGGCATTGGTATGTTTGTGCTTGATTTCTATGTCAACCAGTCGATCAGCCAGCGCGTCGTCCCCTTGTGGCATGTCTTGACAGGATGGCCTATTGTTCTGGCCAGTTCGTGCTTCACTGGGATTATGGTCACCAAGGCCATGGGCGCCAATCTGTTGGACTTTTTGATTGCCGTCGTCATGTTGTATGGGATCCATGAGCTCTTGCAGGCCGAGGCTGCGTCGAACGAGTCGAGATTCGATTCTGAGGAGGGCGGTCGACTTCATTCCAACCTTCCTACCCATGGCGACTCGATCTCGTACTCTGGCGGCAGTTTCACCTCAGGAGGGGTTGCTGATCTGGGCATCTATATCAAGGCGATCCTTGCCGATAACGACTCCAAGCAGATCTTTTACTTTTTGTGCCTGAACTTGAGCTTTATGTTCGTTCAGATGCTCTATGGTGTCTGGACCAACAGTTTGGGCCTCATCTCCGACTGTAAGTTATTCCTTTGAACTGTTAGTTCACGCTATCATGAATGCCATAACCAACAATGCGAACTAACAATACCTTAATCACATCACTTTTTTTTGTGTAGCGATCCATATGTTTTTCGACTGTTTGGCTTTGGGAGTGGGATTGTTTGCATCGGTGATGAGCAAGTGGAACGCCAACAGGACATTCACATACGGATACAACAGGATCGAGACCCTCTCTGGCTTCTCGAACGGCATCTTTTTGAGTCTGATCTCAATCTTTATTGTGATCGAAGCCATTGAGCGTCTGGTGCACCCTCCAGAGATGAACACCCACCGGTTGCTGCTGGTCAGTTTCTTGGGCTTTGTGGTCAACATGGTCGGCATCTTTGCCTTCAACCATGGGCATGCGCACGGACACTCGCACGGGCATGATCATGGACACGGACATGGGCATGATCATGGGCATGGACATAACGCCAATATGCAGGGTGTGTTTTTGCACATCATGGCAGACACGCTTGGATCTGTAGGAGTTATTATCTCGACGCTGTTGATTGATTGGTTTGGGTGGACGGGATTCGACCCGATTGCGTCAATGTTTATTGCGATCTTGATCTTCTTGAGTGTCATCCCACTCATCAAGGACTCTGCAGCTGTGTTGATGCTTGAGGTCCCGGACTCGAACCTTGGTAGTATCGAGCATGCCCTCCAAGAGGTACACTTCTACTTTCTTTTTCGCAGTATCGGAATAGTGTCTATTTAATGAACACGAAAGAACGTGTATTAACACGTTCCACTTTTTTTTTCTTCCTTCTTGCTCATAGGTGACGAACGTGTCAGGAGTGGCTTCATACTCCAGCGCCCGATTCTGGCCCAACTCTCCCGAATCCATGATCGGCACCATCCATATCCAAGTGTCCGGTGACCAATCGTTGGATACAATGGCGATCCAACATTCTGTCGAACAGGTCTTGTTGTCCAACATCCACGGGCTGAGCCAGGTCGCTGTCCAGGTCGAGAAGGAAGGTCCTAATGGGTTCCAATCTTGCTTCTGTAATGGATCACGGTTAAGGAATGGTGTTGCTGGTGGAATTGCGGGGTTGAAGCAGGATGGGATGGGTATCGGTATGGGTATGGGTGGTTGGACTAGCTAGTTTGGTTTTGGGCCCGATTCTTATAGTTTTTCGTTCGTACGATGGATATTAAATGTAGCATTCATTACCACCGCTATCATCTCTCGTACCAACTTCTGAATATAGAAATGATAAATGTTTTTATTCTCTAATTTGTGGTGGAAGAAGGCTGGGTGCCAGAATTCTCGTGTGCGTATTCTGGACGGACAAGACTTGACTTGATGACGGCCCCACCCAAACATTCGTCCTTGTCGTACAACACCAATATCTATTCAAAAAGAGATTTATGAGAAAGAAAGGCGGGGAAAGTGTCAAGATAAAATGTAACAAAACACGGCCCCACAGTAACGTTAGAAGTGCTCTTTTTTTCTTTTTTTTTGTTATCGTACCTGACCAGGAGCAATGGCTCGTTGAAAGTCCTTGAACTTCACTTTGAACAACCGCGCGGAAGAAATATCTCCAATCGTTGTTGCTGAAGACACTTGATCACCCGCCGTCGTCGTTGATTCAGAGATGGGTTCGATGGAACAGGGTTGAAGGGCTTGGCGGTGCCGGATCTGTGCTGTGAATGGGTATTCGTCCTGTTCATCCTTGTGGTTGGTGATTGAGGGGGAAGAGGAAGAAGAGAGGAGGCGGAGGAGTTTCTTGGGTGGAGCTCCAGCGATCCAATGCCAGTCTTCGGCGATCAGTCCTGGCGAGAACAGACGGTCGTTTTGACTATAGTTTCAGAAGTAGGTAAAAGATATTCAGGGGAAATTAATTAATTGCTAATTGGAGTGTCACAAAAGTCAACAACGGCAAAGTGAGTGAAAAGAGGGAAGAGATGAAAATAAAAACTTACGTTCCGTCGACGACGATCAGGGTGTTGGATGGCAAGTCCGTCCTCAGCACGACCCACCTACATATCAAGTGAGAACATGAAGAAAAAAAAACATGTCAGTAATCCAACCCCCTCTGCTCCTCGATATCCTTCGCCCAAAACCAACTGCATGAACATACTCTAGAAGAACTTACTTATTATGCTTATGAGTGACTCCAGAGGCCTGTCCAACAGTATACTGGAACAACCCCTTATGCATCCCAATCACCTCCCCGCCCAACCCATTAATCCGCACAGGTCCCGGTAATGGATCCAAATATTCTTTCAAGAAGTCTCCGAACCTTTTCCGTTGGCCTACGAAGCAGATCCCCATACTCTCCTTTTTCAAGGCCGCGTTTTGGAGACTCGTCAGTTCACTGTCTTGACTGGCATTGGTGGAGGAGGAGGAGGAGGCAACGGAGAGGGCCATCCACTTGACGGTCGATTTATCGTACTGGGCGAGGGGGAACAACACATGTCGGAGGACACGCTCGGAGAGTGTCGAAAGGTAGTAAGTCTGGTCCTTGTTACTATCCTTGGCTCTCAACAACCTTGCAACCCCTGTCTGCGGGTCGCGTTCCACCCTCGCATAATGTCCCGTCGCCAAATAATCCCACCCTTCCTCCTCCTCTTCTCCTGCCTCCATTCCTTCTCTACGATCCTTTCCAAGGCCGCCATTCTTCCTACACCACTCAACCAATTCTCCAAACTTGATCTCCCGATTACAACTCACATCCGGGTTGGGTGTCCTCCCGCGCTCATACTCCTGCAACATGACCTGAAAGACCTGGTTCCAATACTGTCGTGAGAAGTCTAGTCGACGGGCTGGAATGCCGATCTGAGCACAGACGGATTGAACATCTGCCCAGTCTCTGTCGGAAGTGCAAACTTTTGGGCGGATCGGGGCTGTCCTTGGCATAGGCTTGTACCCGTTTCCTCCTGATGATGATTGTTGTTGGTCCGTTGATGTTGATTCGGAGAGGAAAGTGGAGTTTTGTGAAGAAGGAGAGGAAAGAGGTTCGAGTTCGTCCTGAGTTTCTTCGTCATGGTTCCAGTTATGCATATATAGCCCCGTGACGGCGTAGCCTTGGTTGTGGAGGATATGTGCGCACATTGAGGAGTCGACGCCTCCGGACATTAGGAGGAGGACTCGTTCCTTTTTGTGTTGGGTCCTTCTACTAATATGGTGGTCGTGGTCATGGTCAAGTGTTGTGGTGGAAGTGGCGGTTGCGGCGGTGGAGTAGGATCTGTGGCGGCTGTGGAGAAGGCGACGGTGGGTGAGGCGAGAGTATGCGGGCGCGTTGACGGACGAGGAGGAGGAAGAGAGTTTGAGGATGCGCAGTTGAGCAGTTGTGGATAGTGCTGCTGGGCACCTCCAGGAGGCTAGTTGCCGGAAGGCTGTAAGAAAGTGGTGGCCCGACATGTTCCTTGATCCCTGTGCCTTGAATGGGTTCGAATGCCTTGAATGGGTTCGAATGCAAAAAAAAGTGGGTGGAGCACAGTTGTTTGTGTCTTCGGGTTGTCTTGGGCGAAGGGAGACGAGTGGAGGAAAGCCTGATCAGCAGTCACTTTTTTCACTGTTCAACGTAAATAAATAAATAAAATCCTCCATGCCAAGTTCCTTTTTCTTCCACCCCCAACAACCCTTACGAGGAATCAACAACCAAAATGTCACCCACAGACTCAGAATCCGAACCAGAACTCTCATCCGAGACCCTCAAGATCCTTCAACAGGTCATGCAGGCGCAACAAGAACAACAAGAGAGGTTCGAGCAGCTCCGTCAACAGGCCCAAGATCGCTTCGACGAAGCCCAGAAGTCCAACAAGGACCTGAGCTTGATCACCATGGATTTGTTCAGGGAGGACTGGCAGCTGTCGCAATTCTGGTATGACGAGAATACCTCGGAGCAACTGGCGCGGGAGGTGTTGGAGAATTCAGATAAGGATAGTTTGGTCTGCTGTATCTCTTCTCCTACCGCCTACGTTAAGCTTATGGTAAGCAAGGAACCTTGGTAGAAGAACAAGCGGGGCAGTCTAAATCAAGGAGAGCGCAAATAGGAAAGACTTAAGTGAAAGACTCGTCGATGAAAAAAGGACAAGATACAGCGCATTCATCAGTCAAGGAAATGGCCACGTATTCATGGAGAGGAAGAATACTGGAAGGGAAAGAAAAGGAACATAGATTCCATGGGCCAGTCAACCCTAGGAATACAGGCATAGATGCGCGACAATTACAGGACACACAGAAATGATATTAGGGGGAAAAAATCTACAGCACGAAGATTGTTACTTGCAGGTTACGCGATGCCTAACAGCCTCCGATAATTCATTCACGAATACTCAATCCCTATTATAGTCGATGAAGCCACTCACACAGAGAAACAACTTCCTCTTCGAGTACGACACTCGCTTCGACGTATACGGCCGCCAGTTCATCCATTACGACTACTCTCACCCGCTCGAATTCCGGCTCGCCGAAGAACTCAAATCCTCTGTCGATTTCATCGTCGTCGATCCTCCCTTTCTCTCGGAAGAATGTCTTACAAAGACTATGGAAACAGTCCGATTCTTGTTGAAGGAGGGAGGGAAGGTGTTGTTGAGTACAGGGGCGGTGATGGCACCGATTGCCAAGAAGGATGGGTTGTTGATGACGACTTTTTATCCCGGTCATCAGAATGGGCTTTCGAATGACTTCAGATGTTATCTTAACTATGCTTCTGAGAGGTTCCCTTTCAAGAAGGATCAGAAGTAGAAAATATACACAAACAGTAGACATTGAAACCATGTAGGGTCTGTGAGCGAGCGATATGCGTGTAGATGAGTATGGTGGCCATTTATTTTGAGGCGAGCTAATGTACAACAAGTGTGAAGGGAGAGAAGGGAGGGTTTATCGAATTGGATGCGTGTGGGTTCCTGAAAAATGGCAATAAGACAGAAGAGGGGTTTCCTTAACAGCATCCCTCTTTGGGACGAGGTTGGTGAAGATGGATTCTATCAGCGTCATTTGCCTGTTGGTTCGCATGCTCTGCTTCCCTGTGCATGATCTCCTCGAGCAAGAACCGTGCTGCATCGTCAATGTTGCTGTTATCCTTTGCCGATGTCCCGAACCTACAAATTATGCAAATAAAATAATTGGGAAGCGCGGTATGACATTGTCAGACGGCAAAAGATCTCAGTCCGAACAGTTCTACCTGTCCATATTCACACGTGGCGCATATTAGGTTGTTCGCTGTGTGTGCGCGTATAAGTTACCATTTCAAAAAGCCATTGTCTTCGCAGAACCGTTCCATTTCCTCGCCGTTCAATCCAACAGATGCTTCGTCCTGCAGGTCAATCTATATGTTTATCCGTCAAGGAATACAAGAGGATATAACGGTAAGTTAGCATGAACACGATTCGCGTGCAATCACACCTTCAAACCAGAAAAACCCATTTCTTTCACAGGGACGCCGCTTCTTTTGTTCAACAAAAAAAAAAGAGATCCCGTTCGCCTGTAGGACAATGGGTGGTACCTTGTTGGCGAGAAGGACGACGGGAATGGGTTGTCCATCAGGTAAACAGACTTTAGTGTCCAGATCTGCCTTCCACTTCGGCACTGCCTCGAATGTATTTGGTCGAGTGATGTCGTAGACGACCAATGCTGCGACCGCCTCCTTGTAGTACACCTATTCGGAAAAAAAATGGAAGATGAATGAGTTCGGGAGGAATGGGTCTTTGTCAGGTTCGAATATCAATCACAAAGACCTTTTCCCTGTCGGTAGTGGTTATTTTCTCCCCTCCTTTCGCATGATGAGGTTCCCATCCGTCCCTACACTCCCTCCGTTTTCCCACATGCCTCCTCTTCTCCCTTTTTGGAGATATCGGTTGGTGCTCAAAAAAAAGAAACGGTGACAGACACATGTGTATGTTGGTTCACATCGGGTAGGAGAGGGTGGTGCGACAAGGTTGTGGTTGCTCCCCTCCCCAATTGATAAGTGCGTTTTTCCATCTCCCTTTCCTTCCCCTTGTGTTCACAAAATGGTCTAGTGACCATATTGCAATCGAACTTTTTTTTTTGGCCGAGAAGTGAACAAAGTCTATGAGCAACTCAAACACGACACACCATAACTCCCTCCAGTCCCTATTGACACTTGAAGTTGAAAGTCAAGGTGTTGTTGTTTGCTTGGATGCGAGCAAGCAGCTTACCCTAGTGAGTCCAGAGAACTTTTCTTGACCAGCGATATCCCAGAGCTGCATCCTGATGACGGTGTCAGGAGACCATTGAATGACTTTCAGGGCAAAATCGACTCCGATCTGATATTAGTTATGTCGTGGCATATGCATATTTCCCGACATGAGATCAAGAGGTATTTTTGTATGTCATTGTCGTCGTTTTGTCGTTTGTCGGGAAAAGAGGAGGAAGATAGACCAGCGCAGCAGTAGCAGCAAGGAGTCGAAAGTAACATATCGAAAAGAGAGAAAGAGAAGCGAAATAAGGCGTCATTGAGCAAGTCCGTCCATGGTCAGCTATCTCGTTATCTCTCATTTGTTACGTTTCGGCGTACACTCACAAATAAACAATCGAGAGTACCATGCTCACAAGAAAGAAACAAAAGAGTGCCCGCAGAAACACTTACGGTGGACTTGTAGTTGGTGGAGAAAATGTTGTGGACGTATCGCTTGATGATGGATGTTTTTCCTGTGCCGAGGTCGCCGATAACGAGGATCTTGTACAGATACTCGCGGATTTCTGTTGGGTAGGGATGCTCATCCATTGTTTTGTGTATATTAACGCGGGCGTGTTTTGTTGTTGTTCTTTTTGCTGTTGTAGTGAATGAGGTGGAGGTGTGAGTATTCCTGAAGAGAGAGTGAATGAGGTGGGATGGGGAGAAAGTGATGAGAATGAAGAAGGAGAGAGGCGAATGAGTGAGAGAGAGAAAGAGAGAGAAGAAATAAAAAAAGAAAGAAAGTATGGCTCTTCACTCTTTTGCCTTTGTCACCCTCACCCCTCGCCCACTCTTCTTAGCCACAGCCAAGAGACAATGACATACACAAAGACCACGCGCTCTTTGTTCCTGCCTGCCTTGCCCTTGCCTTGCAAGTGAGTATGTTTCTCAATCTCGCACATCTCTTGCCTATTCTGGCCACATGGCTTACAGTAGCACCATAACTTAATGTCCGACGCCCTTCGGATCGATCGAAAAAAGGGACCGCTGTCAAGGAAAGCGTCTTTCGTCATGGTCCTCCTTCTTTCTTTCTTTCAATAAGGCTTAACTTGGTGCCCCGAAACTCAGCCTGGCTACCGTCCGTGCCACTCACTTCTGGCTGAATCCTCTTTCCTCTCCTTCCTCACTGCCGTCTTTCCTTTTCTTCTTCCGTTCGCAATTTGCGGCGTGGACCACAACCAATGCTGCCTATTCCATGGTCTTCACTGGATGGCACTCTCCATTCTCAACATCTCCAACCTCCAACAGCTTTTACTTCTTCGCCATATAAACGAGTAGAACTAGGGTATGAACTCCTCAAAGGCAGTGAGTGATCAAGAAGGGTCTTCACAACAAAAAAAATTGGTGGCAAAAAACGATACGCGTTAAGAATGCGGTGATGAATCTGAAACAGACGCGTCACATCAGTGCTCTCTGTAGGCGGCGGTGGTGGTGGCGATAAAGTAGGTGGTCTTGCGGATCGTGGACTTGGCCATGGTGCAGTTTTTGGAGACTTGGTGAGGGAGAAGGAGAGAAGGAAAGAAGGAAAGAATGACTGAGTGGGTGGGTGTAAGAGAGCGTGATGGTTGGTTAGGGCTTGAGAATGTGTACTTTGTTAAACTGATGGAAAAAAAAAAGGAAGGCAAGCGGATAAAGCGGAGATAATTTATATGAGCTGTTAGGTTAATGACGTCCTGTGCGGTGACGATGATGAGAACGAAGTCAGGGGGAGGGAAGAGATCGAATGAGTGACCAACTAGTAATCCCACCACCAGGTTTTGATTCCTTAGTCACGATTCTAAAAAAAAGAAACGGAAAAGAAAGGGAAACAGAAAGAAGAGAGAGATGGAGAGATAGAGAGATAGAGAGATAGAGAGATAGAGAGATGAAAGGAGGAAAAAATAGAAAGAAACAAAGAGATAAAAAAAACGATGCATGGAGGAGGGATACTTGAAGTAGGGGAGAGGAAACAACGCTACTTGAATTTAGATCTAGAGGAATTGGCACCAGAGCAGCACTCCAAGCGAAAGAGGTCCACCTCTTTCCATTTTATGTAGTCCGTCATTTCGTTTCTATACATCATACATCCAGGCGTAGTATCATCCTGCACAGACGAGGCGCTGTTTGGGCAGCAAAAAAAATAAGGACGACAAGGCCTGCAAAAGAATAGGGGGTGCGAAAAGAAGAAAGCAGATTCAGACTTGCGGAAAGAAGGATGCGGAAAGAAGGATGCGGAAAGAAGGACGCGGAAAGACTGTTGGATTTGTACCTTCCATGAAGACTTCTCCCTTTTTTTAATATCGTTAAAACAGGACTATTTTTGATGTTGTTATTTTATTCAGATGCTGGGTGAGAAAGATGCTTTTTTGTTGTGCGGATAGTTGTGTATGTTGGATCCATGGGCTGGCAAAAACTAGACAGAAATGCGGCTCTGCTTCTCACTAGACGAAGAGGGGGCCCTTCGCAAGGGCTCTCCAGAAGCTTGGAAGCGGACTGTAGGGGTAGTAAGAGAAGTAGGTGACGCTGGCACTGCTCCATTTTGGTTCCCGCTCACCGAGCGAGAATATTGAAGCTGAACAGACTTGCGCCCCTGAGCACGATCACCTGCACTATAATGAGGGTTCTCGGCCTTCATCAAGGCGTGGATCTCATCCAACGAAAGAGCTGATAGTTCCTTGGCCGAGAGATGGGACTGGGAAAGGGGGTAGTTGTTCTCGGAGAAGATCCAGTCGGCTGGGACGGGGGCACGGGTAGCGACCATGGATTCAACTTCGGCTTGGATGACCTTGCAGAAATCATCCAGGGGCAGATCGTTGTAATCGTCGTTGAAGGGGTTCTCAATTTCGTAACCAATGCCCAAGATTCCGAGGAGCGTGAAAGCAGCGAGCATGGTGGCGGGGATCATGAGCTCCTTCATGTTGGAGACAAGCTGGAAGGGGAGGGCGAGGAGGTAGATCCAAGTGGCGTGGTGGAGATGGATCGAGTAGGCGAGAGGGATGGGGGTACGGAGAATACGTTCGAATCCGGTGAGGCAGTCAACCATCGAGACCAGGGCGTTGTTCATCATGGTCAAGGTGGCGGGGTCGACCTTGCCCTTGTTGCTGCAGGCCTTGATGTAGCTTCCAATGTAGTATGACAGCTCGACAGGGATGTTGGTAGGTGTCAAAAAGTCAAAAGCCAAATCCTGACCGCGAGATTGGCGACGAGCCCGACCGCCTTCAAAAGTTCCACTGGCACGGCCAATGTTGGTTGCAGAGCCAGACAATTGCGAGGTCTGTGGCCGCTGAGGCTGTGGTTGTTGTTGAGGGGTGAGAGACTCGAGGGGAGTGGTGGGAATGTCCATGCGCCAATCCATTGGTTCGACCGAGGTGGGAATGGAGTATTTGGGGATGTGGGTGAGGAGGTCGACCATGTCGTCGTAGTCGTAGCCGTATTCCTCGCGAAGGTAGTGTTTGGTGGCAAAGGCAAACGCGACGAGGAGGTTGATGGCGGACTTTTTCTCGAGTAGGTCTCTTGTCTCGGTCTCGGCAACGCAGACCCAGATGCCACGGGTGAGATTGCGGATACACAGGGTCATCTGTGACCACAGACGGCGACCCTCCCAGTAACGATCGTAGGCTATTATTTTTCGTTATCGGGAAATGAAAAAGGTGTTATTATTATTTTAAAAAAACTTCACACGAGCAGCGGGCTGGCTCTTCATTTCGGAAAATGAATGCAGGAATAGGGGGGAACACAAAAGCCGGATAAAGTCTTGCATCTGCTTGTTGTTGACTGACGGTGACACAACCTCTTGCAGAGAAGTGCACGATCATAACAAACATCTTTTTTTTAAAGGTGCATGAAAACAAAAGGTGGACTGAGCGTCGACGGATGATGCAATTGAAGGACAGGACTACTTACCGGTGTTGGTGCGGAAGACGAGGAGGAGAGACACGACCATGCCCATGACAGAGACAAGGTTCTAATCAATTTGATCAGTCATTCAATTGGATTCAGGAACAAATCAGACCGTTAGAAATCATCAGCTCAGGAGCGTACAAGGGTTGGGGAAGGGATCAATCAAAAACAGAATCAGTGGGTGATGCTGCTGTAAGGAGAAGAGTTTTTCGTGAATATTACCAGAGTGTAGCCCATCTTCCATTCAGAGTACTTGCTGATTAGGAAGACAATGGCTGAGTAGACGCCAACAAGGAGGATGTGCCACCAGATCTGGAGGATGACTGTGCCTTTGAGACGCAGCATCATGCGCCACTTGGCGTTGTCATAGACTGTAGTTCCGTATTTGCGAGCCATGTCGTATATACTATGTTTGTGTGTTGAGTCGAGTTACTGATGATGCTGCTGTCGTTGTTGCTGTCGTTTAAGTCGTTAATAAAGGGTAGTCGAGCTGTATGATTGGGTTATTACGTCGAGGGGAAGAGAGGAATGAGTGTTGAAGGGGTTGAATGAGGAGTGAAGAGTGAATGAGATTCAAAAAAAAGAGAATGAATGAATGAAGAAGAGGGAGTAGGAAGGGGAGGAAGGATTTTATGGTTGTTTTATTAAGGTGAGGGGGCGTTATTGAAAGCGAACTGGGTGCTGTGATCAGACAAACGCGGCGGTTGGTGTCTGTTTAGCGCCTGTTAGGGTCAGGGTCCAGCTGGTGTCTGTTTAGTGCCTGTTAGGGTCAGGGTCTTCTTCGAACTGATTGATTCGAATCGGCAATTGGTCGTTAATCAAATAAATGGAAGGAAAGGAGAAGGGGCGGAGGGACAGAGGGATTACTAAGGAGAGGAAAGGGCAGGGCAACGGCGCTTCCTTTATATATATTCTTATCAATCGGAGCTGGTCCAACGACCAAATGCAACCTTAATAACCAGAGGTAGGGTGCTTTCCATATATATCTCTCTTTTTTTCAATACCAGCAATGGACATCCTAACGAACTACGGCGAACAGATACATGCTATCCTTTGACGATGCACACAGACAAATGGACAGAACGCTTTTACTATGGTCCGTCGTAGCTTCTATGGCACACAAGCAAGGCAAAAAAAAAAAAAAGTGAGCCTGCGTTGTTTTTTTTGATTGACAAGCGCCCGAAACGGGAACATCAATTTTGCATACACATCATACACAGACGAAACCAAGGTTAAAAAAGTCCATGCTCACTTGATTTATGTGTTCAAACGAACGCCTCCAAGCCAACTCCAAAGGATAACGACAAATTGGTGCGGACAGTCAATGTTAGAGTGGTGGTGGCAAAAATAACATGCGCCCACCGACAGCCCATGAAAATACAATTTCTTTTGGTTCGCTACAACCATAACAGTACACCTTTTGGGTTGTCTATTCCGCCCACCTTCACCTTCACATTTACCTCATTGTCCGTTGTCATATACTCTTGCCGATTACTACGTCTTAATCGACAATAGAGGGCAGTGTCCAGCAGGCTGCTCCACAAGGAGGTTGAAGGGGTGGTTGTTGTTGTTTCCTTTCTCGACCTTTCATATGTGTGGTCGCGTGTGCGGTTGTAGATAGCGGAGGGAATCGAGGCATTAAATTGCATTGAGACGGAACCAATTGAAAAGGCAGGGCATTTAATTTATTTTTGTTATTGGATACAGGGAAGAAAAAGGTGCCAGCTCACTTCTTGAACACCATGAGGGGTCATTCGCATCATGCAAGGGCATAATGATGATTCTCTGGTTTTTTAACCTCTCCCGATGATTGGACTGAACAACTAATGAATGAATGATGATTCAGGATCCATGAACAGCCTACGATAGGCTTTATTGATAGGCTGGCGTAGGTTGTTCACAAACGCGTATTGTGCGTTCATATTGACTGCAGGAGGAGTCATGCAATAAATGGTTGCCATTTCCCCTCTTGGTACAAGCAACAACGAGGAACTTTTTTCCGAGGGAAGAATGGAGCATGCATCCCGGTAAGCTATTCTCGAAGCTATGCATAGATCGCTGTTAGCCTTGCACCTTATTATTGCTGAGCCCTTCCTTGCAGATTTCTTTGGGACTGCCTTTCTCCTGGAACAGATGCAGTCGAAGACCAAACGCAAAACAATGAGACTCGCGTCGTTGCCACCAAAAGGTGTGTTTGTTGTTCTTCCTTGTCCCAAGCTCATGCTGATCCCACCTTCACAAGAGTTCGACCCAGGAACACTCCAACACCGCAAAGATGCACACGCAACCATGAGCACACAACGGACCAAGACTACGGCAACAACCCCATCTAGTACCGCTGCACCCGTGCCGCATCGTTACCAGTACCCCCTTGACGTGCCGCGCATCTTTCGATTGTTGCGCCCACTCAAAGCAAAGATCTCCGCCATCGAGCTCGCCATCAAGTCTGCCCCGTCCTATGGCTACACCACCATCAATGCCAACAGTAACAACAGTAACAGCAGTAACAACGTTGTCAACGGCGCCGACGACAACAGAACCACCACGACAAACACAATCGACCGACGCGAGCGATATGTACGCCGGAGTGGTCGCTCTAGTGCACAGCACGAGGAGCAAGAAGCAGCAGTGACCAGGAGCGCCTCGGCGAAAAGTGGGAGGGACTTGCTGATCAAGCGATTCCAAGGTTCGCTGACGGATGTCTTCAAGGAACTGTTCGACAAGTATTGGTGGCGCCCCATTTGTGATGACTACGACCTACCACTAAACTCCTCGCTGTCCCAGGTGCTCTCGAAAGGGATCAAGCCCAGTCAGTACACGCTGGGAATGACATGCGCCTTCGCTGTCGGACGCGTCATCGCAGGCCTCCCAGACGACGAGGCAGTCCTTGTGGACAAGTACTACAGTATCGTGCCGGAGTCTATGCGCAGGTGCGATTTCATCATGTCTGGTACATCGCAAAGTGAACAAAAACAACAACCTTATATTTTATCAACTCACTTTCGATCGACTCTGTTTCATATGTCTGCATAGATTCGCGCTTCTCGAGCACGCTGTGCGAATGTGCACATCTCTTATACCCATCAAAGACATGCTAAAGCAACTTGCGGAAGTATGTGTCCGATATCGAGCTGATGCACAGGTAATGCCTCTTTTAGCATGCGTCATATACGTACGCCGTACATTTCACCCATATTCATCAATCCTCAAAGGCGACTAAGCATAATTCTCTGACAATTATTAGGCGATGCATATTCTTGAGCATTTGCTGGTGAATCAGGACGAGACTTTTCAGCTGGACTATCGTTGGGCGTACATTGCTGCGTCTCGAGTCGACAGCGCAGAGGCATGGGTCAAGATCTGGGCACAAAAGGCTCCGGTTTCATTCTTCATTTCTCGACAGTTTTCGGCACATATTCGGGAAATTCCCCAGCACGGTGTTACTCTTATTCAAGCATCAGTCAGAATTCATATGAACAGGATTAGCGCTGGCCTTCCAGAGAGTACGCGGCGTGCACGGTCAGTCAGGTTTGCCGCATCCCTGATCGAAGAGTCTCTCAAGGTACACGAACGACTGGCAGAAGGACACGGGAGCGTACCTCAGTCAACACTCGTGACTAGACGCGAAAAGTATGACAGAGGGATCGAACATCTGGCGAGGATTTTGTTCGAGGAGCACGAGCTGGAACCTGAGAGTTGGAGGAGGAGCGTGGCGCTCGCACTGACATTACACTCGCTCTATGGCGCTGTCGCAACTTCGTCCGAGTCGACGACGATAACCGATGGAATGAGCTCATGGGTTGAGTTGCTCCAAAAGCGTGCTACGGTCGGGATCTGCGCAAGCGATTTCAATGTGATCGTGCTGGCATATGGCACCTTGACCAACTTGAACGCTTTGGCACTTATGCTGGATGCAGTAGGACTGTACTCGCTCTCGATGACGCTGGTTGACAGGATGTTGGCTGACTTTTACGAGCTGGAGGACGCGAGTTGCCATCAATTGGGATATCCTTGCGACGTCACCATCCAAAGTCTTAAGTCGTTCCAGAAGGAGCTTGAACAACGGGAAATGCAACTTAATTGCGACAATGGATGGTAAGACGGATCTATCGCTCAAGTGCAATTTGAACCAGATGCCTTCATTGTTCTGCATTATCGGAACCGATTTACCATAACCTCTTAACGTCTCTTCAAATATTTTTATTCTCATTAGGATATATGATGATGTAATGGAGACTTGGGTAGAAATGTCTCCACCTGCGAAAAAGTCGGAGTCACACCCTAAACCGCATTCTCGCGTCGTGTTAAGGCACCCACTCCAGTACTCTTTGACCCCCGTACGATGGTCAAACAGACTCGGCGGGCGACGCGGACGCGACGGCGAAAATGAAAGCGATGCAGAGTCTGAGCCGGATGTCGATGAGGCGGTTTATGACGCTCCGATAGACCTAGAAGTTCTCGCTAGGTTCACAATCGAGGAGGATAGTGAAAACGAGAGCCGCCCTGGACATGAGCGGCCGCCATCACCTGATTTGGAATCTGAGTACAACTCCTCCGACAATGCGGCACACAGGAGTGACACCACGTCTTCCGAGAGCGACCCGAGTGATGAAGAAGATGGTGGACCTGCGCACGTGGATGCATTGGACGGCGATGACGAGGTGTTCCATGGGGACGAGAGCGATGATGAAGCGATGGCCAGGCCAAGTCGCAGGCGACGTCAGGTGGACAACACCAACGCCTCGGCCTTGTCACCAGAAGTTGCCATCATAAACGACAGCACGGGGCACAGTGACGACGATTTTCAGGGCAGCGACGGAGGCGGTTCATCCAGCGGCAATGAGGAGAACAGATTTATCCCGAGTGACAGCAACAGCAAGGACAGCAACGTTGAGCCCACAGAAAGTATCGTGACGAGAGCTCGCAAAGGACGATGTCGGCAGGTCCCAAAGCCCAAGTCTAAGGACCGCAGCAACAGGAAGGATGGTGTCAACGGAGAGGATGTGTTTGTGATAAGCGACGATGATGGCGATTCCAGCCAAGAGTCAGTTGACGAGGCAAGCCAGGAGTCTGACTGGCAACCCAGATATCGAAAGCGATCACGTCAACGTTCCAGCAAACATCGACATGCCCTGAACACTCCAGAGTCTGAGCCCGATTCAGATACCCAGGACGAAGACGACGCACCTGTCATACCGCGGAAACTCCTTCGCCAAGTTCGGGGGCGCAACAGCGCTGCAAGGCAGGAGAAACACCGCACATCACCACCTCCCACATCGCCACCACAGGAGTCATCAAAAGCGCCATCCAAGACTCAACTGCGAAAGAAACGCCCTCGATCCAACGCGCTTCCAGCAAACCTTGACAGCTCGGGCGACAACGACTGTACGGCGAGCGATGGTCAGGTGCCAATCAAAAAACCTAAATCGCGTTCTTCTCACTTATCCACCTCTCAACCAAGGACAAAACTTGTGGCCTCATCTTCAAGTGTCTCCAGACCTGCCACCGAACCCAATGTCATGAGTCGTACTTACCTGTCGAATGATCACCGCGCTACAAAAGTGGTTCCCGGCAGCAGCGAGGATTTTGACATGGACGACTTTGTCAACACACGGCCTTTCAAGTCAAACGCGAGATCGACACCCACCTTCAACGCTCGCTCGGTCTCAGCATCACATTCCAGCAAGAGCCCCACGATGGAGGCTCGCTCTATCAGTCATCGAAAGCGGGTCATTATCATCGACGACGACGATTCTGACGACGGTCAAAACCACTCGAATCGCGACCGTAACTTAGCTCCCGCTAACTCGACCTGGCAAGCAACAAAAGGCCTGGAAATAAGGAAGGCTGCCACAGAATCTAACGATCCAGACAGCCCGCCCAGGACAAAACCGAGACCTCGTGCGGTTGTCGCCCAGTCCCATACAAGGAAGAGAAACAGGATCGAGGATGACAACAACATGGTCTCAGGACACTGGAATATATTTGACGAGCCAGGGTATTCCACCCCAGCTCGAAAGAATGGAAGGAGCTCGAGGGAGAGTGGCGGGAGTGAGTCGAGTAAGGTCAGGTCGACTGTGGCCGTTGCTGAGGACATGGGGGATGACGCTGAGGTTTTCAAGCAGGATTGGATAGACAGGAGACGGACAATCCATTGGCCGCAGACTCCTGCTATCGCCCAAACATCTTCCTCCAGGCAGCCTCCGACCAAGAAGACGTCTCGGATCGAAATCCCACGGTTCTTTGTGCTCTAAACACATTTGGATACACATGATACTGTACTATAGCCTTCTCATTGTAACACTAAAACTTCCGCATCATCACATATGCACTCAACGCCAACCGTTACGCGACGAAGAGCAGTCTCCGGTAGATGTTAATATGTGCGATAAAAGGAAGAATCGGTGGCGTTAATGTTTTTATTTTTTCCAATTTTTTTAAGAAACACAGACGAGACAGTCACTTTCTGGCCTTTGCATGCGCTACTTGACTTCTGGTGCAGTTCATCGCTGCTCTCTTTTTTTTTTTTTGTTTGTCAACCTCCATTCCATCAACCTTTATATTCAGCCATGGTCCCCGAGAAGAAGAACTTCAGTCACAACGACCTGGATACCCTCCGCTCCAGAGTCATCGTCGAGCGGGACCGTGTCACTAGCGTATGTCATCCTTGGCCATTCCTTCCACCCTTCACCCACAACGCAACCACAACACCATACACACCTCTTTTCTCACTTCTTCCCACTCTCATTTCACCTTCTGCACAGTTCTTCTAACCTTCCTGCTTTCTTCTCCTTTTTACTGCCACTTTAGACGGCTTCGACTGACTTTCCTCACAACTATCCTGGACAGGACTTGGCATGGGACTTTGAAAAGTTCAAGGAGGTAACCACGTAACACCTCAACAACCGCAAAAGAAAAAATGGAACACGGTTCTGGATCTGATAGCAGATCATGGATCACGACAACAGGACTGGCTGGCTGACAATAGATTGATTTGTCTCTGGCGATAGACAACAGGGGACTTGTACACCGTTACTCACCAACGATGCCCTCATTTCTCATATTTTACACGACACAATAGTCCTTCAAGTTGAAGATCAACAAGTTGTCAAAGACGGAAATGGAGTTTGATATGATCGGGATCGACGCCGCGGTCGCCAACGCCTTCCGCCGCATTTTGATTGCCGAAGTCCCCACGATGGCGGTTTCGAACGTCTTTATTATGAACAACACCTCGATTGTGGTTGACGAAGTCCTTGCACACCGTCTGGGCCTTGTCCCCATCTTGGCCGACCCCACCAAATTCGACTTCAAGGGCAAGGAGGAAACACCTACGGATCTCAACACCATCGTCTTCAAACTCCAGGTTACTTGCAGACGCAACCCCAACGCTGCCGAGGGCGAGACCGACCCCCTCAAGAAGTACATTCATGCCAACGTCTACTCGGGTGATATGAAGTGGTCCCCTCAGGGAGATCAGGCCGAGCGGTTCAAGGAGTGCCCTATCAAGCCCGTCTTTGATGATATTGTGGTCACCAAGCTGCGCCCCGGTCAGGAAGTCGATATTGAGATCCATTGTGAGAAGGGATTGGGTCAGGATCACGCCAAGTGGTCGCCTGTTGCAACGGCATCGTACCGTCTGATGCCCGAGATTCTGATCAATGGCGAGATTACTGGCGAGGCTGCTGTTCGGTTCCAGAAGTGCTTCCCCGAGGGAGTGGTTGATGTTGTGAAAGAGAACGGCGTCAAGAAGGCTGTTGTGGTGAACCCAAGGAAGGATACCGTCTCGAGAGAGGTTTTGCGCCACGCAGAGTTTGAGAACAAGGTCAAGTTGACCCGTGTCCGCGATCACTTTATCTTCAGTATCGAGTCCGTTGGAGCGATCGAGCCTCAGGATCTCTTTGTTCAGGCGGTTAAGGTTCTTATGGACAAGACAGGCACTGTGAAGCGCAGTCTTCAGAGCACCTTGCAGGCTGAATAAGCGGAATTTTTTTTCACTTCGTTTTGTTTTCTTTTTCTTATTCACTCATCATTTTTTTTTCTTCTAAGCATTTTGTCACAACACCGTCTTCCTCCACCCTTTCTCCCTTCTTGTCACACATTTCCACGCGTCCACGCGCGCACTCTCGCTCTCTACTTTCTTTTCAAACCTGTCATAATATCCAACAGCCACAGAAATTAAAACCTGTACTTTTTTTGTAAACAAACCACATCAACTACGACTACTAACTACATCCTGTATACAGTATGAAATGCTTAATCTTTTTCTTTTTATTACATATTTACTGTTGGTTCATGATACCACGAAGCTGCAAAGTACGCTTCTTGGCGCTCTGTACACAATCCTTCATCACGCTCTGCGAACAAGAAGCAGCCCCAATCTTGGTGACACCGCACAACAGCCCAGTCTCGTCAAGAGTAATCGAGATTTGTCCGTCGCTGATGGTCTCTTCTGTGACGTTGGGGTCGGCGAGGATGGTGAGGGTGGTGTCAAAGATGGCGAAGGTCGCGCTGAGGGGTGCCCGTGCCAGATTGAGCCTGAACGAGTTTTCGTCGGTTGCTGTTGAGCCTCCTGATACTTTAATTGTTCCTTCCTGATATGTTGGTTTGCGAATCCGGACTATATTGAAAGAAAGAGGAAGAGAATGTAGGCTGTTGGTGAGACCGAAATGCAATATAAAAAACCGAGCGCAACAGGGTAGTAAAAGAACTATGAAGATTATCACATCTTCAACTTTTGATTGAGTACCATTTTTAAGAGCGGCCATAATGGCGGCGAGGGCGGCATCAAAGATATTTCCATCATAGGCGACACAGACGGCGTCGACATATAATACCCAGACGGCCTTGCCTTCCTCGATACAAAGATCCTTCAGATCCAAGACTTTGCTCTCCTTCAGAACACGGTTGATGGCCTCTGACACTGCTTGAGCCTGCTCACTGGGAGGTCCTGGTCTGAACTTGCTTGAGCACATTGGGGACAATTCGACATTGGGGACTATACGAAGATGGCGTATTCAGGAAGAAGAATGAATATCTGTTAGCAAGATGCTATCCTGTTTTGATCCGCCTTAGAACTACTACTCCTCGCGTCCACCTTTGTCACCAATCAATGATGCGTGTCGTTCGTTGTTTCTTTACCAAGATATCCTTGATCAGGGGCATCAAGTTTGGGTTCCGCGACTTCAGCCTTGACGCCACAAACAACGGTAGTCCCGCCAATACGGACCATAGCCGAGCCGTTGGCGGTGGAGATGACGCCGTGGTGGACGGTGGTTGGGCGGAAGGCGTCAAGGAGTCGACCATCGGGGCGGACGCCCTCAGTCGTGAACCTGCGGAAGAATTCCGCTGGGTGAAGCTTTTGGAATGTCGAGGGTGTGAATGAGAATGCTGGAGTTGCCATGGCGTATATATATCTCCTGTTTGGACGTGTTGGTGGTTGGGTTCCTTTTGTTGAATGGTGCCCAGGGTCGAGAGGCAGAATGAAGTGGTGGCAACGCTTTTTTTTTTTTTTTTGCTTGTGCTTTTTTGTTGTGAGAGGAGGATGTGACTGTTGGCGATCAAGATTGGGGTGCTATTTCCTTGCCAAATGAAATCGTTATTTCCATTCGCACCGAGGCATTGATGGGAAATACGATTGTCGACCAATCAGGAGACGAAGATCGATTCGAGGTCAGATTAGCGCGTTTTTCGTGTTTCTCTGAACCTGAACCCTGACGTTCTGGAGCAATGCAATGTGCGGCAAGAAGATGATATGCTATCGTGTACAGAAGCGCGTTTGTGTTGCAAGGGAGCGAGTGAGAAGGAACAATGAGTTCGGAATGGAACGATTTTTTTTCTGGTTAGGAACCTTGGTGAAAAAAATCTTTTTTAATGTTCCCAGTCATGCCAACTACACACAATGGAAAACAAGGGTAGGATAGATGCACGCTGCACAAGGGGCGTGGGTTCACTTTTTCTCAAGAAACAGACTAGACTGTTGCAACGGGTTCACCCTTCACCATCTAATGCCCTACCCATGCTCATCCATCTCCTTTTTCACCCAGCTCACCCGATCCTTGTCTCACCAGTGGGCAAAAAGAACAATAAAACTCAAACAATCCTGGCTATTTCCCCTCTCTCTTATTTTTTGCGATCCCTACCTTCTTCTACTGTCTTGTACTCTTACCCCTCCTTCTCACCCACATCTCTTATTCGTCATATTCCATATTCTTACTCCATTCCCTTCACCTTTATTAATTTTCACAACAGCGCCTTTCTTTATCTGCTCGGAGTAATTTAAAGGCGAGGAATACCACCACACCACTTCTCTCCCTTGATGAAGATCCCTCGTTTTATCCTCTCTACAACACTCGCGACCTTCGCGGTCCTCACCCTCACCCCATCATCATCAATCCCCCATGTCGCCGGCCAAAAGCTCTCCGAGATCCTCAAAGGGGTCAAGATCATCTCCGACGGCGGCACGACGGTAGGAGGATACAAACACCACCAACGGCAGTTCCAGGAGCCGATCATTCGGGCTTCAGAGTTGATCGAGAACAAGCTCCAGAACGCCTACTGGATCGATTTCCATGACCAGTTTGATCAGCATGCACAGTTCTCGCAGCTGGTGCAGACTCACCCAGGAATTACGTTGAGGCATGAGTTCTGGGATTCGATCAATGCTGTCTCTGTCTCTGTCCGGGACGAAGGGGTCTTGAAGGAGATTCTGACGCAGATTACTGGCATCAGGATGGTCGAGCCTGTGGTATGTTCTTATGTCGAAGATGTTTCAGTGATACATACAGTCCTAACTGGATCGGCTTTTTTTTATCGTTGTACATGTGAAAGGAGTGCAGAGGTATAATATGTAAACAAACAAAAACAAACTAACCAAGGCTCATTACTTTTTTCATCCTGATCTATGCAGGTTATGCATGAGCGTCCCGAGGCGATTAGCGATGAGGTCTATGCGTTTGGGGGTGCATCCAAGACCAAGAAGTACGACGTGTAAGTCAACCCCTATCGTTTCATTTCACTTTTCTGTTAGTCCCCTTTTTTTTGTCGCGTGTCAGCAATGCCTGCTAACAAATACCATGCTTTACTGTTTGATTTTCACGCGTCATCATCATCGCCTTGTAGCCATGAGCTGACCGGTGTCAAGGAGGTTCATGACTCCCTTAAGCTTTACGGAAAGGGCATCAAGATCGGTATCATCGACTCTGGAGTCGACTATCATGTATGTCTTCCATCTCTTTGTATCACCTTGCCTGTTTTTTTGGTGCCTTCCATGCAGCCTCATTCGCATTGTTACGCAGACGCAACAATACTCAAACCACACACTCTCTCTTTTTTTTTTTTGCAACAATTTCAACGATAATAGCACCCAGCTTTGGGAGGCTGTTTTGGCCCTGGTTGCAAAGTCGCATATGGCACAGACTTTGTCGGTGACGACGGCCGCAGCCCCGATGACGATCCCATGACCGACTGCGATGGCCACGGCACCCACGTCGCAGGAATTATTGCCGCCAACGACACCTCCTTTATTGGCGTCGTCCCTCAAGGTACCCCCCCCCCCCCCCCCGGCTGCATTATCACACGATTACTTCACGTTCATCTCACTTCCGACTTCTACCCTTGTATCGTTTATTAACCCTTAATCCTACCTTTATATCTGGCCTTGTCATTAGCAACCCTCGGCGCGTACAGGGTGTTTGGATGCAAGGGTGGTACTAGCAACGACTTGATCATGAAGGCTCTTCTTCGTGCTGCTGAAGATGGGATGCAGGTCATCAACTTGTCTCTTGGAGGTCCTGGTGGTTGGCGTCAAGATCGTGAGGCCCGTCTTGCTGATGAGCTGGCCAAGAACGGTACCATAATTGTTGCTGCGATGGGTAACGAGGGTCAGATGGGACTGTTTGAGGCTTCCTCGCCCGGTGTTGCTGGTGCTGCGATTACTGTTGCCTCGACTGAGAATGTGTTCCGAAGCAATATGTATTTCACCGTTGACGAGAAGTCGCTCAAGGGCACTCAGATAGATGAGGAGGAGGAGGAGAAGGAGGAGGAGGAAGAGGAGGAGAAGGAGGAGGAGGAAGAGGACGAGAACCGGTCGCATGACGATGATGACGATGATGATGGAGATGAGGAGGAGAAGGAGCATACCAAGGCTAAGAAGCAGCCCGGAGGGAAGAAGCCTCCACGTGCGATCCTGTATCTGGGTGATTTCGACATGAACCTTTCCAACACAACCTTGGTTGCTGTCACCCCCGGTACCTCTGGAAAGGTCGCCAACGATGCCTGCACGCCCATCACCCAGGACTTGTCTGGAAAGATTGCTCTGATCCGTCGCGGCGACTGTAACTTCAAAATCAAGATCGCCAACGCTGCCTTTGCCCATGCATCAGGTGTCATCTTCATGGATAATGTGCCCTCGACCGGCTTTTCGGCGGACACTGAAGGTGCCACGATCAAGGTTCGAACCATTACATTGGACGACGGAGAATATCTGCTCAAGGCGATCCAGCAGCTAAAGAAGGAGAAGGAGGGCATCAAGCTCCTTGCCGGCAAGGGACCCAAGCAGGTTTTCAACCCCAACGGTGGCTTCCTCTCGGTCTTCTCGTCCATGGGACCCGACTCTGAGCTTAATTCCAAGCCTGACATTGCTGCTCCCGGTGGTCAGATCTGGTCGACCTTTCCTATTAAGTTGGGCTCCTATGCCTCTCTCTCGGGCACCTCCATGGCAACACCCTATGTCGTCGGATGTGTTGGTCTCTACCTCGAGGGACTTCCTAACGGTGACCACTCTGCCAAGGCCATCAAGACCGCCTTCCAGAATAGTGCCCAGCCCCGCAAACAGCAAATGGGATACAAGGGATATGCCTCAGTTACGCAGCAGGGTGCAGGTCTTTTGAGGATGATGGACATCCTCTCCACCAAGGTCGTCGTAACCCCCTCGCACATCTCTCTCAATGACACCGAACACATCAACGCCAACCAGCAGATCACCATCACCAACACTGGTCACACCCCTCTCGTGTACAAGGTCGACATTGTCTCTGCTGCCGGTCTCGAACCCTTTGACACCAAGATGATGGTCGAGAAAATCCCCTTGCCCATCGAAGCCAAGGCTTCTGTCATAATCTCTCAGAAGACTGTCACCGTTGCTGCCGGATCCAGCTCAACCGTCGATCTCAAGTTCACTGGCCCCAATACCGACCCGACCAAGTTTGTGATCTACTCTGGATATGTCCGCCTCACTCCCACAAAGGTCAGCCCCCAGTCTCCTGTCATGCACATCCCCTACATGGGTATGCAGGGTGACTTCAAGAAGGTCAGCATCCTTGACTCGTCATTCAGTCTACGTCTCTTCGATGCCCGCGGTCATCTCATCCGCCTCTCCCCCAAAGGCAACCGCGGCGCCGTCAGAGGCGGTCACTCCACAGTCGGTACCTATGAAGCACCCACCATCCCAGTCGAGACTTCCAGAACCATTAACGGCGAGATTGGCATTGACCGGTCCACCGGAAAAACTAACGACGTCAGCATCGGAGGCCGCCCCCGCCAAGTTGCCCACGGCATGAAGATTGTCTTCCGCATGACCACCGCCAGCGAAGTCCTAGTTGTCGACCTTGTCTCAACCGAGGGTGAAGACCCATACCAAGTCAAAAGCTACGGTCTTCTCAAGGGTGGTGTTGCTCGGTTTGTGCCCCGGAACGACCTGTTGGAGGGTAATGCCTTCCAGGTCATAGGTTGGGACGGCGATCTGTTGCGTAAGGATGGTACACCCGAGCCATTGGTGCGGGATGGTAAGGCGTACAGACTTCGAATCTCGTTGTTGAAGCACTTTGGTAACCCCCAGAATGATATGGACTTTGAGTCGCATTTGTCAGAGCCGTTCAGTCTTGGATAGAGAGACATGAATTATTTTTATCTATGTATTTTTTTTATCTATGTATTTTTTTTTCGTTTACACATTTGTACTTTTATGATAAAGCCTCTACTTTTCAATTTTCACAGAACAAATGCCATGAGGATGTGTGAAAGTAGTATGGATGGGAGTATACCAAGGCAGGGTGAAAGAGGAACAATGGGGCGCATAAATTACGTTACCGTTGACATACATAACCTTGTGAGTGGGTGCAACACTCAAAAAAAAATATAAGCTATCTATCAATAGTTCCAGACTGAGTCCCTCCACGGCCTTGACCTTGCACTTCAACAACCGAGTTGGACTTGGTCGAGGTTGAGTGTCGTCGACCGTCTTGCGCTTCCTGGACTGCCGAGTTGGATTTGATTTGGGCTTGGCATCGGTGTCGGGCGAAGTGTTTTTGCTACTTCCGACTCCGTCTGCGCTGCTTTGCTGAGGTCCTCCTTCCAAGGGTATCGGCCCTGTGCATCGACTGGGCTGGTGGGGACGGAACCGAAGATACCTCACTTGGTCTGTTCTTTTTGCTTTTTTTCTTTTGTCTTTCTTCCTGGTCGTGTAACATACTCGCTTTGATGATTTCGTTTCTTGATGATCTCTGATTTCGCTTCATAAATCTCTGACCTTTTCTCTTCAGTTTTCTACTTTTGTTTCTTGCTCACCTTCTTTGAAAGGAGATGATAGATAAGTAGGTTGCGGACAAAATTCGAACGATACGAGCATGCCAGATATCGCGCATAGGTTGAATCGACGCGGATGCAGATGCCATAGACAGAATATCAATAAAGTTGCTAGTTTGAGTCTGCTTCTATTATATTTATTACGGGTGGTCATCGCTCTTGCTGGAATTCCTTGTACAGGATTGGGACCAATACGTCGGTCTCCAAACTACTGCCTTCTTCCGGTATCCGTTTGTCAATCCGGTCTTGGACTGATAGAGCCATCTTTTGTATCACGACCTCAATGTCGTCCATCGTCACAGCATCTGCATCGATACTCTTCCGAAGCGAAATAATAGCCGCCTCTCTAATATCGTCAGAAAGAAAACGGGTTAAGGTGGGGTCGTGGAACGACGGTGAACATGAATCAAAGACGGCCAAAGAATTAACCCCCCAAAAGGCGAAAAATGTACCTAAAGAGAGCATCTAGATCAGCGGGCGAGAATCCAACAGTCTTCTTGGCCAAAGCCTGCCGACTCTCCAGATCCTTGGGCAACGGAATACGCTCACCAATCGTCGCAATAATCTCTTCCCGATCCTTCAACGAAGGGTACCCGACATAAACAAGCTGGTCCAAACGCCCCGGTCGCAACAAGGCATCATCAATCGCGCGCGGCTGGTTTGTGCACCCAATCACAAAGACCCCCGTCCGCTCCTCAACACCATCCATTTCATTTAGCAGCGTGCTCAGTACGCGCTCGTTGACGCCATTGGTTCCTGCACTGCTATCGCCGCCCCAGCCACGTTTGGCGCCGATCGAGTCCATCTCGTCAAAGAACAAGATACAAGGCGCGATCTGGCGCGCCATTGCAAAGAGCCGTCGTAGTGTCGCCTCAGTCTCGCCTAGATACTTTGAAAAGATTTCGGGCCCCTTGATAGGGATGAAGTTCATGTTGGACTCTGACGCCAGTGTCTGGACCAACATCGTCTTTCCGCAGCCTAGCCGTGTCGTAGATATCTCATTGTGAGTTAACAGTAACTTTCATGACTAAGCTCGCTTCTAACATACTTTCTTTGAGCATCTTCTGTCAACATACCTGAGGGGCCATAAAGAAGGAGTCCCATAGGTGGTCGTACACCGATCCGCTTAAAGGTCTCTGGGTTGGTAACAGGCCAGTTGATAGCCTGATGAATACGACGCTTCAGATCGCGGTATCCACCAAACACACCCTGGGGACGCTGATTGCCGAACGACTCAAACTCGATCTGCTGTGAGGGCTTTGAAGTTTCGATTGCATAGGCGAAATCGACCCATTCAGCTGATCCCAAAGTGTCCTGTCGTCCAGAATCGTCCTTGGAGGTCTGGGCCCTGAGTGAGTGCAGCAGCGCAGATCTGTACATGTTTCGAAGATCCTTGGCCACATATCCTGATGTCATCTATAGTGAGGATTCGCAATATCAAGCGATGTATGAGGATTTTTTGATCGAAATAATTTGATACTTTGATCCTTCGCTACGGCGTATGTAGCTACTGACCGTACCTGTGCTGCACGTTGTGTCATCTCTGACGAGCCCTTAGTCTTTCCTTCTACACTTTCAACTAATGACTCCATGATGTGCTGTCGTTGAGCCCTAAATGTTCATACAGGCAGTAGAGAGAATAGAGGTGTGTCAGTGGATCACCGCAAACGAGAAACTTGGTACGAGAAGGTAGCGGATGAAAGTACATACTTGACAGGAATAGGGATTTGGAACTCATGCTGGAAAAGCTCTTGCTTTGTAAAGATGTCCGGCAGTTTTGACCGGTTCCTTGTAACACCAAACACAAACACCTAAAAAAGTTGTGATATTGGAGGTTAGTAACCATGACTTTGCGGGGTAGAGTGGGCAGCAAGCAATTCATGCAGGACATATGGATAAGAGGCGAAGACGTACATCCTTGCCCTGACGGGCGCGCTCTATTTCCTTAGTCAAGATAGAAACTGCAGATGACTGCAACTGGGAATCCACTCCTCGATCTATTGTAGCAATCGAAGACAAGTATGTCAGGTAAGTTAAGAGAACTGTGATATACGCGCCTGAATCCGTAGACTTGATTGATGAGAGAAGAACAAAGCGTACCTTTGGCGATAGTATCCAGGTCCTGAAGCACCACAGCACTTGGGGCCGATTGCAATGCCATATCAAAAACTGCCCGCACATGTGAGAGCGCTCCTGCCTGATCAGATTCCATGATCTCTGTGTTTGACAGCGTCCGTGCTAATGAGAGTGGAAACTCTCGCAGATTCATTTTCCTGCAGCAAGCCCTATAAATTAGGAATCAACATGCGTGGGTCAGCGAAAGACATCACAGCTGGAGTCAAGTCATTACACTGTAGTCAAAAATGAGGGGAGCCTTACGTGATAACAGTTTTCTTGCCTGATCCTGCAACGCCGCTGACAACGACCGCCTTCTTGTTGGGTATGCCCAACCTCATATACGCGTCCACTCGAGAGAATGATTCGCCTATATTATGTTGACGAGAAATTCAAGAGGTGTGAGACTTCGACTATCTTGTGAGTCGTACCCTTTCGAACCTAAAACACGAGTGTCCACATCCTGAGGAATCCATACCAATAAAATGACAGATCTCCTTGACAAGATCATCCATGCCTCCATGTGCAGTCTGCTCCTTGTTGGTACAAACTGGTGACTCCTGGGCAATCTCGACAGTACTCTCCTTAACCATGACACTTCTGGTGGCCTGAAAATGCTCTGTCTCCTGAGTGAACTGCACCTCCTCGACTCTAAAGAACCGTTGTTGGCCTTTGACCTTTGCAGGGAAGATGGATCCTGCGCTGACGACTTGGTTCCGAAGTGTCTGCTCGAGTAGCTTTGAGATCCATTGACGACTCCGTTTCCCTTGCGGGCTCAGATCGGTGTTTGTGGCGTTGGTCGCTTTGATCCATCCTGACGAGCTATCGGCAGCGCGATTGGATCCGAAGGTTACAGGGGCAACTACCAGCTTTGCAACCTTGGCCACTATGTCGGGTATTTATATTCGCAAATGAATAGTAGGTTGAGTTAGAAAACCAAAAATAAATAAATATGCAGTTACGTGCTCAACGTGGCATTACTTCCTTTATGTTTTCTCCAGCCGCGCGTACCAACAAGGCAAACTTACGTGTTACATCAACATGCACTCCCTCAACACGAACATCACTCAAATTCGGAGGGATATGCCCCACTGTCCAGCCTGAGAGACGAATTGATCCTTGGGGTATACTCTCCAGAGGGAGACACTGTTGGTAGGTCGTGGCGCCGTCAAACAAGAGCGGGTGCTGGACTGCAACCACACCGAGTGCGGGCACACGGAGGTCAATGAGCGTTGTGGGATGTACCCAACAACCATTGTGGACCGCCTGTCGTATGGCTCCCTTCTGCTCCTGTGTTGGTGCTTCTTGTCTGATGAGTGTGAGATCCATGTCTCCTGAATTGGCTAACAAAGTAAATGAGAAGAAAGAAGAATGCAAGAAGTGAAGTTGGTAATTTTTTATTTGTCTTGTGTCTGTGGATCGAATGGGTTGTGACTGGCACTCTATTGGCCTGTGAAATGAAACGCGTCGAACTTGCTAGACAAGATTTCAAACAGTGGGGGAGGAAGCTCTGGAGGTTGACGTTCGTGTTGGCGCGACAGTGCGAGAAAAGGGTCTCGAAGTGGCGGTTCGAGTAACCTTGGAGCGTCGTCTCGAAGATGTGCGTGCGGTTGTAGATCGCTTGGCTGTTGTCGCCTTGGATGTAGGAGCCGCCGCTAACCTTGAACTGGAGGCTGAGGCCGTGACCGACGTCGATGTGGTAGTGGCCGTGACGCTACGAGTAGACGAGGGTTTCGCAGTCTTAGTAACAACCGTCTTTCTTCCATCACCGCCAGATGATTCCATCCCCGTCGCCATTACCGTCGCTCTGCCCTCAAATCCAAGATCCTCGCCACCTTGACCAACTCTCGCCGCTTCATTACTACCACTACCATTATCCTTCTTCTTGATGAGCACCAGCGGGAGTACAATCGCAGCCACAAACATCGTCCCAACACAGAGCCACGTCTTCCAGTGCTGTTGAGTAATCGTCAATGTCTTTGCTCTCCAACCCCTCGGCCGCTCCGGGACATACTTGAGGAGCTCGAGTGACTCTTGGAACGTATCTGGGCCGTAGACTCCTTCGCTCACGGCACGGGGCTTTCGTGGTCGACGGGGCACTTGGCCATGACCATGGCCATGATGGCTCATAGGGATCAATTGAACGCTGTTGCTTTTAGTAGCGTTGGTGCTCCTGGATGCCGAGGACGAGACCGTCATCTGTGAGAATTCTACTTGCGAACCTTGCTCAACGTCAATTCTCAGATCCTTCGCTCCTCCTCCTCCTCGATATCCTTGCCTGAGTTGCGCTTCGCCAGACCTCGATCCCGACCCAGATCCAGAAGTAGGACTGATTGCCGGTGGCATCGGACGAAGAACGGGAAGTATTACTTGCGCTCGTTTGAGTCTCTCTCGGAGCATCATATTCTCCTCCACTGCCCCTGCACCCGTCTCCGGTCCATATTCGTCTTCGTGTGCGATCGACCAGATGTGTTCTCGATGGTCACTTAACGGACTTGGCCATCCACCCTCCCCCTCGTCTCCAACCTCTCTGCCGTAACCACTACGGCTAACCCCAACGCCAACACCACTACTGTTTCTTCCTTCATCGGCCTCCCCTAGCGCCTTTGTGGAATCTAACTGCGTCAAAAGCCGATATCGACTCGAAGAGATTTCAACATTCTCAATCCCATAAAACGGCACATCGTACATCGCATGTCGGTGCGTGAATTTCGGTCGATTGACTCCATACACTGGACCAGGTTCAGTCGGTGGATGGATCTCATGCCCAGGAGAGGACTCTGGCAACCACCGATTCCTTTCCGGCGACGGCGACGACTCGGACGGCGGCGCGGCGTCAGAAGTCTTGAGACCTTTCAGGGCTTGTTTTTGGGCATCAATGGCAAGTTTAAAAGGCAACACGGTCGCGCGAGGAGTCAACGAAGTCGTCCAGTTCTTGTCATTGATCGACCCTCGACGCGTCAACACAAAGTCTTCCAGATACGTCGGCGATGTGTAGTCGCGCCTCGCAAACCGGTGCTGGCGATCAAAGGGCGGCATGTTGGAGACTCGGCCTCGTGTCGTCATCGTCATCTTGGAATTAGACCCGGCTGTCTTGGCCACCGCCGGTGGGAAGGGAGGTAAATGGAGGTGGTGGTGTTGTTGCTGTTGTGTCGAGTTGTAGGTTTGGCGACGGTGCTCGATATCCATTCGTGATTGGATGATTTCGTTGTCGACTTTGTGATGGATGACCATCGACATCGCGTTATCCTCCGCATCTCTGGGGTGGTTATTCGTTTGTTGGTGCTGGTTTTGTTGCCTTTTTTGCTGTTGTTGTTGTTGTTGTTGCTGTTGGAGTGGTGACTCGATATGTTGGGAGTGAAGATGCGCAGTGGGGACAGGTAAGGGACTAGTGCGGCTCTCGAAAGGGGCAGAAGGGCCATCAGTCACACCGTCACGGTAACTTGCAGGAAGAGCCATGGGGCCGCCGTCAGCGCTCGGGAGGCAGCCAACATCAATGACGCGGTCATCATCATTGCCAGCAGCAACGATATCATCGTTAACATGAGGCAAGGCGTCTTTCTGGAGGGAATCCGTGGTTTCAACACTGCGAGTTGATGAGAAGCCTCCAGTATTGGTCGAAAATGTCGCATGAAACGGCTTGCTTTTGCTGCTGAAGATGGTGCTGTTGCTGCGACTGTTCGTAGGTGTATCACTTTGTGCTGCCGACAAATTCACTGAGCCTCGACTACCACCAGTAGTGCCACTGTTGCTCTGGTTAGTCTCTACTGCTTCCAATGTCGGAGTCAACAAGGCCGAAACTCGACCACCGGCGCCGTCGCACAGGATATGGATAGGCGAAGGCGAGAGGGGTTGGCCCAATGACTGCGTTCTCAAGTTCGACTGTACCGTCAGTTCTCCAGCCTCACTGACGGCAGCCTCAAACTTGGCCAGGAGAGATAGGCCCTTGTATACCGTATCGGCGTCAGCTTCGGCTTCGGCGTCGTTGCCATCGAGTGTATCGGTATGGCCTTGCTTCAAAAAAAACGAGTCGGGTGGAGGATATTCAAAGGCGAGAGGTGAAGCTTCATGGTCTTTCATAGGAGAAATGGCGGAAGGAAATACAGGGCTATAGAAAAAGGCTGTGTTGCTATAGAGGAGGTATCGAGTAGTGGAGGAAAGGTGGAGGAATCTAAAAAGGATAAATAACATAACCCTGGTAAGCGAGGACCATTGCTGCTGCTTATAAAGAAGAGAAGGCTGCCCAATGGTGATATGATCAGGACCACCATCGTCCACCAGCAAACACAAGTATCGACGCCTTTTTTATAATCACCCTTGCATAACCTTGCTTGTATTCTGACAAATGAGTTTTATTTCTTGTTATTATGTACATAGACACGACGACGTTGCTCTCTATCCATGCTGGAATTATGGGTTGGGATTCTAGATAGAGACGGCCTCGCGCTGCAACCACTTGAGACCAAGGCTGTCCTTTGCTAAGAAGGGCGAAATCTTCTCCAAGCACTCAGCGTGGTAGGCGTTGAGCCACTCGATCTCCAAGTGGGTCAACAGAGAGCGCTCAATCAACTTGATCTGAATGGGAACCAAGGTAACGTGCTCGAATCCGTAGTAACCGCGACCGCCAAAGTTGTGGAGGGTATCGGCCTTGCGAACCAACATGACGTTCTCAATACGGATACCGAATTTACCATCCTCGTAGTAACCAGGCTCGTTGGTCAAGGTCATACCGGGGACGAGAGGGATGTCGTTGTAGGCGATGCGGGTACCGCATCCGTGGGGCCCCTCGTGGACGTTCAAGAAGGCACCAACACCGTGACCAGTTCCGTGACGGAAGTCAAGACCATCGGACCAGAGAGCGCGACGAGCCAAGACATCCAGTAGGTATCCAGAAGTACCGTCGGGGAAGACAGCAGAGTCGATCGAGATGTGACCCTGGAGAACGCGGGTGAAGCACCGCTTCTCGTGGGCAGAGGGGGTCTTGAAGTGGAGAGTACGGGTGACATCGGTGGTTCCGTCAATGTACTGTCCGCCAGAGTCGCAGAGGTAGACGAGGTCGGGGTTGATGCGGGCAGCGTTGGGCTTCTCGGGCTTGTAGTGGATGATGGCTCCGTTGGGTCCAGTAGAGGAGATAGTATCGAAAGAAAGACCGACGAATCCAGCCTGCTCACTAATATATACGATAAATTAATAGAATGGTTAAGGTGAATTCAAAGATCTTGACGGTTACATGCATGTGAGTGAAAGTGACAACAAGGCAAGGTTGACTTACGCTCTGAACTGCTGGAGACGTTCGGCACCATCGGCCTCGTCGAGCTCAGCTCCGTTGGCGAGCTGGTCCTCGAGCCAGGCAAAGTAGTTGATGAGAGCGGCAGAGTCGCGGAGGTGGCACTGGCGAATGCCCTCCATCTCGGTCTCGTTCTTGATAGCCTTGGCGTCAGTGACGGGCGAACGGGCCTCGGTGGTGTTCTCCTTGCCAAGGGCAACGGCCATGGCCAAGTTGGTGCGGGCACCGAGAAGGAACTTTTGCTTGTTGGCCTTCAAGTTGGCAGACAAGGCACGCAAGTCGTCAAAGACAGTCTCGTAAGACTTGACGACGACTTCAGCTCCAAGGTGCTCACGGACATCAGCGGTGGCCGACTTTTCCTGGAGGTAGAGGTTGACATAGTCGGGGGTGACGATGGCGTAGGAGAAGAAGACGGGGTTGCAGTGGACGTCGGCGCCGCGCAAGTTGAACAACCAAGCGATCTCGTCCAATCCAGAGACGACGAATCCGGCGACACCCTTCTTCTCGAGATCCTTGCGCAACTGCTGGATCTTGTCGGTGTGGATACGTCCGGTGGTCTTGGTGGAGAGAGTCATCAACTTGGAGGCAGGGCGAGCAGGGCGGTCCTCCCAGATCAAGTCGACCAAGTTGGCGACGGGAACCAAAGATGATCCAACCTTGGCCAAGTCAGTCTCTAACTTGTAGGCATCAGCTATTGTTTTTTGTAGAAGACGAAGAAAGATCGGAGATGAAATCAGAGCGATGAAAGGGGTTAGGATAGTGCAAGTCTAGTATGACTTTTTGTACTGTACTGTCAAATGGCATCCTCTATATATCGAGTGAACTCATTGTCGGTGTCTGGATCTGGATGATGCCACCTAGCTCAACAACAAGGAGAGAGCTAACGCATTGTGCCAAACCAGTCCAGTCTAGCGAAGCTCTCATTCGTTGCTAGACACGCACACCTGCTGCAGTCTTTTTTTTTTCTTTTTTTGGTTTGATTTGAAGGTGATGGGAAAATACAAAAAATTAATACACGATTAGCACTGTGGGAAACTTACTGGCGGTGAAAACAAGGGGATCGATACCAATTCGGGAACCAGCGGGGAGGTTCTAGAATGGGGCGTTTGTTCGACATGTTCACAAAGGAAAAACAATCAAGTTAATATATGTATACTAGATACTAGATTCATATTGTCATCATCGCTGACTGTCAAAAGTTACCTTGACGAGGTACTCCTGCCAGGTGGGGACCTCGGGGAGGCCAGACTTCATCAACGTCCAGTTAGAGTCGAGCTGCTGCGAGGCCTGCAAGAAGTAGCGACCGTCGGTGAACAAGGCAGCAGAGTCCAAAGCAACAACGGCCAGTCCTGCAGAGCCAGTGAATCCGGAAATATAGCCACGGCGCTCATCGCACTCGGCGACATACTCGCTCTACAAAAGTTCATTTCAAGAAAAGGAATTGACGGTGAGTTTGACTGATGAACGAATGCGAGTCTTTGAGTGATGACAAACCACAAAAAGGGTGTCTGTTGTCGAGTGCGTTGCTGTTCCGTCGTTCTTTTATCGTATGTCTGTGTGTGTACCTGGTGGGCATCCTCGGAAGGGACAACACTATTGCGGGGCAAGAATACAAAAGAACAAAAAAAAGTGGTGAGCAGTTGTTCAGCGTGAGAACGGAATTCGATACTTATATGGTCAATTGCGCAAGGTACATGAGAATTTTGTAAGGCAAGTTGCCAAACCTCCACACGCTCTTTGGGCAACCACAGGCGAGAAAGAAGACGGCGACATATACGCGTGTTGCTTGCATGTGTATGTGCGTGGCGTGTATGTGTGTCGTCCTCCTGGCTCCTTGTCTGCCAACAAAAAGAAAGACAGAAAAGACAACTTACAAGGCGGTGACGTTGTGCTCGGGGGCTTGCATCAGAGCGCGCAACTTCTGGATGCGGGAGGTTGTGTTGGTGGCGGTCATGGTTGGTCGGTGGGAATGGGGGTGATGAGGGTGATGAGATGGAGAAGAAGAAGAAGAGAAAGAGAAGAATGAGAAGCGAGCGTCTTTCTTTTTGTACTTGGAGCGTGTGTCAACAACGACAAGCAAAAACCACTCCTAAAATGGAGCTGATCACCTGACGACTTTTATGTCGAAGCACCTCAACGTCTTCTTCTCTTCGGCTCAGTCTCATTCACCTCCTTCTTTCATTCATTAATTGTTCACTTCATTCACACCTTTAACCAATGACAACAACGATTAATAAAACCCCACCTCTCTTTCAGGAATGCACCTTCGAGTTCCCTAATGGTATCGTTCTGGCAGCCAAGCACTGGAAGACCGACGGACCCTCGTCTCAAACACGAGACACTCGTCGGTTCCTGGCGTTTCACGGCTTCCTTGACAACGCCAGCACCTTTGACCTGTAAGTTGGTAAACTCACTTCCTTTGTTCAAGAATATACAAGCTCCCTAGATCCAATGGCTGACATACCCCACCCTTTCTTTTCCCTGTGGCACGACAAAACGCGTAGATTGGCACCGTACGTTTTTTTTGACCTCCGCTGCCGCTTTGCTCGGACGATCATGTCTCTATTTGGACACGAAGCAATGCCAACAACAGCAATAAAGACACATCATACTGACCTTCCCCACCATTATTCCCACGTTGTGGATTGTTTGCTGGCCGAAAATATAGTTTGATGCTGCATCAATTGGGTCCAGAACAGGTCGAAATAGTCGCCCTCGACTTTGCAGGACATGGAAAGTCCACCCACCGCCAAACTGAAGACTACAGTGTCTGGCGCTACGCCGAGGATGCCCTTCATGTCGCGAATCAACTTGGCTGGGACGAGCACGCCGTGATAGGGCATTCCATGGGCGGAGCTGTCGCCTCTCTCTACTCTGGTCTCTTCGTCTCAAGGTATAAAAATTAATTGCTCGTCCAATATATTCTCTAGCGCTTATGAGCATACATCAAGAGACCAAAAACTAACAGGGGTTTATATTATTATTTTTTGTTTTAATAGAGTAACACTGTGCATCCTCTTGGACAACTTTGGACCATTCACCCGTCCAATCGAAGACCAGCCCGACCACCTGCTGGAACACATTCAGCAGAAAAAAGACCTCCCCAACAAACAGCTTCCCTTCCACCCAACCATCGAATCTGCAGTGCTGGCCAGGAACAAGAGTGGCACATATGAACTGAACCTCCCCTCATCCTGGATCTTAGTCCCACGAGGACTGCGGCCCATCGAACGAACAGATGCTGACGGAACTATCGTCCAAGGCTGGACCTGGAGTACCGACCAACTGCTGACTATCACGAGTGCACAGTCTCTCTCGGAGGAGTACGTCCAGTCGTTCATGACTCGGATCAGATGTCCTCTCCTCGCTGTTTTGGCCTCAAAGGGAATCCAAACTATTCGATACAGTAAGTTTGAGATGGACGCAATGTGAACTAAATGTATATTGAAAACCATGCAGGTTTCTGATTGTCGCTTCCATCGTCATTACTTTTTCTTACCAGTGGTGGACAAGCGCTTGCCTTGGCTTAGCCAGACCAAGGTCACCATCAGAGATGTCGATGGAAACCACCATGTCCACGTGGAAGACGCGCCCATGGTTGCAGGACATGTTTGTGGCTGGATCCTTGGCCAGGATGATGCTCCCGTCGCCAGACTTTAATTTATACCCCACCCCGGCAGACTTGAAATAAAAAGACATTGCACAGAAACGTTAGTCCAACAACTGCTTTATTGATATTCTATCTACGGTATCCGTATCCGCGTCGATTCAACCTATGCGCGATATCTGGCATGCTCGCATCGTTCGAATTTCGTCCGCAACCTACTTATCTATCATCTCCTTTGAAAGAAGGCGAGCAAGACACAAAAGTGAAAAACTAAAGAGGGAGTAAAAAAGGTCAGAGATTTATGAAGCGAAATCAAAGATCATCAAGAAACAAAATCATCAAAGCGAGTATGTTACGCGACCAGGAAGAAAGACAAAAGAAAAAAAGCAAAAAGAACAGACCAAGTGAGGTATCTTCGGTTCCGTCCCCACCGCCGTGATACGCCCACGAACCAAAGCAAGCAAAAAATGCCACTTCTGAATCACCGACTCAGTTCCAGACACCAGGACAAAATGACGGTATGATCGACCCGTTGTTTCGTGGACCAACCCACTCGAAACGCCAACGCTCTCCAAGCAAATGCCACTCTATCCACAGCCTATTCCCCTCAACACCCATCCTTCATTTGATGACACCAATCAACAGTACTCTCTGCTCGATCAAGGAAGTGAGGACCTACACAGACAATCCTTACTATGGTGGTGGGGAAGGGGAAAGGGAAAGGGGGAAAGGGATGGAGCTGGGGGAGGGAAAGAGGGAAGGGGAAGGGGAAGAGGAAGGGAAAGAGGAAGCGGGTAGAGGAGGAGGGGACATAGTAAGGAAGACAGTGCAAGCATCTACCACACAGGCACTGTATTGCTGTTATAGTTCCGGTACGGAGACTATGCGAGGAATCCTCTTTCCAGACAGAGAACCATTGACCAGTGCCACCAGGCCATCCAAAGCAAAAAGTAGCTGGACCTCATGGCATAGGTCAGCTACCCTCGCAATGGACGATGAAGTTTTTTTTGGATGAAGAGGCTCCGAGAGCAGTACTATATATACGAACCCACACAGCGGCCTGTGCAGGGCATGAGTAAAAACTCTTTTTTTCTTTTTCTGTTTTCTTTTTCTGTTTCTTTTCTGTTTCTTTTCTTTTTCTTTTTCTTTTTCTTTTTCTTTGTCTTTTTCTTTGTTTTTTTCTTTGTCTTTTTCTTTGTCTTTTTCTTTGTCTTTTTCTTTGTCTTTTTCTTTGTCTTTTTCTTTGTCTTTTTCTTTGTCTTTTTCTTTGTCTTTTTCTTTGTCTTTTTCTTTGTCTTTGTCTTTTTCTTTGTCTTTGTCTTTGTCTTTGTCTTTTTCTTTTTCTTTTTTCTTTTTTCTTTTTTCTTTTTTCTTTTTTCTTTTTTTGGTTTTTTGTCTTCTTCTTTGTCTTTGTCTTTGTCTTTGTCTTTTTCTTTTTCTTTTTTTTTTTTTTGTCGTTTTCTTTGTCTTTTTGTTTGTCTTTTTGTTTGTCTTTGTCTTTTTCTTTTTCTTTTTCTTTTTTTTTGTGTCTTCTTTGTCGCACGTAATACCGCATATATAGTATAAGACTCGTTTAAGAGCAACTGGTAAAATGACATAACAAGAGAGAGTGGGAACGTTCGATAAAAAAAACACCCGCGTGTCTGTTGATTCCATCCCAATCGCCTTTTTTTTTTGGTCTTTCTTAGTGTCCTCTCACCAAATGGGCCGCACCGCACCACTGCACCACTACACCACTGCACCACTGCACAGAGTTGAATCGTTACTTTCCTGTTTGTTATTTCTTGACCGAGGAGGTGCTTGCATGCATTGGGGGGTCTTGTGGTCATGGGTTCCTGAAGAGGGGCGCGCTTGTTTCTTGATTGTCTTGTCCATCGGTCATAAGAGATGGTTGTTGTTGTTTATGGAAGAGAGAGGAAAAAGAGGAAAGACGAAAGAGGAAAGAGGAATGTTGTTGTTGTTTATGAAGAGGGGAAGGGGTTGGAGAGGAAGAGAGAAGAGAAGAGAGGAAAAAGAGGAAAGAGGAAAGAGGGGGAATAAAAGAAAAAGTGAAAAAAAAAAGTGGCAAAAAAGGACAAACGAAAGTTGACAGCTGTTGCGAACATTTTTTTCTCACGCGTCATTCACCTACCCTACGCGTGCCTACCAACTGCAATCGGCGATGTTTGGTTCCTGAGCAGATGCGAGTGGGGGGAGTGACTAGATTAACAAACAGTTTTTCTTTGCTGAGGCGTGTTAGTGTAAAGTACATCGACAAAAAGAAAGAAGAAGCAGAGACTCCTTCCTCATTTCTTGATGCTGCTTTTCATTGTAATTGTAAGAAGGATGGCACATGTTCTCGTGTGACTGCGAGTTGTACTTGGTCGCTTGATTCTCCTAGTAATCGCGTAATCGCCTTGTTGCTAGCCCAGATAACTACTTCAGCAAAGGCAGAGACGGCACATGCCTATCCACCAGCTCCAACACTTACACCTCCGGCTGCAGAGGCTTTCCCCTCCTCTGGGACAGGAGCTAGGTGGACCGCGCTTGTTGGGACAACGAGGAGGAGGATGGCCATAATAGCCAGGGGCGCCACAGTGATAGTGAAGGACGGCTTGTGGGTAGATGCGGTTGTAATGTCTGAGCTCTGTAAAGGAAGCGAAGGGGTGATGATGAAGAAGGATATGAAAAAGAAACATCTGCTGAAAACAAAAAGTGGGACAAAAAAAGGCGGAAGGTAGGCGCCCTGAAAAACTCGGCGCATTTATTGGAAAGCGAGGATGATTTCGAGCGCGATGTCTCATAGAGTCGCTTGCACGTTGCTCAAGCTCATGAACGAGACTTGCCCCCCGTCTACGACAGCAAAGAGAACCTTTGGCCAGTCGGGTTGATGTTTCTTCTTGCCCTTGTCGGTTGGTAGTGAGGATGCCGAGTTCGAAGGAGTTGAAGAGGGCTCAATCTGTGCGGGGTCGATAAGGCCTTCCATCATATCACCTAGCTCCTCCAGCGTTGGTATCTTGCTCCTCGCACTGGAATCAAGTTCAGTAAGTATAGAAAGACCATATCAGTGCCTCATGTCCCCATATTGGTCTTCCAGCCTTTAAGTCCGAAAAAAGTTTCTATGCACGAACCTGACGACAACGACTCGATAATCGGGGATGCCAGGTTGCCTTTTCTTGAATGCCCCAGCTGGCTTGTAGACTTCAAAGTCAACCTTTTGCTCCCAAATATCCTTTGTAACCCGATGTTCGATATAGGGTTTTGATTCTTCTTCAGGCGACTGAACAAGTCGCCTTGTGGGTATAATCCTGATCCTCTGCAAGATTTGTTCTATTGGGAAGACATAATTGAGTTCATAATTAATCGAGGATGATACGTTATAGCGTATTCAACAAGTCTATCTGTGACATACCATGTGAGAGCTGTTCGTTGTTGGCCACAAGTGGCCCACTCATTCGGTTGTTCCAAAGGCCGCTTAGGGGTTCAAACCATCGCCGAAACCCTGTGAGGACGATCCTGGTCCCAACGTTCCACGAGTCCACAAGAAGTCTCCATAAGAACGTGCTCAACCACAGGCCTTTATAATCCGAAGTCAAAGCCGAGCTAGCTGGCGTGGAGGCTGTCTTGGGAATGGCGCCTACTGGGCGAGGGTTATACGTTTTTGGCCGTGTCACAACATATCCCAGTCGCTTGAGGTAGGCATAGGCCAGGTACCGATCCATGGCCCACGTGCTGTCCCACTGTCCTCTATGGTCCTGCGGTTGAGAGAGATAAAGACTCCATGTTTGCTGAACATCTACGTCGACTCCATTGTGCTCCACCAGTAATGACGATCGGTCGACGAGATAGAGCGCCTCCTCCGGGTAGAGATAGATGTTTCCCTTGCGAGTGTGACCCATGCTGACAAAGTGGTTTCCTTTGTTGACCGTCAGCCGGAATAAACCAAGCTCTGGCTCATAGACAGCCCGGGATAGGGTCTTTCTATTGTCATGAGAATAAAAAGGGTCCTGGGCTTTAGGTGCTCTGATTTTGCAGCATCCTCGGTATGGCGTCGCGTAGGTGCATGTAGAGGTACTTACTCTTGCAGACGGCGCTCCTCTGAAATGACTTGAAAGAAGGCGTCATATTGCTCTTTGAGGGCAGCCTCTGGATCATGGGCTGCTTTGGCGTCTCTGCCCGGAAGTGCCTGCGAAGCACTGAACAAGAAGAAGAGGCGAAGCGTGAGAAATGCATCTCCCCGTTAGTTTCCTCAGGGCATGGTTGAGTAGGTATCGAACTATGCACATTGATAGACTCTTGCCAATTGTTTACCCTCTGGAAGTGTTCAGCAGGAGACGAAAGTCCGGTTGTTGGTCCTGGTCGTCCTGGTCGTCGGCATTCATTGAGTCATTGAGCGACGAGTTGTGTTTGGAAGAGACAAGAGAGTTTGACTTGCGCTCAGAAAATATTTTGCCGCCATTTGCCCAGAGGAGAAGAATCAAAGCCACCATACGCGGTCAAAGGATTTCGTCGTTTGTCTCCCTCCGTGTTTGGCAAAGGTCAACCCTTTTTTACACTCACTTCACACGCACACACAGAACAGGACAGGAACACAACGAACAAAGCAAGAGCATAGACATCTATCGCAACATCGCTTGCATCAGGCCCCACACATCCTCCTGAACCTCACCACTCTCGCTCATCAGTACCTTCATCCTAAACACACGCCTCGCGCGATGATATATCACGCCTTGCGGCTAGCATGGTAAAACCTACAACCCAACCCCATTCCCCAACAAGGTCATCTCTTCACAACAAACGCGTCCAGGGGCTAACACCACGTGTAAATCCCACCCTTATCTCTTTGTAAAACGGGCACGCAAAAAACATAGCATTACATTCTCCTCTATCAAGACATGGTCTGCCGTTGTCGACTCTACAGACAGGAGCAAGGCGCGGAGACACATGTTCCTCTGGTTCTTGATCTTGGCCGGTCTCTCGGTTGAACCCATTGCTGATTCTATCCTCTCTTCTCGGTAAGGAATTGACTCATTGGTATTTTGATTTCAACATTTTGTAGACTATTAATTGTCTAACTGGCGGTATCTAACAAGCAGCAAACCTTTTCTAATACATATCGCCTTTTTCTAGAATCCCGATGTACGAGGGAATAAAGATCATGTTCGCGGGATGGCTATTGCTGGCACATTTCGACATATCACGACCAGAGAGTCAACCACCACGCCAGAACTACACTATACCCGAGGACAGCCATAATCATCCCTCACAACGAGCACAATTGGAAACTCAACTCAATCACCTCCATCACTACCCCACAATCAGCAGGCAGTCGTCGTATATATCAGCAACAGAGCGGATACCAGCAACCCCAGGACGTGGCCTCAAAGCCGACGGAGAAAGCGTCAGCAGCAGCACGATGATGAAGGCGACCAATCTGGACTTTGGACGGTTCAAGCGGGATTTGGAGAGGAGACGGTCGCATTCTCGTACACATTCGCATGCCACAGAAGACGTTATCCCAGCCAGGGTCAACTCTCGACTTGGTCATGTAGAGCCTTCCCCCTCAGTACCGACGTTTCATTCCAAGGAAGAGTCCAAGCACACGCCAACGTCAGCCTCAGTACCAGGGGCGGCGTCACTACAGCGAGGTCATGGATCCACAATGTCCACTCCTACGACAGCAGCACAACAAATGACACCAGTGCAGGATCCAAATGCGACTCATTCGGGGAAACGTTCGTCACTTGGAGTGTTTTTGTTCGGGAGTGAGAAGTCCAGCCTCAAACGCCCTTCGTCAGCAATGTTAGAAGACAGACCATCTCCATCCCTGCCCAGGAATACGTCCAATTTGTCGTCACGGTCGCAGCAGCCCAGGCCGAGCGCATTACACCGCACACCGTCTGGTCAACGCTCGGGAGGCGAGCATAGAGTCCGGATCAATGCAGAGTCGCCAGGAGGAAAGAACAAGCGTCAACGACATTCGCCTGATGACAGAGGCATATTTGCTGAATCTAAAGAAGATGAACGGCCTCGCACACGGCAGTCTAAGGATTCTCAGAATACCAACAGTGCCAATACAGGATCCAAACCCACCTTAACATCTGCATCAATACCGACAACAGCCCCCAACGCCACTACATCTTCAACAACCTTCTCTCGTCCCAAACCTCCAAGAAAGAATCGCTCAGAATCGCAACCCGAGACCACAGGAGCAGCAGCAGCATCAAAGGATCGCCGTCCACAGCGCCAGAGTCTTCCAGAATCGACCAATCGGGATCTCTTTTCACCATCTGCGACAGAGACAGCGGAGGAACCGCAGTTGGCGTCCGCAAGTTTTGAGTCGAGGATGAAGAATGTCAGGGCATGGATCAAAGGACGCAACCCCTCGATGATCTCGCCAACCTTGACAGCGACCTCTGAAGCGACAGCGACACACCCGCAGCTGAAGAGGCGGTCATCGTCGCTTTTGCAGCAGGACGAGAAGCCGAAATCGTCCGGCGGCAAGGGTGGCCTGGACGATCTTCCAAAGATCACCAAGCGCAAGGCGACCAGGCAACTCGCACCTGCGGCCAACACTAAGAGATGGGCGGTGGAGGATGACTTGGAGAGACCGTCGAAATGGACTGTTGAGGATGACGACAGGATACAACGCCAAAACAACGACGGCGGCAGTAGAAGGAGGAGGAGTGGAGAGGGCACTAAGAGGGAGGCTAGTAGGTTATACCCAGTCCTGACAGGTGACTCGGCAGCCCATTCGACTGACCGCCAACGAGCTCGGGATTTCAGTTTCTCTCAGCCCACGCCTGCCACCCGGCGGAGCAGTGCTACAAGGATATCAGACGAACGCATCAGGCCGTCCTCGCTACCCACTAATGTCGACTGGGACCGATTCCAAAGGCTCATCGGCACGGCACCCAAGCGATCATCGTCGTCATCTACCTTGCTGAATTCTACGGTACCCTCGAAGGCCTTCCACCGAAAGAGCTCTATTGCCACCCTCGTCAACCACCAAGACGACAGCCCGACCGTTTCTCCGCTCATAAAACTTCGACAGTCACAGTTGAGACAGCACCAAGAGGAAGACTTTTTTGGAGTCAAGCGGAGCGACAGCGAAGGGAGCAAGAACAAGTTTAACAGCACACTAGATCTGTGGGAGCAAGAGGATGACGAGACCTTGGCGCGGAATGCAGCAAGGGAGGCTGAGGAGGTTGAGGCAAGAAGTCAATTGCGGCTTTCGCAGGGACGGCGCGATTCCTCCTCTTCTTCCCCGTCGCTGTTGTCGAGATCTCCACCCAAGGATGAGAGAGCAGTCTTCACATTTTCGTCGCCGAGTCGTATTTCGAGAACAGCCATTTTGGCAACCGACCCCGGATACGAGATGGCGGCGCCAGCGCCCAGCCTATTCCGGACAATCCCGTTCAATGGCGAATCCTCTCGGCGGCCCGTCCCGGATTTCCAGCCCAAGAAGTCGGCTTCTGCAGCTCGTCTGCAGGACACGATCAAGTCCTCGTCACCTGCCCGTCGTACGTCTCACTTTGGTCAAGACAGTAGCAACCCATTCTTGGAGAGGGGCACAAGTAGTGGTGGTGGTCGATCGACCCCACCCCCGCCGCGGTTCAACTTTAACTTTGCAGGAGCCGCATCTCTAGCCAAGAAGCGTGCTCAATCCCACCAGTTGTCTCATCAGGGCTCGAAAGCCAGTCCAGAAGAAGTCGCTGCTCGGAAGGAGAGGCATCCAGGACTCTATACACCAAGCAAAAAGAAGTCCACCACCACCTCCGCCACCGTTCCTAGTGGTGGTGGTGTTGGCACGAACTCGTCTGAGCAACAACTCTGGAGGCAGTCTCAATTGAGTCGACCCTCGAGTTCTCCGTTCAAGCATCCATCAACACCTACTACCATGGGCCGGTATATCGAGTTGTCATCTCTTTCTGACGATGACTAATAACATATCTCTCCTGTCCTTCTCTTCCTCCTCCCGCCCCCAACCTTGTCCAATTCCCCCACTATTTCCATATTCCTCATATTCAGCATCCATTCCTTCCATCAAATACATCATCATCTTCGTTTTGTACTTTTTATCAAAAATCGCGTTTATTGTTGTATATGTATATGGCGGGGGATGAGTGGGGATGCAGTAAGAAAGAGGATCAAGGCTACCGAAAAAAAGAAATCGAATTTTTACTTGGTACGCTTGTAGATGCGCTTCATGAAGGAGGTGAAGACATCCTGGGACAAGAGGGGGTGATCGATCTTGGCAATGAGGGCGTTCAAGCGGGTGAAGGACTCCTCCTCGTAGGCCTTGAAGAGACCCTCGACGCCGATCTCGTTGTAGACCTCCTTGACGGCAATCACGTTGACCTCATCGCGGCGACCGTAGTTCTCCTGTTGTTGTTTTTTTTGTCGGGTACAGAAGTTTGAAAGGAAAGTTGAGCGTTAACAGAGGAAACAAGACAAAAGCATCAAGCCACAATACCACACATCGAAAGAATGAATAAGTAAGAGAAAACTTACGTGAAGAACCTTGACCTGCTCGGGGGTGGCCTTGTCAAGGGCCTGGTTGATCAACCAGGAGCACTTGTTGTCCTCGATATCGGTACCGATCTTGCCGATGACCTCGGGGTTGCCGTAGCAGTCGAGGTAGTCATCCTGGACCTGGAAGTACTCGCCAAGGGGCAAGAGAATATCCTCGGCCTGCTTGAAGGCAGCCTCATCCTTGACGCCAGCCTATTATTCATTGCCAAAAAGAAAAAGGTATGGTAAGTCAATCATAATCATATCCGAATTCGAGGAAAGAAGCGTAAAAAGAAGAGTCAATAGACGTTACCATGTGCATGGCGAGAGCGACGGGGAGGTAGAAGGAGTAGTAGGCGGTCTTGTAGCGGACGATGAAGGCGTGCTTCTCGATGGAGAAGCGGGTGAGATCAATATCATCCTCGGGGGCGGTGATCAAGTCCAAGAGCTGGCCCAACTCGGTCTGGTAGGTGGTCTCGTGGAAGAGCTCGATCAACTCGACGTAGTAGGCATCCTTCTTGAAGTGCTTCTTGAGGAAGAAGTAGATGGCAGACTCGAGGATGAACGCGTCGTTGATGGCGACCATGCCAACACCGCCCTATTTTTATGTTAAGATAATGCGTGAATGGGTGAGTGAGTGGGATGATTATTTGATAACGGGTGGGGTTAAGGTTTTCTTGCTGTCCCTTTCTTGTCCGTTCGTTCTTAATTGATTGATCCAGAGCATGGGCAAAAATAGAACATATTTCGCTGATCCTGGGAATCAAATAATACGATAACAGCCCAAAGGAAGGGACAACGCCAACATCATACAATTGACATCCTGGTACAAAGTAACTTACAACGCGGTACCAGCAGGGCTGGCCACGGCGGGTCTTGCTATTGTCCATGATATCGTCAGAGACCAAGAAGAAGGCTTGGAGCTAAAAAAAATATATTCACAATGAACGTCCAAAACGCGCATACAAACGATAAAGAGAAGAGACGAAAAAAAAAGGTGAGCGTCTTATGCGGTGCGACATTACTTTCCTTTCTTTTTCACCTGTGCCCTGAATCTTTACTTTTTCTTTTCCCACCGCCTGAACCCAATGGCTCAGAAAATCATCCGATTATTTTCTTTATGTCTAGTTTTCCTCTTTTCAGGTCCGTTCGCTGCTCCCATCGTTTGTCCGGCATTGCTTTGCTTTGCTTACCCACTCAATGCACCAGCCCAAGAGGTTGGCCTTGAAGATCTCCTCCTTGGACAACTCCTCGCCGCGCTTGAGGATGCGGAGAGTCTCGGCAACAGTCAATCCACGGTTCATCTTGCCTATATTGTTGGTTGTCAGTGTTAAGAGGATTAGATTGTATTTTTCTTCGTCAGCGAGCCGATTCTTCATCGAGTATGTGCTTCTACCGCGATCAATTGATCGGTGGTGTGTGTGTGTCCCTCTTGCTTTGAATAAAGACGCGACGTCAAAGAGTATTAAAACGATTGATGTTTGCTGTTGTTGGGTGTTTACCTCCGAGAACGTTGTGGCGCATAGACTAAGGATCGAACAGAACGTGAAAAGAGGTGCGAGAGAAAAGAAGAGCAATAGATCAGAACCGTGTGAGCAATCAACGCATGGTAGCATCCTGGCACGAAGTAAAAAAAAAAGAAGCGAAAACAGCACGTAAAGAGAAAAAAGGAGGGGAGGAGGAAGGGGGAAGGGGGGCGTACTCTGTCGAACCACTCGATGGCGTTCTCGGGGATGTGGATGGAACGGAGGTGAGCGATCAACTCGTCGGCGAGGACGGGGAAGACGTCGTTGAATTCCTGGACGGGGTTGGCCATTGTTGGATGCGTTGGTATGTTGGTGGTGGTTGGGGTTGAATGAGGAGGAGAAGAAGGAGAAGAGAAAAGAGAGATGGTTTTATGATGAGAGGACGAGAAATAAGAAAAAGTGATGACACCCAGGGCTACCACCAGAGGACCGACAAAACTCCGCATCTCTGTTGTTGTACTGAAGGGGTGAAGGGGAAGAGTCAATCAGTCAGTGGGAAATAAAAAAAAAAGGTCAGCTCATATTACAAGGACGAAGGGATTCGGCACCCAACCGTTGGCCTTTTACGCTGTGGCCTGATTCTCTTTTTGCCTTTTCAATTGAACACCCTTAAGAAAACATGCCCAATTGCTGCAGAAAAATTGGTGGCGTGAGTTTTTTTTTTTTTTATTCGATTCCTTCATGGGCGCATTATTTCCTTGACATCATCCTCTCCTTTCTTCTCGTTTTTCTTCTTACTCCTCCGAGGCTTGCTGGGTTCATCTATATGGATCTCATACTCAAGAAGAGTCCGAAACATATCCGAATGCGGAACTTCCTTGTTCCTGTAACCCGCGTTCATTTGACTCATTCGACCCAAGTAAAAAAGTTCAAATCGAACGACTTCTTGGTTTCTATCGCCGCCATTCATAAGGATGCTGTGAATGGACTCATTGTTGGTCATGGTGAGGGTGATGTTGTCTTCGTTACTGAATATGGTGTCGATCCGCTGACTGCTGAACATGCCATGTCTTCCAAAACCAATACTACCGATGCCAGTAACCTTGTCATTCGTCCTGTCGCGAAGGTAGATGACTTGTGAGTTTGTTACTTGTTCGTATCCATACCACGTCTCGTGTCGGCAATCATGATGGTTTGGAATCCACATCGACCATTTCGACTGATTACTCAACAACCAATGCCTCTACAGTCAAAGAGGCCTATTAGAGTCTTACAGAGCCACGGCACTTAGTTGAAGAAATACAAGGACGTGATTTTTTTTTATTCAACACAATAACGTTCGCTGCTTTAATCGAGAAGCGAGTTGGGGCGGTAGCCAGTTGGCTGGAGTGGCTGTAAGGGCGCATATCCACCCTGGTTAAACTGCTGCTGCTGTGGCTGCATTGGCTGCTGTTGCTGCTGTTGTAATGGCTGCTGCTGGTATGGTTGCTGCTGCTGCTGGAAACCACCTCCATACTGCTGTTGATATGGCTGTTGTTGCTGGATTGGTTGCTGCTGTGGCTGCTGGTACTGCTGCTGCTGCTGAGGAACTTGCTGCTGCTGGGGGTATGAGGCATGTCCACTTTGTTGCTGAGGCTGCTGATACCCCTGCTGTTGAGGCTGCTGCTGCTGCAAAGCTGGTTGTTGGTATTGCTGCTGTTGCAGCTGTGGCTGTTGATGACCAAAGGCTGGTTGTTGCTGTTGTTGATAGGGAGACTGGACCTGGGGCTGCTGTTGAGGTGGCATTGGCTGCTGTTGCTGCTGGAATGGTGCAGGTGCCGTTGACTGGAACTGGTTCTGAGGTGTCATAGGGAGGTACGTGCCAGAGTTTTGCTGAGGTTGCGAGAGCGGCTGTTGTTGTTGGTACTGAGGCTGCGAAACTGGTCGGTACTGTTGCTGCTGCTGGGGTTGCTGTTGGAATTGCTGCTGAGGCTGTTGAAACTGCTGCTGAGGTTGCTGGAACTGTTGCTGCTGCTGAGGCTGCATAGGCTGGTACTGCTGTTGAGGAACCTGCTGCTGTTGAGGAACCTGCTGCTGTTGCTGAGGAGACTGCATGGGAGCCTGCGAGAACGTTGGCTGAGTGAACGATCGAGCAGGCTGTTGATGCTGCTGGGCTGGCGAAGGCAAATTGTAGCTTCCCTGACGCTGCAAAGGCTGTTGCTGCTGATGCAGAGGCTGTTGCATGGGCTGCATAGGTTGCTGATGGGGCGTCTGGGGCGATGGTAGGGCGAATGGGCCAGTGTTGGGAATAATCATCGACGGTGTCTGAGGCTGAGGAGTGATTTGCTGAGGTGTTGCCGACGAAGGCACTCCATAATGAGGGTTTGTCGCAGGAGGGGTAGTGTGCTGAGGTGCAAACGAGGGAGCAGTGGCAGCAGAGCTCATTGGGGCGTAGGGAGCAGGAGCAGCAGATACTGGTGCCCACTGAGGGACCGATGGTGCTGCAGCTGCAGGCCCTGGTCCTCGGTTAGTGCCTCCCAGATTCATATTCGCCATGGCGTCGATAGGAAGAGAACTGGAAGGAGGAGACGAGACATTGCCGAGTCTCGACAGTTGATCCTTGAGTGCTTGGGATCCGCGCTCGGACTGAGTAGCGAGAACCTGTCTCTCCAACATACTGCGTTCGTCCTTTCTGGACCTGCAGAACTGGTCGACCGCCTTGACCAAATCCTGCACCTGCACATTCAGATCCTCGTAGTAGCGAATCCCCTTCATGTAGCCATCCTTGACAGAAATGTAGGAGCCCTTTGTCTTGACCAGCTGATCTGACATCGCCTGTCTCTTTTTCTCGGTTGTATCCCAGACTTCCTGAAGGCTTCTGGCCTCTTGCCTGTTCATCAACTCCTTGTAGTGCGCTGTGAGTTCCTGCATCAAGACTTGTTGGTGGTGAATGGTGGCAGTCACCCTCGTCTGGTGGGGCCTGAATTTTTCGAGCTCCTGTGCAAAGAGCTGCGGCTCAATGCCAGAACTCTTCTTGTTCAAGATCAAGAGGTTAGAAATATCGTCTTGTTGCGTCTAGTATTTTACAAAGGAGCCTGTGAGTGTTAGATACTGTAGTCATCTCATCTATGTTACTTTTTATGCAATTCCATAGCAACAGTAGCAAGAGGTGGACATACCTTGACTTTCATGTCCTCAAGAGTCTCCATGCGCTCCTGCTTCAGCTTCTTGAGCTTGGCCATCACATCCTCAACCTTGGCCACGGCCCTCAAGACCGCCTCACTCTCACCACTGTCCTCGACATCCAACAAGCTGTTATCCGAACGAGTTGAACCCTTCCTGTTCCTGCTGGCATCCACAACAATGCGGGCGAAAAGCTGCTCCAAAGCACCTCCCTCGCGTCCTTCGCGGAGCACCATGACATTGTTGGCAATCTGGTCAAAGGATCGGGTCAGGTTGTGATCTGATGCTGAAGCTTTGTCAATCGACTCCATCAAGGCCCTAGAGTCTGTCCTGAACACCTGCGTCAACGGTCCTGATGGGCGTTGAGTCCAGAGGTCAGCATATTTGGCCTAGTGGATAAAAGACCAACAATCGTCAGTTTGACCGATCGAGTACACAAAACTCAAGTCGTCTCAGTGTCATAACAAACAAATGTCAAAAATCCTTACTCTGAGGGTCTCGCATTGACTGCGCTCTTCATCCAATGACAGATTGGCGTTCTCCAACGACTCTCTTGTTCCTGACTTTACGCGGTCTAGGGTTGAAATCAGATCTGCAACTGATTCGCCTCCAACCTCGTGAGCCTGGATAAAGTCAGCCACCTCCATGACGACTGAAGGTGGGACGGCCAGACTATCGAGAGAGGCACCTTGACCTCCGTTGGCGTTGTTCTTGAACTTTTCGAGTCCAGCAGGTAGGTTCATGTACTCTAGTGCGCTCGACAGCTCCTGGTTAGCAGTCTCGCACTTTTCAGCCTCCGCACGAACAAGTTTGGCCTTCTCTTCTGAGTACAAACTGGATGACTCGTGTACGGACAAGGGGATGAGGCGCTGGAAAGTGTCTGGTCCAATGACCTTTTGGATCTCGCTCTGGGTGTACAGTTCTGAGATGGGCAAGGGTTTTGTCGCGTTCAGCTTCTCGAGGGCGGGCAGTGCTCCTTCTGTTGGGACGGCCTCATGGTAGATCATGTCGTTGTCCCGGATGGCCTGAGCCTTCTTCTCTGTGATGACCGCCAGGTGAGACTTTGTGATCTCATGCAAGGTGGTTGCTGCCTCCTGGGTCAACGTCACGGTCGGATGTGAACTCTGACTGAATCCTGAGGCAAAACTCTTGGCCTGCTTCTCAGCATCCTTGACTGCCGTCTCTGCAATCTGAACTCTGCTCACCATCTCGCCCCACTTGGAATCTGTCTCTGCCGCCATTGACCTGTAGTATTGTGCGATAGCTGTGAACAGCTTTGCTTTGATCTAAAGAGCCCAGGGTAAGAACGTGAAAAAAAAGCTTCCGATTAGAGAAATTGTCCATCATTCCAGATTACAATTCACAAAGAAGACTGTCCAGAACAACAAGAATAGTTCGCTACCTGGCAAAGTGTCTGCCAGTTCTTCTCGAACACTTGCTTGGTGACACCATCCGCCATAGCCTCGAGGGTGTTCTGGTATCCCCAGGCGACCTGGGCGGCCAACTTGGAGATGAGCAGTGGTTTCTTCTTTTCAGCGAGGGTCTTTTCCCAAAAGACTTCTTGAGCCTGGGCAAGCATCAGTGCGACCAACATCTTGACGGTGTCCCTGCTCAAGTCGGTAGATGGTGCGTGCAAAAAGTTCTCGTTGATGTAGGTATAGATTCCAGCAGCAGCCTGGTAAAAATGAAAAGACTTTTTGACGCCCTCGGGTTCGTTGATCCTTGTCTGGGAGGTAGCGATGGCTGAGAGGACGGAGGCAATGTTGAAGATGGTGCTAGCCTTTTCAAAGGCGAGAGAGTACTGCGAGGTTGGTCTTTGTGTGAATGCATCGTACCTAAATTGTTCCAGAAACCAAAGATTATTTTTTCATTTGTCAGTGCATACGCCAAGACTTTTTTCTTCATTCTTCGTGTGTGAAAATATGGCGAATATCGATCGTGCTTTTGAGAACGAGTGGAGGGAACCATGAACACGTATTCATCAATGCCTCCTTCCTGCCCTTGGTGGCAATCAAGTTCCTTTTTTCGTATCCCTCAAAGCCCACAACACACAAAAGCAGAGAGAGAGAGCACGCACCTCACTCCGATTAACAACAACCTTCACGACACGACTCCTTTTCGTTTTTCTCACATACCACATGAACCCAATTTTGATATGGGCCTCGTCGACAGGGAAGCGGAGGTCGAGGAGCTCGAGCTGGCCAAAGTAGCGGTAGAGGACGTCTCTGCCGGTCGAGTCGTTCCCTGCGCCGCGCATGTCCTGGCGCAGACGATGGATGGTGCCGGCCTCCTCTGCGTACTTTTCGGGGTCGTCCTGGTAGGAGACGGCGATATATCGTTTGAGGGGCGTGACCCAGTCGACCTCGTCAGTCCTCTTGAGAGGGACGGATATCATGGGCGACTGCGACATGCTTTTGGTATGATGAGAAGAGGGTAGAGGAGGATGGTGTGTGTTGTTGGTAGGGAGGAGGGGTGATGGGGAATGAAAAGAGGAAAAGAGGGTAAAGGGGTAGGTAATGCACAAAAGCGAACAAGGCGACAACGGGGTGTGAAAAGTGCAAAAGAGACGACGGTGTCTATCTCCAAGCTCAAAGAGTAGAAGTGGCCGTTGGTTGGAAGAGATTTTTATCGTATGGACTGTGTGCACATCCCCATGATATCACTCCTATTATTTTATGCTTTCGCGAAACTCGCTTTTACCTTTCTTTTCCCTTTCTTTCACTACCCTATACGCACAAACACGCTCACACCACCTTCCGAACAAACAACAAACAACCAACAGCCCTACACCTGACCTTAACTTCCCCAGCAACACACCAACAACTACAACAGATATACCAACAACAACAACAACACAACATAACCGCAATGTCCTTAGCAGAAACACGTTACAGGCTCAGAGTCAGCGCAGGACCAAGCGCAGATCCAAAGGACCTCAAAGTACTCCCCGTCAACGACGATGCCAACCCTACTTTGATTGAATCCGACGAGTTTATCGGCCAGATCGTCGTCCGCATCAAGGACCTTGACAAGACCTTTGGGTACAAGGAAGGCCAAGAACAGGACTCGCTAGGGATCATTCCCGAAAGCCCTTGGTTCTCTCTTCCCGGGGGGGACAGCAACCTTAGCTCTGTCCAGATCTCGGGCAGGTTCAAGCGTGAGTGGCCTGGTGAACAGGTTGTCTTTGGTGTAAGTTCGTCCTTTGTCTTTTTTTCCTTTTTATATTTCGTTCGCGACTGAGTGGAACAAGCCTGTGCAGCCATCCTTTCCTTTTTTTTTTTTTTTTCCTTCTCCCAATACCTGCGGTCATTTTTTTTTTTTCCCCCTGCGATACAACTCCGACACGACTGCAATTCGCCCACGCGTAATATCCACTGATATCATTGCGCATGTCAACACTACGTGATCATCATAGAATCAATTTGAGAAACCATTGCGCCTACCACCCTTCTCTTCAATCGCTCTCAAGTTCATCCAGTTCATCGATCCAGGCCTCAAGGCAGATATCTACTGCGACCGCCCTTGGGCCTTCAGCCCCCTGATCGCAACCATGAACACCGTCAACGTCTCGGGATGGCATCTCGACAAGGCCACACAAAAGAAGGTTGAAGAGCACGGGCAGGAGGAAGACAAGGAGCGTCTCGAGAATGAGCTCCCGCCGTGGCCCTCACCACAGGGTGAGCATATCGTCGAGGACACCACTTTGCTCTTCCAACCAGATCGCCATAACAGGGAGGAACACGAGGACACAACATCAACATCGAAGGGAGAGATTGCGCACGCGCACGAGCACGAGAACAAAAAGGAGGAATTGACTATGGCTCCGACTCAACCGACAGTCCTCAATACCTCTGCACGTCGATCGTACTTTGCAAAAGAGGCCAACCTTACCAAGCATCGCTATCGCCCTGACCAAGTCTACGGGTTTGATTTCTTCAACCCCTATCTTGATTTCGCCAACTTTACGCTCAAGGTTCCTGGCTTTAGCGTTGACATCACCAAGTATTGGGACGGTCAGGTAATCTTTCGGTGGTATGCATGAATTTGCATGAGCCTTTCGGTTGATCGTCGTGCATGAGCCTTTTTTTTTTAACTGGTGTCTTTTTTTTTTTTGGGTTGCCCTTGGAATACGTAGCCGCTGACATACATCATCAAGTCGCAGGACTCGTCCGTCACCTTCATGGCCTTCCAGTTTGAGCTGATCCCGGTCAAGGACATCGTCATTGAGTAGATTTTGGCTGATAGAAAAAAAATAAGATAGAGTCTATTGCGCGCATGATAGGTTCCTATACAATGAAATCCAGGTTATCTACAACATCCTTGACAACGAGTCCCTGCTTGGCGAGGTATTCGTCATTCCTAAAGATAGTGGTTGCACATGTGAAAAGAGAAAACGAGTTAGTACGACATAACGTCTCATGGACTTCCTCTAAAACAGACAGGAACAGAGACGTACCAGAACTTGGTCAAGTGGCGATGACCAGAGTCACAGAGCAAAGTGACGATAGTATGACCCGGGCCAAGCTCGCGTGCAATCCTGACTGCTCCGACACAGTTGACGGCCGATGAAGATCCAATAAACAAGCCCTCCTGGCTCACAAGGTACCTTGCCATGTCGACAGCTTCCTGATCTGTCACACGAATAGCATCGTCAATGAATCCTTCCGACATGGCGAAGTTGCGGGTCAAGCGGTTGATACCCACACCCTCCACAACAGTGTCGACTTGGTGACGCTTCCTCTTGCCCTCCTTCTCTGTGGGCGAGTACATGATGTTGTATTTGACCTTGTTGAACAGTCCTGATCCTTGGGGGTCGACAAGGTATGTCCTGAGATCAGGGAGAAGTGCCTTTAGGTACTTTGTCACACCAGCGAGCGTTCCACCAGTTCCTAAAGGAATAGATTGAAAAGACATAGGTTTTAGTGTTATGTCCGAACAAAAAGGCGCTACGCCACGACTATTTTTTTTTTTGACAAAGATCAAGTCAAGAACTCACCAGCACCCATGACAATAGCATCGACGTTTCCTTGGGTCTGTCTGTAGATCTCAGGTCCAGTGGTTGTAAAATGAGCATTAAAGTTGGCCAGGTTCTCGAATTGGTCCGCAAAGAATCCAGTCTTGTGGCTGCCGTCTGATGACGACTCATCACCGCCGTTGCTGGTAGTATCGTCCTTGCCAAACTCTTGAGCACGACGCTTGGCCAGGTTGACAAACTGGTTCTTGTCGACAATGCTGACAGGCCGAACCTTTTCCACATGTGCGCCCAACTTCTCGAGTAATTGAGATTTCTCCAGTGCAACATCGTCGGGCATGACGATCCAGGCATTGTATCCGCGTGCCTTGGCCATCATTGCTAGCGAGATTCCAGTCGAGCCGACAGTTCCTTCAAAGATGGTTGATCCGTTTCCTGGAGTCAGAATGTGTTCTTTTTCGGCAGTGTTGATCATGCTGAGTGCGACTCGATCCTTGGTACTTCCTCCTGGATTCAAGAACTGGATATAAAAGGTGTATGCAAGTTAGAAAGTTGCTCTTCCTGCACATCATTTTAACCTTGCAGATAATAAAAGCAAGAAGTTACCTCTGCTTTAGCCAAGATCTCACAGCCAGTTGCATCACTCAAAGATTTGATCCGCATCATGGGTGTATTGCCAATAAGCCCAGCAACACCATCGCTGATCTGGCTGTTCTTTTCGGCCTTGGGAAGTGCGATCTGTTTGCTGATGCTTTCACCGATTGAGGACCGCCGCCGGCCTTGTTTTCCCACGCTGTGTGAATTGCGTCGATGTGCAGAGTGGTTGTTGAGAGATCCCCGGGTGGCGAGGACGACTGCGGTGGTGGAGAGGGTGAAGAAGATGCCGAGCGCAGCTCCGATGGCGATGTGCTTGTTCTTGTCCGAGAGTGACTCGAGCATTGTTGTTTCGTTGATCGGTTGCCACTAAAAAGGAAAAGAAAGAAGGAAAAAAAAAAAAAGAAAGGTTGAATGCAATGCTGTGTCAGCAAAAAAAAGAGGGTTGGCTGACCTGTTCCGTGGCTGAAGGGTTGAAAAAAAAAATCGTCATAGTTGTCATAGTTGTTCACTTTTCTCAGGATTCCGCATCTCTCCACGACATAAATACTACCAACGGACAGAGGACAAGGACGAATCAATCATGACCTGCACAGGATACCCATGAAACAACCATACACTCAACACTTTCACATTCACACACACACCCATCACTGCTCACTCGCATCGCCCTGAACAACTCATGGCGGCACCGCTGAGATCCCTTAGCCATAGAGCGACATTCCCCTCTTCCGTCCAAGGCGTTTTGCGGCAAACAACGACTCGCCTTCCCCACTCTGCCCACCGCGCAGCGGCAATAGCAAATGCTCGCCTTCACACCAATTCTGGAAGCAGCAGCCACGATGACCAGGAGGATACGAGCATTCGGGAACGAGCCATCAAAGCACGCGAGCCAAGCTATGCCGGGTGGTGGACCGAGGTCATGAATTATCACACAGCTCCGCAGACTTCTGTCGATCCCTCAGCACCCAGTATACCCTACAACAACAGCAACAACAATGGCACCACTACGCCTTCATCAGACGAGATCCAGAAAGGATACGGAAACACCTTACCCAGGGCCAGGCCATCCCTAGAGTACAATACCCTTCCGAGAGCAGCATCAACTGGATCGGCCACGTTTGTCACAGGAACCGGATCAACACTTTCAGCACCAGCAGCCGAGTCTACAGACTATCACGGATTCAAAGTACCTGTTAAGCCATCGCCGCCAGGAGCAGAGGATTGCTGCATGAGGTATGTTTCATCTACTAAGAGTCGTGTTTTTATCTATTGCAATATAACTCGTGGGTTTTACTATCATCCAGAGACACTGCTTTTTTGTATTGGAAAAATTTCCTGATTGGTTATTTTGCATCTGTTCTTACTGTTTTCTGCGATAGTGGTTGTGCACATTGCATATACGACATCTACGAGGAGGACCGTCAGGAGTACAAGGCCAAGTTGGCCAAGGTTCTAGACGAGATCTCAAAGGCAGGAATACCGCCACCCCCCAACATCAAAAAGGGCAAAGGCGGCGGCGGCGCTTCTACAGGCAATGCGCAGTCCGCCAATGACGAAGAAGATGACATGGATCCAGGCATGAAGGCCTTCTTGGAGCTCGAACGGAAACTCAAAGGATCATGAGAGGTTGGCCTGCTTGGTAAACCTTCCGCGAATGGTCTAGGAAAACAACAATCCACGAAAAATGCCAAGACATAAGTGAGGTTCGGCGAGCTCTGCTTGCATATTGCAAGTGGAGAACGAGAGAGCAGGAGTCTGTGTCTATCGCGGTATGGACATTCACTCACCCCCACCCCCTCCTCCGCATTTCGTCCACTTTGCGATGATCGTCCTCGGACTCTCTCCTTTTTTCCAAACTTCAGTTTCGTCAACGTTTTGGCAAAAACTGTTGCTTGTGCATTTTTGTCCGCTGTTCATCCGGCGAAACCGAAGCATCAAATAAACCCATGAAACGGATACATTGGAGCCAACATAACGTATGCCACGTCGTTTTTTGTTGTTGTTTACTTGCGCAGTAACGTCTTACGAAAAGAGGGGGGGAAACACACATGCAGTGTGATATTATTCTTAATCATGCATAACAAAAAACACAAAAACAAATCTCGGAGACAAAAAAGAACGTGGTCAGACCGCCAACAAAACAAAACACACATACACCTGCTAGTCCTTTTTGACGCGATAATAGGCAAGCGAAATGAAAAATGCTGAAAAGAGTGGGTGGTGGTGGATGACCTCAAACCAATGAGCATGCATGCTCCAAAAGTGGGCATTTTGGAGGCAGTTTTTTTTTTCGCCAGGAGCGGCGTCAATCTCGTCAAATAGTTTTAACCCATAAAAGCGGAGAGTCGCTGATATAAGAGGATGATAACAACGCCAACTCTTCTCTGCAACAAACCAAGCAAAACAATGGAGATCCAGATCACCGACGCCTGCTGCAATACCCCTGCTACCAAGACTGCCTGGGTCAAGAAGGGCACTTTCAAGCCTCTGTCGAAGCAAGTTGCTGGCATCGAACGTCGTACCTACCGTACCGGTCCAATTACCTCCAAGCTGGGTGTCGTCTCCTTGATTGACATCCATGGTTTCCACCCCACCACCGTCCAGTTCCTCGATGTAAGCAAGTGCATCCTGTTTTCAGACACGTTCAAAAGGCACTCGTTTTTCTTATACCACAAGCTATCACACGTATCCTGTCTCTTCTGTAGACCCTGGGTGACAAGGGATTCCAAGTCTCGGCGATCGATCTGTTCCCGAACGGTCCCATGCCTGACGAGTACATGGGCGATATGGCCAAATTGGGCGGCTGGATTCGCACCAACGCCGAGTACACCAACAACCACGTCGGCGGGTTGGTCAAGATTGCGGCCCAGGACTTGAAGGCTGATGGATGCGAGTCGTTGTTCATCATTGGACACTGCTGGGGCGTCCATTTGGCGATCCGTGCTGCGTCGGAGCCTGATCAGGGTTTCTTGGGTGTTGCTGGACCTCACCCGACTGCAGTGACTCTCCCCTTGGTCAGCAACTTGAAGTGCCCCCTGGCTCTCTTCCCCTCCATGGATGACCCCGACATGGTATGTGTTGTATGTTATTTTCTTGTGAGGTATGTCACAGTTGAACAGGTTCTCATACCTTTTGACGTATCATTTTTTTTTGTAGGTCCCTATCATTCAGGCTGTTCAGAATAAGGGCTTCTCAACCCCTTCTGTTCATGTCCGTTTCGACAAGGCACCCCACGGATTCTGCGGTGGTAAGAATAGGGCTGTATCCCCTTTGTTCTATCTATCGAAGATCGATGAAGATCAAGGATGCAAGCGAACAAAGTTCAGAACAGGCCTGATATTTATGTTTTCTCATGATTCGATAGGACGTGGAGACTGGACCATCCCAGAGCACAACGAAGCAGCAGCCCAGGTTCTTCAGAAGACATCCGAGTTCTTCTCTGCCCTTGCCGCCAAGGATGAAGAGTAATCTTTCGCACAACGCCCAAACTCTATGATGGAACACAGCCCCCTACTCCATCCCTCGAATCATCGCAAAAAGCTTAGATTTCGAACCATGTGACCTAATCCAATAAAGAGAACCCAGTAACCCAGTCCTTCCCTCTTTGAACCCCTTCGTCCCTTTGTCCTTTGTCCCTTAGTCGCCTCTAGTTCGTTTGCTCTCTTTCTCTTTCTCTCTCTCTCTCACTTTCTTTTCTTCATTCATTCCCTCCACTTTCACTCCCCACTCACACACAAAAGATTCTAATTCGCTTGCATCTCCTATACCGACAACTCGCACATCAACAACAAACAAGTTCAGCCTTCAATGATTTCCAACTCCAGTTCAGACTCAAACGCTGCGCTGGCCTCAGACACAGCAGCAGCAGCAGGAGGACCAACAACCACCACCAGCAACGACGACCTCTCTCTCAAGGCTCTCAAGGACGCAACCTTTGTCAAGACTTCTGGAAGCTCTGAGGATCAGGATATGGATCTCAAGCAGGCAGACCCTCTGGACTCTCCAACAGCCTCAAGCCCATCGTCCTCATCGGATATTTCAGATGCCTCAGCGTTATCATATTCGTCTTTGCCATCGTCAGGCTTGGTGGCTTTGGCTGGCATGGCCACATCGACAGCTATTATTACCCAGGACCACTTGAACGAGAACAACAAGCGGCTCATCTCCTTGACTGCCCAATGGTACGCAAGCGGCATCTTTGGGCTTCACCCCCTTTTCTTTCAAGTCCCTGTCTCTTTCTACTCACCGTTCCAAGGCTTGCTTGCAGTTTCACTCGTTACTCGAGCTAGCCCAGATGGTTTGGGGTTTTGTCTTGGCTCTAACCTTTTTTGCCACCATCGTGTTTCGACTTGTGTTTTTTTAGGAATGGCAAAAAGCTTCCGTTTGAGGTGGACTTGGACTATACCATTGGAGAGCTGAAGAACAAGCTGGTAGGTCGTTGCTTCACGACCCTGCACTCGACTATACAGTTATAGCAATTGGTAATTTTGTTGATAGCACTGACACACCTGTCTGCCTATTGAAACTAGATGGAGTTGACCAACGTTGAGCCCAAGCGACAAAAGTTGATGCTGGTCAGAGGGAAGCTTCCGGTATGTGTAACACACGATAGCAAGTGTTGAAGATTTTGTAGACTTCAGCCCAGAATCGATTCTAAAGTGACTCAACCTTTACTCTCTTTCTCAATGCGCTTTGTAGGATGACAGTGTTGTGCTCTCATCTTTGTCTCTCAAAAACAACCAGACATTCCTGATGATGGGTAAGTTTAGCTTTTTGATGCAGGGTTTAGTCCCTGTACGAGGATATGAGACCCCCATTCAAATGTACTGACACACCTTTATGTTGTTTATCCACCCTTTAGGGACTCCTGAGGCAAAAGTGATTAGGGCACCTGAAGTGATGCCCGAAGTCTTGAATGATCTGGAGGAGGACTATACACCAGACGATGAAGCATTTGCAAGCATGGCACAGAACCAAAAGAGTCTCAGGAGTACTATCGCCAAGGTATGTTCCAATTACCATCGCTACTGATGAACTCTAGGATTTCATTGTTTCCCTAACACTCGCCTTCCTTCTTGTCTTCGCAAACGTTTAGTGTGACATCAACATCATGCACCCCATGCGTCCAGGTATGCGACACCCTCTGGATAAAAATGACTTTTAGCGCTCGTTCAGCTCAATGACTGTAGCCCTCCAATCACATCAACTTACACGGTAGTATCATATATTTCCTTTCGCGTCAACCCCAAAACAATAGGAAAGAAGCTGCTGGTACTGGATCTGGACTACACATTGATTGACTGCAAGGCGCTGAACAACCCTTTGGTTGATGTCATGCGGCCGGGACTTCACGAGTTTCTATCGGTCTGTTACGAGGAGTACGACATTGTGATCTGGTCGCAGACATCATGGAGGGCGCTGGAGGCAAAGGTCACCACCATTGGGTTGTTGACACATGCTGACTATAAGATCTCGTTTGTGATGGACATTTCGACCATGTTTTCTGTGCTGAGCCAACGCGACGGCAAGCCTTTCAAGCACCAGGTCAAGGCACTGGATATTATCTACTCCAAGTTCCCACAATACTCTGCCAAGAACACCGTACATGTCGACGATTTGTAAGTTCTTTGTCCTCTTGCTACGTTTGCAAATTGATTTTTTTTTGTTTGAGAGAGAACGTCGCATTAACGATGTACGTGTGGTATGATAATAGATCGCGTAACTTTGCGATGAATCCAAAGTCGGGGGTCAAGATTGGCGCGTACAAGAACGGGGCAATGTCGCGACACTCTGACCGAGAGCTGTTTCATCTGGCCAAGTATCTTTTGCATATTAGCAAAAGTAACGACTTTAAGGAGCACGATCACAAGAACTGGAAGAGTCACCGAAAGAGCAATCGCTAGAACGGCATGGTGACAGTGACTCTCCTGGCAGGTTATGCTTCGTTTTTTTTTGAATGAAATAAAGAAAAAAAGCCGAAAAGTGACTGTCTTGTAGATGGGACATAAAAGTCCAGCGAAATCCGACGATAGGGCGTCTTGCGCTTCTCACACTTTTTTCCGACACACACACACACACATACACTGGTGTCAGCAATACGCCGAGCAGGAAGCCAAGCTACCAAGTACCTTCTTCATCACCGCCACCACAACCAATTTCTGCACCAGGTCCGAGAAATACCATACTCTCTTCCTTCTGATGAGTTTTTTGCTGGAATCTAGAAAGAAGGACGACTCTATGGCTCATGAGCTCACCCCAACGTCCCGACATCTTTCACTGCGCATACTGTTTTCCCCACAATTTTAGACCATTGTCCGAATGGCGACCCGATCTAGTTCACGGTTGAGCAGTCTTCGCGTGAAAGCCGAACAGGACCCTACAACCACCACAAAGACAACCACGACGAGCAGCACACGAGGCACACGGAAGACGATAGTCAAGAACGAAGACGGAGAGCCCGATGCCGAGACCCTGGCGCGTCTAAAACTGGAAGTGGATGAGCACCGTAAGGCACTTGCTGCCGATGCGAAGAAACAGCGGGCGTCAATGAAACGCGATATTACCGCCATGAATGTCTCTTCTCTGCCCGCTTCGGCGGCGGCGGCGTCGACGTCGACGTCGACGTCGAATGGAGGGGGTGGTGGTGTGAAAAAGAGCAAGTTTGCGACAAAGGAGCCGGTTGGGTGGGAGGTCACGTTGGATCGGTTAAGGGAGTTTCGACTTCAGAATCCGGCCCCTGTTGATACTATGGGGTGTGAGCGGCTTGCTGAAGTTGGTGATCATATCCCTCCTGAAGTAAGAATCCTCTTTCTTTTCTCCTTTTTGTATATTTCATGTCATGATCCTCAGATCTGTCCAGGATGTTCTTCTCTAATAATGACGTTGTATTTTTTTCGGGGGGGGGTTTTTTTTCGGATCAATAGGTGAGCAGGTATCAGACACTGGTGGCACTGATGCTGTCGTCACAAACCAAGGATACAGTGACATCGGTTGCGGTGCGGAGGTTACAGAAGGAACTCAAGGGTGGACTGACGATCCAGTCGATTCTGGATGTGCCCTCAGAGGAACTGAACACGATTATTGGCGCAGTCGGGTTTCATAACAAGAAGACGATCTATTTGAAACAGGTGGCCGAGATCTGTCGAGTTCAGTACAATGGAGACATCCCGGATACTGCAGAGGCCTTGATTGCCCTCCCAGGCGTTGGACCCAAAATGGTAAAACAAAAGTGATGTTTACTGGGCTTGTCTCTCGCTCGGGAGTAGCAAAATGCGTGTGCAAGATTTGTGAAAACAAAAGCTAACCAACTCTGTTGGGGTTTTGGAACCAATAGGCATATTTGACATTGCAATGTGCCTGGAACAAGTAAGTATTCGCTTTTTCATGGACGATGGTGGAACTCTGGGGGCTTGCAATATAATCGCATCGATATCTTTTGTCGCTGACGGGATGCAAACGTCTTTTTTTTTTCTTTTTCTTTTTCCGTCGTAATAGAAACCTCGGCATTGGTGTTGACGTACATGTTCACCGCATCGCAAACCGCCTTGGTTGGGTCAAGACTGAGAAAGACGGACCCGAGGGAACCCGCGAGGTAAGCATTGTCAACGGAATCGCATGTACTATTAGGAAAATGCTTTTTGAGTGTACAAGTGCAATATCAAAGGTGCTAATGAGTGCACTTCCTGTGACACCACTAGGCGTTGCAATCGTGGCTCCCGAAGGAACATTGGCGGGAGATCAACCACATTATGGTCGGGTTCGGACAAGTCTTGTGTTTGCCCCGCGGACCCAGGTGTGCAGCCTGTCCTGTTCAGGAAAGATGTCCCTCTGCGACTGGGATCACCAAACACCAAAAGAAGAAGATGGTGCTTGAGGCTGCGATCAAAGAAGAGAGAGAGGAGGCGTTTGGGGAGGTTGAAATCCATGCAGTTCATACCAAGACTGAGGATGAAGCTGACGACAAGGAGGTTGTGAAGAAGGAGAAGGAGGAGGCTGGCGCGGCGAAGGTCAAGAATGAAGTAGTGGAGGGTGACTCGAGCCCGTACTTTGCTCAGGATGCCGGATCTGTTAAGGTCAAGGAGGAAGAGGAGTCGGGGGTCATGGCGTCTTCCTCAGAGGTCAATGGAAGTAAAGTTAGTCAGTTGAAGGATACGAGCCAACTGGAGAAGGAATCTGCAGACATTGAGGATCTCATCCCATAGCCTGCTCGCATACTCAAAGTAAAAATCATGAGAGGAAATTAACGCTCAACACGCTCCTGTTTGCATTCAATTATTTGCCACCCAATGAAGTCCAACATGTAACGCAATGGTTCTTGAAATAAAGATCAGAAAAGCGCGCGTCTTTTTTTTTTTATTTAGGGCGGACATATGGTTTGCTGATCATCATTACATTCTTGTGAATAAGAACAAATTATTTTCAAGCATAAAAAGGAAAGGGAGGGGAGGGATGTGGACTTTATTTTTCTTTCATGCTCAAAAGTGTCACTCGCTCACGAACAACCCCCCTCCCCCTTCCCCTGGTGTTTATTGTTGACGAGGGTGAGGCTTCGTCACCATAGAGATGCCGGGGACGCACGTTGTCGGAAACGACTACATCCATTACCGCCGCGATCCTCAATCTCGATTTGAAGATCCTTGAACGGAATACTTCGACACCATAGTGCAACCACGGCACCAACACCGGTCTGACCTTGACGAGCAGGTGTAGAGGTCGTCCTTTGAACAACATTCGTACCCCTGACCAAACTGTACTGCTCGGTCAGGGTGTGGAGACATGGACCAGACCCGATTCTGGATACCAGGAGGGTAAGGTGTGGCAGGTTCTTGGATGCGAAAAGTGCGGTCCCGAGATCGATGTGTTCCCAGGAATCTTCCTGGCTTGTTGTCACTGTAGCCGTTGCCGTTTCCGTTGTCGTTGCGGCGGCGGCGGCGGCGGTGGGGCGTCCGGTTAATTTGAGACGCGTGACGTTCGGGCAGTAGGTTTCTAGGACTCTTGCGAGTGCGGATCTCGATTGGTAGAGTTGGCGGTTTCGGCTGTAGATGATGAGTTCGCAGTTGTGGAGATGATTTCCACAGGCAATACCATTATCGATGTTATCTTCAAGTCGTCCTTGAGAGTTGTGATCCTGTGGGTCTGCTGGGTCTGGGTGGTGGAGGTAGGTCGAGGGTAAGAGTCCGTCGATGGTGAGGGTTTTCAGGGAAGGACAACGTCGGATCCATTCGAAGCGGAAGTGGAAGGCGGGTTGGCCTGCAAGGTGCATCTTTGTCAGGTGGTTCAGTGTCCATGTCCAGCAGAGAGAGAACCCAAGTGGTCGTTCTGTAGAGCTGAAGATATCGCCAAAGCCACCATCGCCAGGTGGTGGTGGGAAGGTCGCAGGGAGAGGATCGACCAAGACCAGCGTCTCTAGCAGCGGGGAGTGCTGCAGAGACCCAATCTGATAAGCCGATGCGACGCCAATTCCAACTCCAGAGCCTTCAACAAAGGGATCCTCAGTACTTCAAACCTCCTCAATGAACACGCCAAAAACCCAATCCGCCCACTTATCGACAAATCCTCCAGGTGCGGACACCCCTCAAACGGCGCAGGTCCAATAACAATACCCTCATTAACCCTTAGGAGACGAAGCTTCTTGAGCCGAGGCATGGCGAGAGTACAGGAGTCGATCTGGAAAGGCGTGTCGCGGGTTTGTGAGGCTTCGAGTCGGGCGAGGGTATGGGCGCAAAAGACGGTTCGAAGGAGCTTGTGGTCGTAGACGTTGAGGAGGAGGTCTTCTAGACTGTGGCTGAATGCAAAGGTGATGGAATGCATGGATCGGCCAACGTACCATTGTGAGGTTGCAAGGTGCAGCTTTCGGAGCTGGACTAGGTCTGTCGAGAAGAGTTGTGGTGTCGTTAGGGATGTCACTGTTACTGTTGCTGTTGTTGGCTGTAATGGCGTCCGTGGTTGTTGTTGTTGCTCTAGTCGTTGCTGCTTCTCAAAGACCGCCCATGAAAAGACATCCCTGTGAAACGAGGCGAAATCAAGATCCTTCAAACCGCGACACCGTCTCAGAAACAATTCTACGTTCCCTTCGAGGGACCCCTGGACATACTTGAGCGTCTCCAGTCGCTTCAACAAATGACAAGGGATCTGAGGAGCGATCTTCATGAAATCCGAACAATGATTGGCATTTAGGACGATAAGCTGACCAAGGGAGCGGAGGATGTCGAGTTGTCGGAATTGGATCTGGTGGGCGAATTGGTCGTTGTTTGCGACCTGGTGGTATGAGGGGGAGTTGGTGTGGATGACAAGTGGTAAAGTGAACTCTTGGATCTCTCGAACGGTCATCGTCCGCCGCTTCGTAGTCTTCTCTCCTGCAACTCTTCCCTCGTTCTGGCCCTCCTCTTCATCCTGATCTTGCTGGTTGCCTGTACCGATATCACGCTGCCGCACAGAAAGAAACGCGCTCACATATCCCAACTTATCACTGTCAAACCGGCCCGCAAGCCGAAATCGGATCAAGGACCGGAACCGATGCGCCATCGGGATGAGATCTCGAACAATCCCCGGTAAAAGAACCATCGTCTCGGTCGCTCGGCAGTACAATCAGCAATCCTGGTCTGCATCTGAACAAGGAGTTTCATGATGAGATGGTGTTGACTATTCCGGGGCAGACAGGTTGTGGCAAAAGAGATCCAGTCTTGTCCGTCGTAAGTTGTCAAGAAGTCGATATATTTCGTCGTAGTCTTCCTTCCTGGCATCCTTTGTTGTGATAGCTCTCCTGTGGGCGATGATGATAGTCCTATTTCCATCTCTTCATCTCTAGTTGCCAACCGGCCCTGGTCCTGGTCCATAATCGCCTGCAGTCTAGTACCGCGCCCACATTGACCATGACAGTCCAACCTCCCACACTGGCCCTGCGTGGCTTCCAAGAAGGCCTTGACTGAAGAAAATCCATTCTCCGTGGCAGAATCAAGAAGGACGTTTGCCAGCTTGGCCCGAGACGATGATGTACACAGGGGCGGACAGAGCGAAAAAGGATCAGAGTAGAGGATTGGGAGGACTAGGGTGAAGAAGAGTTTGCTTGTGCGGAGGAGACCTGAAAGGGCGAGTGGGTTTGTGTGGAGGTAGGAGAGGATGTGTTCGATGCATTCTTGGGGTAGACTGTTGATGGTTGTCGTTGTCGTTGCAGTAGCGTTGATTGACATTATATTTATTGAGAGAGTGTACGTAGTGAGAGGGAGATGGTATGGCGGAGGAAGGAAAATGAAGAGAAGGAAGAAGAAAACGAAAATGAGAAGAGAGATAGGAGTGTGGGAATCAGACGATATAGAAGAGACCAATGCGCCACCAAAATATAACCTTGGGGTTGTTCGATCTGGGCGGCGAGCCGGGCGAGACCACAACATCAAAAGGTAGTGGTGGCGGGCTCTCAGAAGGACAATAAGAAGGCATTGGAACATGGAGTTGTATCTGAGGAATGTGTATCTGTCTCGGATGAGGTCACGATGATCGTCAAGTAATACATGTACATCGTCTTTACAAGCTCACTTGCCCGATCCTCCTTTTTCTTCTTCCATCGTCAGCATGCATATCTTTACTGCCAACCCACAACCATCTACTCACTTTCTTCTCGTTTTGGCCTGTCACCTCTTTTTTCAAACCGTCAGCCCTTACTGGGCGAGCGCGTATGATATGGTCTGCCTCCTTCTGAGTAAGAAAAATAATAAGCACTTGAAGCGGTGATGGGAAATAAAATGTTATTGTTGTTTGTTCAAAGTATTTGCCACCATTTTTTTTTCTTTTCATACAACGTTGTCGATTTTACATGAACCGAGCAGACAACGCACTTTCATAACCCAAATACAAAAAGAAATGGGATGGGCTGAGGAGAAGGATGTGCCGATGGTATTTTCGAAGCCCGCTCAAATTGCTAATGATTCTCGGAGATAGTACCTTTTCACCTGAACGAGGCTCGCTCTCTTTTTCTTATATTTTATTTCTTTCGTTTCTTACAACAAATGACCGGTCGAGGACGAGGTGGTTTTCTGGTTGGTAATTGACAACGGCGAGGCTGTTCCTCTCAACAGAGGCAACGAGATACAAAACTGATGGATTTGGAAATAGACCCGTTAATAGCGGCTTTGCTGAACGAACAAAAGGAAAGACAGGTGGGAAGAAGACGTCCTTTCTCATGTGCACCTCTTTTTAGCACGCAGCCATGCAGAGTTGCGATGTGTCACTGTTCGATCGTGTATTCCATTTGGTAAAAGAAAAGTTGTTATGCCTTGGGAACCAAGGGATGAGTTTACCAAGGAGCCATTGGCATGCCGAATATGTTTAGACGACAATTGTTTGTTTGTTTGTTTGTTGGTGTACAGTGAACAATAATGGGGAAGGAAAAAGAAGCAAGGTTTGTGTGGATTGAGAGCATGGCTCAATTCAGAGGCGAGTGTGTCTCCCTCTATCTGAGAGCAGAGAGAAAGAGAGAAAGAGAGGAAGAGAGGAAGAGAGGAAGAGAGAAGGGCAGGGGTGTGTGTTTGATGATGAACTCACATTTGAGAGCATCATAAATTCATAGACATCAACGGCGAGAAAAATACCTTTTGATCACAAATGAAAATGAAAAGGCGCCTTGTCCTGTTCCTCTTCTAGTCTGCGTGCTATTCCCCTGTAAAAATGATACCCTCCTTCATCAATTGCCTCCAGCTGGGTTTCCTCCTCCTTACCCTTACCCCCCACCCCTTTTAGCTACTTTCCCTCCCCTTTCACTGTTTTTGGTTCTTTGGATCCCTCTTCACTCTCTCTTCCTCTCCTTCATCCGCCTTCCATTGCATCCGACCCCATCCTCCCTTCTCTCCTTTTCCTTCCTCACGATCCCACCTTCCTACCTTCCACACCTGGAATCCCATCTCCCCTCACACACACGCACACACACACACACACACACTCTCTCTCTCTTTCCCTCTCGCCACCATCCTCACCCTCCTTCCTGTCACATCACCCTAATCTTAATATACTACACGAACACTCACCCCAAGAACATCGGCATTCACTACAACTACTACTACTACTAGGTAGGACATCATCCCCCTCTCAACAACAACCATACCAACAGACGAGCGTGTTAATATCCTTGCTGGTCCTGTTTCTATTTCTGGAATACTGCTGTCTGGTGTGCCTGAAATATTAAACGGACACGAAGTATTAAACGGACACAAAACCGGACTAACAGACTGACAACCAACCCACCAACACACCAGCAAAACAACAATGGACGACACAACACAGAAGGAATGGATGACAGAACAGAGAAGGGGCGACCCTTCCGTCGTAGTCAGGAAGAAAGAGGGGGACATAATCCGGCTATTTTAAACAACGAGGGAAAGAAAAAAGAAGGGGAGTGAGAGTGCCCTTGCTTTTGTTTGCGGCCTGCGAACTGGTTGTCACTGCCCTATGGCAGTATCGTTTTCCCTGTCCTCTTTTTCAATTGCCACTGCCGCCTGCTCTCTTGTCATCCGCGGCAGTGCAACGTCCGACATCCATTCAACCCTCTCTTCTTCCTCTCTTCCTTCACACGCGGCATGCTCCAATCTACCACTCAGCCCACATACACAACTCCTATCTCTCTTTCCCTTCCTCCGTGGCCTTCCATGCACTCCATTGTCCCCTTTTGTTGTACTTCAACTGCACTCGTTTATTTGTACTCTGTTGTGTGGTTGTGGTATCGAAACACTTTGTTTACAAATTACTACTCTCAAGCCCATGCCCTGCCACTCACACCTTCTTCGTCGTCTTCTTCTTTCCCTTCTCCTTTTGTGTTCCGACTCTCTTTCCCTTTCTCTTCTCTCTTCACTTTTCTTCCCACCTCTCGCCCTCCCTTCCTCATCCTTCATCCCTATCTTAATTTTCATCTCCACTATACGCCCTCGTCATATACCACCTCTCTAACAACTAATAGACAACCAAGGTCAACCTCACAATGGCACAACCAACACCACCATCAGTCCCTGCTCTGGGATACCCCTGCATCGCTGCAACGGGCGATGATATAGCTACTCTGGTTGGACTCCAGTTCGACGGCTCCGCTAGCAACTCGTCCTACGTCCTTCAATCTTACACCTTTCCTACAAACAAGAACAGCATCACCTTCACACCCTCAGCCAGCCAAACCCCTCTTCATGGCCAGCCACGCGCCAGCAGCCGCATGGTCTGTGCTGCCGATAAGGCCTCAGGATCGTTTCTCTACATCTTTAACGAGAACGTTTATATCGAGAACAGCCAAACCCCCGCCCTCGCCACCGCGGCACCCATCTCGACTTGGAGCCCCGCCGTATCTGGTGCACCCCAGGTTGCCTGGGCCACTACCACTCCTGGACAGTTTCAATGGCTCGGACTAAGCGATGGCAACTGGACCATGTTTACCATCGATGCTAGGGGGGTGTCTGCCCCCAGCAAGGCGTATGTTTCTTTGACCCTCGTTATTGTTGTTCAACAGCAGACAAGTGATTTCCAGTACCAATCTAGTGAATCTAGTGAGACAAACGAGGCATGAAAAATAACTGACTCGCTAAACCCACTAACACTCCCCTTTATTTCAATGGCATGCCTGGTCGTTTTTAGCCTTGTCCCAGTCGATGTTCCTTCTGCTGACGTCCAGACGATTCTTCGCGAGCCAACCGGCAACTTTGTAGTCATCTACACTAACGCAGGAAACACGGCCGCTTCTCGCTTCGCTCTCGGCACCGCTACCTCGACTGCTGTCGCCATGGGATCCCACGGTGAATCAAAGATCAACTTTTCGACAGTGACCCATGCCCAGGACAACAGCAGCGACTATTTTTTCGGAACCAGCGGCGTACGTTTTATCACTGTTGTTGTTCAATGGTCGTCATCTCAACAACGGCAAAAATGTCACAAAAGGTTGTATCGAGTCTGCGCACTGACTTCTTCCTTCGATCAAATAGGGCAAAGACACATATACTGCTGCTGCCAACTTGACCACCCTCGACCTCATCTCGACGCGCACCTTCCCCAGCGATACCCACGGCAGTGTTTCTAAATTGAGCATGTACGGTGCCGCCACCATGTCGAGCGATGGAAAATATGCCTATGTCTACGGAGGACTTTCCGACGCCTCCACCAACACCTGGGATTTCGGATTCACAAACATCACTATCGCTGCCTTTGCTTTGTTGAGCGGTTACGCCACCACTACCCCTACCCAGATGGGCGCGTCAGGAGCCTTTACAACATTGGTACCCGTCATTCCCACCCCCGAAGAACCCTCCAAGGGTCTTTCCACGATCGCCATCATCGGTATTGCTGTTGGCGCAGTGGCTGTTCTCTTGATTATCGGTCTCTTTGCCATCTTCCACCGTCGGAACAAGAAGATTGAGGCGCGTGCCAAGGAGCAGGAGGGATTAGATCTTGCAGTGCGAGATATGCAGTCCAAGAACAGCCAGAGCATGAACACCTACCAGCCCCGTTTTGCGTCCACCCACTCTCTTTTGGCGTCCGAGGCCAATACCACCCCTCGTGGCCAGAACAGTGTCTCGACCGACCGTCCCGTCGAGAACTTGACTCTGCGTGTACCAATTGTTCGTTATGATGGTCGGGATGTCGCTCAGTCGTCGCCCTTTGCTCCTTTGGGTGCTGTTGTTCTCTCGCAGTATCGCCTTGGCCAGACTGCCGTCAACTCCAAGATGGTGGTCATCCAGCTGGGCGAGAACGTTGATACTGCCGAGAGTGTGACCCTCAAGTGGGTGCGTGACGAGATTGTGTGGCAGAGAGAGGCCGCGATGTTGAACCACATTGTCAACCCCGCCAAGATCATCTCGCTTCACCAGACCATGATCATCCCTGCCGCTCTGGAGTGGCGCCATATCCTTGTTCTCGACGCCCACGAATTGACCCTTGACTTTATGTTGTCGACCGCCCAACATCGTCTTCTGAACCGTGACGATCAGAGAGCTGTCGCCAAGGCTCTTTTGAGTGGATTGGTCTGGTGCCACGAGAAGGATGTTGTCCATCTGTCGATCTGCACTGGTTCGATCGTGATGAACGAGGAAGGCCAATGGGTTTTGTGGTCGTTCGGCGGCTCCAGATTCTTGAACGAGGCTGTTGGTCCTCGCCAGGGCTCGCAGATTGGCCAGGAGGACGGCGCTGTGGAGCGCAACTTGGCACCGGAGCTGTTGAATGCTCGCACTGAGAAGCGCCTGGATACGACCTTGTCGACGACGATGATGGATGCATGGGCTGCAGGATGTGTACTGTTTGAGATTATGACTGGTCAGCCATTGTTCAGGACTGAGGATGCGGCTGAGCAGGCGGCGACGGGTCGGTTTAACGCGTGGAAGGACCGTCTGGCGGATATTAGGGATGAGAAGGAGCGACGGGTTGTCGAGGGATTGTTGGTGCTGGACCCCAACTACCGTCTCAGCCTCACGCAAGCCGAGTCCCTCTTTATGTAGAGAGGCGCTGTTGGCTCTCGTTCTTTATCCAATTGACCAACCAACCACCCACCCAACCACACATACCCCCTTCCCCCCTTTTCACAACAACAGCAGCAGCAACAACAACTACAGCAGTAGTCAAGTTGAACCAACAACAACCATTAATCTTTTTTCCTCGATAGACTCCAAATCATCACGAACAATCCAAAAAAAAAAAAAAAAAAAAAAAAGAGAATAAAAATCGATCACATGATCCAAAGCGATTTCTTATTTATCACCGTTTCCTTTGTTTTCTCTCCTCTTTTCTTCTTCACCCTTTGGTCAGATCTTTTTCTTCAAACCTTTGGCCACATCTCTTCATTCATCTCTATTATACACTCTCTCCACTCACTCGTTTTTTTTCACGCCACTATCCTCCACTCACTCAAAGCACCACCTCAGACCGTACCAACCCGCTCTGATTCGTAAAGAGGGTAAGAGGAAGTACGACATGTTGTTTCGGGCGCGCTCTTTTTGATCGATCTCCTTTTCTCGTCGTGCAGTGCTCTCATCTCACATTCATCTCACCTTGCGCATCTACCCCTTCCCTGATCCCGCATAGACAGACAGCCGGACAACCAGCCAACCTTACACAAAAGGTCAAAGCACACAGACACATACACACCGGACCGACCTTATTCTAAAAGAACAATGCCGCCGCGCTATCAACCACCTCACCGGTCTGCCAACTACAACAACAGCAACGTCAATAATCCCAACCACCCGCATTATCTCCAGCCAGTTCCCAACGACTCTCCCTCAGCTCCTCCTCCTTCCTTTCCTTCCTCCGCTCCTTACCCTCCAACCAATCGTAGCCAACAGCAATGGGACCAGTCTGAATCCCAATACGACAACCACAACAACACCCGTGGACACTCTGGTCGCGGCGGAGGATCCAGAGGAGGTGGATACAACAGCAACAACAACGGCGGCGGTGGTGGTCGCAGTTTCCGATCCAACAATAACAACACCCATAATGGCAACGGTGGCTATGGTGGAGGAGGAGGAGGAGGTCGTGGCGGCCGAGGTGGAGGAAGAGGCGGTCGTTTTGGCGGCCCTCCTCCAGTCAAGCAGGAGCGAATCTACCTCTACGATCAGCGTCATTTAGATACCTCCTACAACACCGATCATTCCGAGAGTACTGCTGAAAAGGGTGAGCGCTGGTGGGATAACCCCAAGAACTACCTCCAGTTTGTTTGCAGGGCGATCGATCCCCAGCCTCAGTTTGAGATCGTGTCGACCCCAGGGTTGCCCGGGAACTGGGTCAGGATGGAGTTCAAGGTCCAGACTCCCGACCCGGAAATCATCATCATCGGACGCGGCGACGGCAAGAACAAGAAGGATGCCGAAAAGATCTGTGCGCTCGATACCTGCTATCAGTTGGACAAGCTTTCGCTGATTGAATATTATCGCCAATACGGTCGTGGCAAGAAGAACATTGCCAAGTCTCCCAAGGACTGGGCCGTCAACTTTTTCGTCAACAAGAAGGTTGGCCTCCCAAAGTACGACACCAAGACCGATCCTGCCACCAAGACTGTGACCTCGTCTCTCAAGTACGAAAACATTGTCGGATCTGGATCCGGACCTACCGTTGAAGCAGCAGAGATGGCGGCTGCAGCACAGTTCCAGCAGATGGCCATCGCCCGTGGGGCCAATGCTGTCCTCCCCCAGCCTGGATCGCTCGAGGAGTCAGGATTCACTGTCGAAGTCGCCAGGAAGTTTGTCGATTATTTCATCCGCACATTCAACCTTGGACCTCCCTACATCGACTACCACAGCTCAGGAAAGACGCACCAGGCTCTCTGGCAGGCGGACCTCGTTGTGCAGGATCGGATCATGGGTTCGGGCAAGAAGAGGAGTAAGAAGGATGCTGAGCATGCTGCCTACGTCGACGCAGCTGTCAACATGAAGAAGGAATCGACAGCGACCTGGCAGCAGTTCGAGTCGACCAAGGACAGCAAAGGAAAGCATGCCGATGTTGTCCGTGCGGCGCCCAGTATTCATATTGGAATGGATGAGTCGATGAGACAGGACATTGAGGTGATGCTCAGCAACCTTAGCCGGCAGGCCTTCTTCACCGCCAAGCGCCCTCAACTAGGCGTCAAGTCACCCTCGGATGACTCTGAAAAGTCGTCAAAGCAGCAACAACCTACCAACAACCGCAGGAACAACCGTGGGCTCGTTGGCAGAATGGATGGGCAGCAGATGGCCGGAAAGTCCGCACGACTCTTTGATCAATGGCACGCCTACCAACAAAACCCATCGCTCGCCAAAATCCGGTCAGGAAGGGCTACTTTGCCGATTGCCCACTACGCCGAGGAGATCACAAGCAAGCTCCGCGACAACGATGTGGTGGTTCTGGTCGGACAGACAGGATGCGGCAAAACCACTCAGCTGCCACAGATCATTCTGGAAGAATACATCAAGAACCGCCAAGGAGCAGCCTGCAACATCATTTGTACTCAACCCCGCCGAATTGCCGCCATTTCTGTGGCACAACGCGTTGCGGTCGAGCGAGGAGAGCGGGTTGGACAGTCGGTCGGTTACCAAGTTCGTTTCGACAATCAACCACCCACCCCTGGCGGATCGATCCTGTACTGCACAACGGGTATCTTTTTGCGTATGATGCACAACGAGGGACAGAACGGACCAACAGGAGCAGGCGGACACGGTGCGGCTGGATCGGCGCCTCACGACCCCTTCCGAGGCGTGAGTCATATTGTTGTGGACGAGGTTCACGAGCGCGACATTGACACGGATTTCTTGCTGGTGTTGCTGCGACAGATGCAGCGGGAGCGTCGCGCCAAGGGTCTATCAGTGATCAAGCTCATCTTGATGAGTGCCACCATCGACACAGGATTGTTTGCGTCGTACTTTGGCGAGGGTTTCAAGAGTGGACAGTGTCCTTCGATCTCAGTCCCTGGTCGTACCTTCCCTGTCAAGCAGTTCTTCTTGAACGAGCTGCTGGATTCGATGTACAGGAAGCACTCACAGTCGGCCATGTCGGCATTCTCGAGGCACGAGCAGACCAGCAAGTATATCCAACGCGAGATGAACATCATGCCAGTCGGACCCCCTCAGCCGCATCAGCCATCTCGACCCTCTGCACCAGCCAAGAAATACGACAGTGACGATGAGGAGGACGACGTGGACGACAGCGAACTGGATTACGCCGAGAGCATTCTGATGCAGGCACGAAACGTCTCCAGAATGTCTAGGGATGAAGTCTTGGATGCAGAGATCCCAGCCTATTTGATCGCCATGACCATCTCACACATTATCAAGACCACACCGCCATCGGGAGCGATCCTATGTTTCTTGTCAGGATGGGAGGATATGCAGGAGGTGCAGCGGCAGCTGGTCAACTTGGCGCCCTTGGGCATCGACTACAACGACACCAACAAGTACAGGATCCATGTTCTCCACTCGACCCTCCCCTCGATCTCACAGCAGGAAGTTTTTGAGCCCCTGCCTGACCCCGGAATGCGCAAGATTATTCTTGCGACCAACATTGCCGAGACGTCGATTACTATCCAGGATGTGGTCCATGTGGTCGACAGTGCCAAGGTCAAGGAGACCAACTATGACCCCACCAAGCGGATGACGACGCTGTTGCCCACATGGATCAGTGCATCGAGCTTGAAGCAGAGAGCAGGACGTGCCGGTCGTGTTCAGGAGGGTCAGTACTTTTGCATGATGTCCCAGCAGCGCCGCGAGCTCTTGGACTCGTTCTCGATCCCAGAGATGCTACGTTCGGACTTGCAGGAGATCTGTCTTCACATCAAGTCCGTCGACAGCTTTACCAAGATTGCCAGCGTCTTGGCCGAGGCCATTCAGCCTCCCGACCAACTCAGTGTTTCTGACGCTCTGGCTCAATTGACATCCTTGGGAGCTTTGGACCGGAACGAGAACTTGACGCCCCTGGGTAGGGTCCTGGCAACTCTTCCTGTCGAGCCCAGTTTCGGAAGATGTTTGATCTTGAGTTGTGTCTTCCGTTGTCTCGACCCTGTCTTGACCCTCTGTGCCTCCCTGGGCACCAAGGACATTTTCGTCTCGCCGCTCATGCGCAAAGAGCAGGTATGTATTTCTGTTTATTCACCGATAGAAGAAGCGTAGAAGCGTCTATGTGGTGTCTTCATGCAGCTACTAATGATTTTTGAATGACTTCCAATGAATAGGCGGATCGGGCCAAGATGAAGTGGGCCAAGGAGTTGAACAGTGACCATTTGGCGATGATGAACGCGTACAATGCCTGGCAGGACGTGATGGCCCAGGCAATGACGCAGCTGGAGCGGACAGGCGAGCGCGGGGACCCCACGCGGGCGTCATTTGCGTTCACGGACCAGAACTTTTTGAGTCGCCAGGCGCTGGACAATGTCAAGCGTGCCAAGACTCAGCTTTTGGGGTTGCTCGAGAAGGCCGGTGTCGTGCCCACGATGACCTTCCAACAGCGTCAGCAGCAGGCGTCGAGCTTTGAGATGGGTCCTGCCGACTACAACAAGAACTCGAACTGTATCCCGTTGTTGAGGGCCATGATCTGCGCGGGAGTGTTCCCTAACATCTCGTACAAGACCAGCAAGAAGATCCATAGGACACGCCATGATAACACGTGTATTGTCCACCCGGGGTCGGTCAACTCGATGAGGGGCGAGAGGATGATGCATCCGGATCAGGTGCCCGAGCCAGGGTCGGTCTATGCGTTCTCGACCAAGGTCCGGACGGGGGAGACACAAATCTTTTTGAGGAACACGACAAAGTTGGATCCGATTTCGATCTTGCTGTTTGCGGGTGAGAATGATGTGGAGGTGGTTGGGTATAACCAGCTGGTGGTTGACGGGTGGTGGAAGTTTAATGGATCGGAGAGGACGATTCGGACGTTGGCTTCGTTGAGGGAGTTGATGACGGATGGGTTTGAAAAGATGTTTTTGATCCTTGATCACAAGAGTCGGAACTCGCATCTCCTCCAACAGCAAGGACGGAACAATGGGTCCAGGAACGGTGGTGGACCGAACAACGCCAATATCAATCTTCAGGACAGTAACCGGTCGACGCCCTCCCCACAGCTCGGATACTATGGCGTTGGATTGGATTTGGGCCACAGCGGAGGAAGCGGTCTTAATGAGAGTGGAGTGGACGATGGGGTGGATATGGATGCCCTGTTGGCGCAAGCGATCGAGTCGGGCAAGGACTGGCTGGACCAGCCTGCGATGGTCCGATTGGTCGAGGGGGTCGTCGATCTCCTCCAGGCCTCGGATGAGGAGATGATGGCCGGTGGCGGTGGCGGCGGCGGGTCCAGTGGACATGGATACCATGGATCGTCGTACTACCCGAGCAATGGAGGAAGTGGGTACAACAGCGGATATGGCAGCGGGAATAACAGTGGACGTTCCAGTGCTATGGATTACCACCATCCTTCGTCGTCGCAGCATCTGCCTTTCCCTACTAGCTCCAGGGCTTATAGTGGTGGTGGATCGTTTTACTCGTCGGGAGGAGGACATAGCAACAACGGTAGTCGACCTAGTAGTCGGGCGGGGTACTCCACCAACAACTCGAACAGCTACGGTGGTGGTGGTGGATATCATAATAGCCATCATGGTGGGCATCATGGACACGGTGGACATGGAGCATCCCCGATGCATCAGCAGCAGCAGCCGCAGCAGCCGCAGAGCCAGGACCCTCGTGAGATGTGGACCACCAATGCTGGACAGGGCACTGGAGGCAGCCAACACAGCTGGTTCTAAATATTCCTTTCTTGAAGAACCCCCCTCCCCCTCCCTTTCCTCGCAAGTCTAGCTTTTTTCTTTTAACGTATTTTTTCCAGTGTATCATACCAAAGCAAGCAAGGCAGGCAGGCGATTATTATTATTAAAACGATAGAGACAGATGGTGGAGATTTTTTTTTATTAATGTAGGTAGGTGTTGATGGTGGCCAGTAGTGTTTGGATGGTGTGGTGTGGTGTGGTGTGGTGTGAATGAATATGGGTATTTTTTGTGACAAAAGAAACAGGGGTGACATCAAGAAAACAAAGTAAAACAAAAAACAAAAAAAACTACATGATAAGACAAGGATCCGGATTATCCGTGAACCGGCGCCCCGTCAAAGCCTCCATCTCCTCGACCGCCTGCTCCTTTGAAGACTCTTTCCGCTTCTCCTTGATCTCCTTGGGGAAGTAGAGTTTCAAAAAGTTCATCATGGAGACGTCGAGGTTGGAGGCGTCGGCTTCGTAGACAGAGTTTGTTTGGCGGCAGACTGGGCAGTGGACCATGCGCTTCCGTTGGGCTTTGATCAGGCAGCGGACACAGAAGACGTGTTTACAGTTTAGTCGGATTGGTTTCCACGCCACCGCTAACATTGTGGAGAAAAGAAAAATTAGAATGAAGAGAAAAAAAAGGTCAGATTTTTTGGATTGATATGGCCGAGTGCAAAAAAAATCCTGGACGCGTGTGGATAAAAAAAAAAATCTGGAGAAAAAAACTTACACATGCAGATGGGGCAAGAGTAGTCGTCGGGCTGGGGGATGATGGAGATCAGCTGGTTGCCGATGGTGTATGTCAAAGACTTTGAGATGTTGTCGCTGTAGAACGGCTCATTCTGCAGATGCTTTGGGAATCCCAAGCTCGCACTAAAGTAAAAAAGTAGACAAACAAAATTGTGAGCAAACATGTCGAATTGGTTGGACAAGCAAAGATCTCGCTCAGAGAATATTCCAACAGGCGCATTTACCTGAGATTAGTCCGCTTGTCGTGCTTTTTCAAGATCTTTGTCATAGCCATTTGGTTGAGCTCCTTGAACTGCTTCATCGTAATCAACTCAGAGTTGAGCTGGAAGAAGGTGTTGAACGCAATTTTGGACTTTGACTGCTTGAATTTTTGTGTCAACTTGCTCCGATCCATCTCCTTCAAGAACCATTGCAGTTGTGTCTGTGCCTTCTCGGACGATCGAGTCGACCGATCCGTTTCCTGGTCGCCCACAAAGACCTGCGCGTCCAAATATATCTTCAAAATCTCCCTCCAGGTGTACATGTCCTTGTTGTGAGGCGACGAAACAACGGTCAAGATCTTGCTCAGATCGTTGACTTTGGACTCAAATTCTAACTTGTTGGCCTGTTGCAGCTTGCTCAGCTGCGAGACCTCTTCGCCCAATTGGTCAAAGAACGCCGTGTCGGCCGTCAGCTCAATCACCAGCACCCTAAATCGCATTATTCCAACCAATGCCATGAATGACAGGTTTAGACTCTCTGGTTAGTTTGCTACTTGTTTTTGCGACTCCTTTCAAATGCAAAGCATTACAGAATAACATTGGCTTGCCGCATTGCACCATTTCTCCTAACTTTGAATACCTTTTGCCATCTTCTTCTGTTGTCAAGATCCTTGAGTTGCCTACATTCTCAATGTTTCCAGCAGCAGCTCCAGGGGTGATGAGTATCTCCAATGTTTCCGACGATGGTGAGGATGTTGACGATGTGTCAGCAGCAAATTCTGTAGAAAAGGCCTGACTCTGTTTTTGATCAGGTTGAGGTTGAAGTGGGGGCTGAGAGAGGGGAGAGGGGGAATGGGAAGTCGACTTGTTGAATGAAACTGTGCCTGAGCTGGGTCCGTGCGTTACTGCAGAAGTAGAAGAAGAGGACAAATGATCTATTGAAGGCGCCTGATCGCTGTTGATGTCGTTGGTCAATTCAGCCAGCTGCGTGCTTGCCCCATGACTGAAGGTTGGCGATGGGGTCGCTAATGGAGACGACGGCGAACTGTTGAACTCCAACAATTCTTTGTCCCCCGCACTGCTGCGGTCCTCGTCGCCGACCGAAGTCTCTTCAGAGGTTTCTGACAACGTCGTATCGTCCAAGAGATCCTCCAAGCCGGTGTTAGGTTTGCCCTCCTGGTCCTGGTCCTCCAAGTCGTGCTCACTACCGTTTTGATCATGGGCCAATTGCTCCTGCAGATCGCTTGAAGATGACGAGGCGGAGCTGTTGAGGAAGGCGAGTTCGTGGGCAAACAGTTTCGAGAGCTGCTCCTCCTCCTGTGTGAGTGGCATGGGGCCAAAGGGCAGACCATCCTCTGTTCCTGGAGTGAGGTCATCCAGCACGACCTTGATGTGAGTCCTCAAGTGCTTCTTGTCCTCTATTGTAAAGAGTGAGGGATTTGAGAAAGCGATGAATGCATGGGATGATGGATTAGTCACTCGGCGTTTTCTTTCTGTTGTCTGTGTCCATTTTGAGGGATATATCCGATGAAAGTATAAGAGCAGACATCAACAAAAGCGGATGGGCCCAAATAAGCCCAATGCACCACTCAGCAATGATGGAAAAAGAAGGTTGGAAAGGTTAAAGAAATAAAGGGGCGGATGCAGCAGGTGGAAAGTAGGACTGTGATGGGTCCAAAGGGTTCAAAGAAGGCAACAAAAGTAGAGGAGGACTCTTTGAACACCACACCCACACCAAAAAGGGAGTTGGGAGTAGGTGGATGCCTTCGAGTTGAGTCCAGTCCAACACTCCTGCCCTTATGAATCTCTATGTTACATTTATTCCAAGAAAAAAAAACCAAAGAGAAAGAGTTGATTACCGTCAAAAGAGTACTCGAGTCGTTGCATGTCGCCGGAGAGGGTTTGGGAGAGGAGGTTTTTGATGATGGGGGAGGGGAGGCCTCGGTCGTCGAGTTCCTTGACGATGGCGTTGATCTTTTTCTTGAGTGCCTTGTACTGGATCAAGTATGGCCGCCAGCCTTCTGGCATTGTCTCTGCGTTTGTCTCGAGGGCCTTTCCAAACTTCATTGCTGGTGGTGGATCTGATTCGTAAGAGTGTTGGAGATGGGAATGGAAGAGGTGAGGGGTGAGTGCGAGGGTGTGAAGCGGGTGTGATTGGGGTTATGAGAGGAGAGCGGGAGTAAGTGAGAATGAAGAAATGAGTGAGTAGGTGTGGAGCGTTAAAGGAAAAGTAGAAGGGAAAAAAAGAAAGGGAAGAAAGAAAAAAACGATGTGGGAGGTGTGTGTGAGCAAAGAAGGCAAGAAAAAACAAAGCATATTTGCCGCAGAAGCGAGACGAATGAGGAGAGGAAGAAGGGCCAGATGGATAGATGGATAGGACATCTTTTTGTTCGAGGTTCAAGCGCCGACTGATACCAATGACGGAGGAGTGGGGGCTTCTAAGCCGAGTCGAACAAGATCCCTCCGCTGTCTCCACGCCACCAAAAAGGGACCGCCCCTTTCCCTTTTAGCAATGGATCGACAGCCAATCCTGATGAAGGTAGAAGTATCTGCGCCGTGCTGTTCAACAAACAATGTTCTCTTTTCTTTTGACTGCAACGATGCATTTGATCAGACTGTTTTTAACAACAAAGAGCTTGTTGTAGGTTAGGTTGAAGGCGGGAAAATGGAAAAAAAGTGTGTGAGAATGATGATTCATCTCCAGGGGGACAATTGCCATTGCAGGTGGTCGCGTGAGGTGTTTGTCATTGTGCCTGCCTATTGAGCTGGCTGCATCATGTCGTGTCTTACATGGTATTCAATGTATCATGGCTGTTATCCTCAGAATTGTTGAAAATAGTAGTTGTGGGGAAGAGGTCTGGATAATTTTAGCGGCAAAATGACTGCCGTTAGCACCGTACAAGTGACGTTCTTAATCAAATTCCAGACAATCCACCTCTCCGTGTCGCGTTCTTGGCGGCCTTCTCTTTTCTGTTCCCTTTCCTTCCCTCCTTCCCTCCTTCCCTCCTTCTTTCTTCACACCTCTTCCCTCCATCACTTTCACCTCCCTTCTTTTTTTATTTTTAACCTCACACCCCCTCCACCCCATCTTTACTTCTCCAACTAACGCACCTCAACCATAATGAGTCTCCAGGTCAACTTCACAACACACGGCCATGACCTCAAGGCCGCCTACGAGTCCATCCTCAGACCCGCAGACCCCAAAACCAGCAACAACTGGGCAATGTTCGGCTACGACAAGGGTACCAACGACCTCAAGGTCCTCGGACAAGGCGACGGCGGACTCGAGGAATTAGAAGACGAATTCATGGACGGAAAGATCCAGTACGCCTTTACGCGCATCATCGACCCCAACACCGAACTCAACAAGTTCATCCTCATCGCATGGGTAACATCTCTTTTTTTTTTTTTTTTTTTCTTTCCTTCTCTCTTCTTCGCAGGTCTTGTGTCGAGAAAATGCACTTCCTTTACTAAAAATGACCAATTGCCTTCGTTAATAGTGCGGCGATGGTGTGCCAGAGTCTAAGAAGGGTTTGTTCAACTCTCACTTGGCCGACGTGTCCAACTTCTTGAAGGCAAGTGGACACAAAGAACAAAGAACAACGGAGACATGCACTCTGCTTGCAGAAAGAGCAATTGGTAAAATGCAAAGTTGGTTTTCTATCACTTCTATTAACAGCATTGGAAACCTATACCCGACTTGTTCATTTAATCACATAGGGTTACCACTTGCAAATCAATGCCCGCTGTGAGGCCGATGTCACGCCGGCTCAAATCTTGAAGAGAGTTAATGAGGGCTCTGGTTCCAAATATTCAATCCACAAGGAGACCTATGAGCAGGAACGTATTCGCCCTCTCCAGTCTGCCTATAAGAGGACAGAGATTCCAGACATTGCTGCCCTTCAGCGTAACCCTACCAAACCTGAGCCTGCCCCCAAGGTAAAGCGCCAGTTTCAACTTTTGCCTTACTCAATGTCATTTGTTTCTTTAAAAAAAAAAATGCCACACTAATTAATGTGTGGAACATAAATTGTGCTATTTTTCACGTTATAGTATGGCCTTGCAAAGTCATTTGGATCTACACCTTCGACCCCTCTACCTACAACGACAACGACTTCTTCGCCCGCTGTGGCGCGCTCATGGAATGCACCCGTTGTCAACACTCCTCCCCCAGTCTCTGCAGTCAAACCCGTTGAGCGCACATGGAAGGCTTCTGGAGCGTCGTCCTACACCGTACCAGGAGTGACTTTCAACAAGATTGCACCCCCAAGCTCCCTTCTCAACTACGGCAACAACAGCACCAACAACAGCAATACTAACAGTAGCAGCCCTGCTCCCTCTACAGTTCCAGCTACTCGCAACGAACCAACCATGAATAAGGCTCAGCAGATGCGTTTGGAGCGTGAGGCTCGCGAGAAGGAGGAGAGGGAACGCATTAAGCGCGAGATTGAGGCCAGCGAGGCCAGAGACCGTCAGACACAGGGACAGTCCAACACACTCAAAGAGGCCGAGGAGAAGCGTCTTCAGGAGGAACAGCGCCAGCACGAGCAGCGTGAACAGGAAGAGCGTCAGAGATCCCACGACCGTGCTCGTGACGAGCGCGAGGCACGCGAGAAGGAAGAGCGCGCAAGAGCTGATGCTGAGGACGCTGCTCGATCTGCACGCGAGGAGATGAAAGCTCGTGAGCAAGCTGCTCAGGAAGAGGACCAGAAGAGACAAAAGGAGCAGCAGCAGCGTCAACACGAGAAGGAGGAGAAGGAGGCTGCAGACAAGCGTGCCAAGCAGCAGCGTGAGGAGGACGAAAGACGTCGTCAGGAGGAGGAGGAAGAGGAAGAGAGGGAGCGTGCTGCACAGGCTGCTGCCGCTGCCGTCCACGCAACTGCTCAGGTTGCTGCTGGTTCTCAAGTGCCTCATGCTGGTCATGAGGCCACTCCTGACTCTGACTCTGTCTCTGCCGTTGTGTTGTATTCCTATGAGAAGGCCGAGGAGAATGAGATGTCACTGATCGAAGGCGAGATCGTTGTGAATGTGACCGTGCTGGATGTCGGTTGGTGGAGCGGTGAGAGTGTTGACGGAACTCGCAGTGGACTCTTCCCTGCTAACTACGTTGAGGTGATCGAGAATACCCAGGATCATGCTGCTGCTGCCCCTGCTGCGACTCATTACGAGGAGGATTTTGCTGCTGCTCACCATGTGGATGCCCCTGTTTCTAATGAACACGCTCATACTGAGACTGCTGCTGCTGGATCTTCAGGGCCTTCAGCTGTTGCATTATATGATTACGCAGCAGGCGAGCCCAACGAGTTGTCGTTCGCAGAGGGCGATGTGATCACCGATATTGAGTTTGTCACTGACGATTGGTGGAACGGTACCTCCAGCGGTGCCTCAGGACTCTTCCCTGGTAAGTACTCTTATGATGTTGATGTTGTCTCTTGTACTGCACACTTTTTTGGTTTCTTGCGCAGAGGTACTCATTGTCATTCCATTCCTTGCTTTCTACTTCTTAGCGAACTACGTTGAAATGCACCAGTAGATAGCCTAATCTTGCGCCACCAAAAAAATAATAGAATTTTGTTTACAAATCTTCCTTCCTTTCTTACCACACCTCAACTTCACCATGATCAACATCACAGACTTCTTCCCAGCACATACGCAGAACCACCTTACAGCCCAAGAGAGAATGCAAATCGACTCTTGTGCCGTTGGATCAAGCGTTTTACTACTCAACCTGCCCTTCCGGTAAATAGAATCGTATCTGACTCGTGTCTATTAAAGGGGCAAGAAAAAAAAAACAAATCATTTGAGAATTGTAACAAAAAGACTGACCCATCTTTTCTTTTTTTCTTTTTCCTTTTCCTTTTTTACGATAGATATGTACTCGAGTACGCCATGAACCACCTCCAAAGAATCGACAATACCAAGGACCACAGCAATACGACGCAGGCGGTCCTGATTGTCACAGACTCGCGAACAACTCTACAAGAGGTCATACGTCGAGAACGACAAGTTTGCAAGGAGCTTTATCCTTCCCTTTCCTCCTCCATCTCTTCATCTTCTAGTGAAGAAAAGACGGGTATGGATCCCTGGAGCCATTTGTGGCCTCTACCTCGCCCCTCACCTTTGGAAGAGTATAGCACCGAAACACGGCCTTCGTCACCGACCATGACACCATTGATCTCATCATCAGAGCATCAGCTAGAAAGCGAGGAATTGAAAACGTCGTTTAGAGGTGATCTGTGGGCAAGGATCCAGATCCGATACGCGCCTACGATCCGACATGTTCAGTCTTTATTCCGATGTCTGCATCTCGATCCTGGGTCGACTCAGGGCAAGACCTTTGGCAATGGTGGTGGTGGTGGTGATGGTGGGGGGGATACTCATGAATCTGTTGTTCCTTCGTCTTCAACCGCCACCTCAGGAGAAGTTGGAAGATCGGTAACCCGGCCAATGCCGACGTTAGTGATCCTGTTGGGTTGTTTTGGCCACGACCGCAGTTTGGAGACTCGACGGTTCTCGATGCTGGATATCGTGCCTGCTTTCGCCGGTCTTGGGACGTTTGATGAGAGGGAGTATTCAGTTGAGAAGGTGCGCGAGAAGGATGAGTCCGGGAGGCGTGCAAGGCAAGGAGGTGCTGATGAGAGGATGGGCCATTGGGAAGGACAAGTAGAGTCGTTCGCGCACAACAGTAACGATGATGGTGGAGAAGAAGAAGAGGAAGAAAAGGTTCTGGATGCGGAAGAACTTGAGGAACTAGAGTACATCCGGATGATTGCCAACACTATGGCAGAAATCAAGGATAGTCTTACTTGGCTCGAGCGTACTTCGTATGTACTCATTTGCATTCCTCAAATATTTCGAACCCCTCATTTCTGGGTTCGGGGAAGGGGATGGGGTTCAGAGAGACTGACGATGTTTGATCGAATCGATTGATTATTTTGTAGGGGACGCAAGCCAGAGCTGTTGATCGTCGAGGATACAGGGCAATACCATCCAGATCCCTCGCAGCTTCAGGCATCATCCAGATCCACGGCCACTCAACCGCAGCAACAGCAGCAGCAGGAGACAATGATGATCCCGACAGTCCGAGAGCTCTGGCTACAGACCGTCTTGGGGTTCTGGGTGGACGCCTTCATCAAAACAGAGTCGTTTTCGTCTTCCCAAGTGCAGCAGCATCAGCAACATGAACTAACGAGGGAATCGTACAGACTCTGGCTCAGGACACAGGAAAGTCTCAGTGCCGCGTTCACAACAACAGCCATGACAGCGTCACAGCCCACTTGGGCAGAGGAAGGTGGGCGTCTGTCCGGTGCTGGTGCTGGTGCCACTGCTACTGCTACTTCTATGGGAGCTGTCCTGGGAGTCCAATGGTACTTTGACAGCACAGGCGATCGTGTCCACTTTCAAGTTGTGCCGTGAAAATATATACAACCGTCGCAAAGAATCTGTGTGTGTCCATTTCTTTTATTAAGACTCCAGGAAAATGATAACTATGATGGTGGGTAAAATGGTTTGCTGGGGCTTCGTTGGTCGTTCGTTTCCTGGAATGTAGATTGCTTTTTCCAAGTTCGCAAAAGTTCCTGTTAAGGTTGTCCCTCCGCTTCTTCACTTCATTCTTTAGTTGGTTGCGATGGCTTGGAGGTATGCCTTACGGTAAGAGTTCTCATCACAAGGACCTAAAACACCAAAAAAAAAAAAAAAAAAAAAAAAAAAACGATCGGAGAGACGAGGCGCATTCACACAAAAAAAAAAGGGCACCGAGATGAAAGACGAAATGTTAGTCCTGTGCTCCGCTTCCTTGACTGCCAATCCAATGCTTGCATGACGACATATGGTCGCAAAATGAGCATTCATCTTTCTCGCTTACGGTTGAGAGGGGTCCAGACAGGGTCCTCCTTGAAGAGACGCATGGCCTTGAGGTAGTTGTTGGTATCAAGGGTGAAGCGGTGGTAGATTCCGGCGGGCTAATTTGAATATGTATTATGGACGACTGTCAGCAAGCGTGTGAAATATCAAGGAGGTTTGTATGAACTTATTGCAGTGTGATAGAATGAATCCTTACCAAGACGATCAAGTCTCCAGCCTCAACCTTGATTCTGACCCAGCGATCGTCCTTATCTATATTGCAATGACGATGTCAAACATAGCAGGTAAGTAAAAAAACATCCTTGAACGCCTCTAAGAGCCCAGAAGGTATAAAACGCATTCGCCATGTGCGTCAACATCCTGTTATCGGTTGTGAGGCTTACCTCTGATGTCAAAGTATCCAGTTCCCTCCAAGATGGCGCGAATCTCCTCGTCCTCGTGCAAATGCCTAACAAGGATAAAAAAACACCGAAAAAAAAAGTGGTTGGTCTCTGTTTTCACCTGCGCAGTAGTGCCCTGCCCCTTATGGTAATCATGCATGAAATGTTGGTTTTTCCGACACTCCAAGGCTTCGTTCAAGACAACAAATAGAGTCCTGCTGGACTGGACTTACTCGGCAAAGAAGGTCTTGATCTTGGCGTCGAACAAATCGCCCAAACCTTCCTTGGAGACAGTAATCTGAAAGATGATTGATTTTAGACAACATCAAAAGCGTGGGGAAAAGGTGTTTTGTTAGATATCTATACGAACTTTTCAACAAAACTTGCGGGGTAAGGTCTGAGGGGTCAACAACAAAGACAATTGCTCACCTGGTCGCGGTTCTTGTAGTTGCGGTCCTCGCAGATTTTGTCAATCTGGGCCTCAAAGTTCTCGTCCTTGAGTTTCCAGTAGAGGACGCCGGAGGCCGCGAGCTCCTCGGCCGAGACAGGGACCGAAGGGATCTGTTCGTGGGTCTCTCTGCAGTCGGTGTCGAGGTTGTCGTAAAGGTAGGCGCGCATTGTCTGTTATGTGTTGAGTGGGTGAGGCTGGAAAAGAAGGAATGGGTGTGATGTGTGAGAATCAGAGAAAAAGAAATGAATGAAAGTGAGTGAGCTTTTCTTGGAAAGGAAGAACAAAAAAAAAGTGCGGGTGTGCAGTTACAGAACAGGTTGACCATCGTGCATTTGGGGGTATTGCATTTGTAGAGTCTGTCGAAGCGCACGTGATATGCCACGTGCTTTGAAGCATTCCATATAGTCAAGCGAGAGCGAAAGCTTTTCTCGGAAATCAGGCGCCCGTTTTTGTGCGGTTGGGGGGGGGGGAAGGAAGGAAAGTGAACCTATGCTGTGCGAGCGAGCGTGCAGAGACAGGGTCGAGTAGAGTCTACGCTCGGGAAAAGTCGGTCTCAGGGTTAACACCCCTTTACAAAATTACCCGCGCGCGGCGAGTGTATAGTGAAAATCAAAGAAAGGGCGTTGTTGACTGGCAGAAGAGATCAAAAAAAGTGGATTTCGTTGGGCGTGAGGTGCAGAGGAAAGAAAGGGTTAACGCACCGGACAATTGAGGGAAAGCGAAGTCGGGGAGAAGGAAGGTTTGAGCAAAAAATGAAGAGCGATTGACAATATAGTGAAGGTTCAAGGGCAAGTTGACACTGTTCTCATCCTACAGATCCTTTGTTCCGCATACTAAAAAGAGGATCCGATTTTGAATCGTGAGGTTGTTGCGAAGTGCTGTGGATAGGAGAATAGGGAACAGCTGGATGTTCAGCGGCATATCTCTCGTTTTGCTGGGTAGATATGTCTGTCTTGTCGTTGTCGCAGTTGTTGTGTTATTGTTGTTGTTGTGGGAGGAGCAAAAAAAAAAAGTGAACTCCGAACTATCTCCTCACATTGTTATCTCACAGCTAATCGCCCTTTTATCGTCGTCCATATCCATTTCCAACAGCGGAATCAAAATTTCTTCTCACACACACACACATACACCTCGTTCCTTCTCTTTCCTCTTCCCCCTTTTCCCCTCTTTTTCTCTTTTCTTCTTCTTTTTCCCTCCACAGTTTGCCATCCTTTCTCCCTTCCTTGTCGCCCCATTCACATCTCACATCATGATCTCCTCTGCATCCGCCCGCCTCGCCATCGCCACCGGTCGCCGCTCCCTCCAGCGCGGTGCCGCCCTCGTCCCCATGGCCAGAGCTATCGCCTCCCACAACACTGTCCGCGCCTTCTCTGCCACCCCCAGGTAACACACCTTTCCTCTTACTCACCCACTCTCTCTCTTGCCCAACCCACCCAACAAATTCATACACACATACTCTCTCGCTCACACGACAAAGGAAAGGAAAAGAAAAGAAAAGACCCCCCTCCCCCGTGCTTACTCAACAAGACTAGACAATTTTTTGGTCACTATGGATTCTTGACGTCAACTATCTATCACCGTCAACTATCGTGCGGGAAAAAATGGATTGGTATTATTATTTGTTTCCCTGCAGATCTCCTTTTAATCCATGGACACGAACGCAACCTCGTTGGATCCAACCCTTCGCGTGCTGGAAAAACGCGGCTGCTTGAAAGGTGACCAGGAGCACGATCTGCAGATCACGAGCACGTTCTTATCAGGAATCAAAACAGAACGGCGACAGCCTATCCATGAGAGTATTGTGTGTGCTTGTGCGCGTTGTTATACGTCACCACGACGACCTTCGACTGGATAGACGCGGAACAGGAGCGGAAGGAATACAATCTTGTTGGCTAGGGTCGACGGCCATGGTTGATACTGTTTTTTGATCTGCCATATCAAGGTTGTTTCTTGGAAGAAAGAGAGGGGTTGAGGGTAGCGGAAGGACTAAAGGGGATGATTGCAAAAGCAAGGGATGTGAGGACAAGCACAAGCACGACAAGAGGACGACGCGGACGAAATCAATTCGATTACAGACAAGAGTTGTTTGTCCATGTGCGCAAGTGTGGAGACAAAAGGATGAACGGATGTTCCTAGCAGGATACTCCATGCGGCAATTACAATGAGACCACGGCGAAGGGTTGGGTGGTCACAGTGTTTGTTTTGTTTTTAGTGATAATGGAATGGGCGCCATGAATGGTGCAGGGGTTGCAAAGGACGGACGTAATTACGCCCTGTGTGTTTGTGTGTCTACTTGACGTGTTTGTGTTGCGTTGATGATCATATGGATCTGCAGCGATGTGATATGATGAATTGTCCCTTGCGCTCGATTTGAAACCCCAATCTTTTTTTGGTTTCCAACTCCAACTTTTCTTTTTGGTTTGTGGCCCCGAGTATCGCCGATCTAAATAGCCCCTTGTGGGTGTCTTGTTCAATCGCTAATGCTTCTCTTTCAACATTGCTATGATGGTTATCCGCTTAATAGTGCCCCCCGTCACATCCTCGCCATCCCCTCCGTCTCCCTCAAGACCAACATGGCCCGCTTCTACAGCTCCAAGTGTATGTCAACACATCCTCTTGTTCTTCATTGATTTTGTGATGGGGAAGGAAGCGACCAAATAATTGGATCTCCCCACGCCCTCTTTGCTCTTTGCTCTATTTATTTTTCTATCGTCCTCCTTGACTCTTGCAATGCGTCCAAATACGCGCTGCCCCAACCTTAATCGCCCGTGATTGTGGGTGTGGGTGACAGAAAAGGACGACGTCGGCGAAAAAATAAGAGATGGCCAGAGAGCATTACTGGAAAATTAAGCGACAGTGCTAGGGAGTGGAAGATATCGAAACCCCCTGTTATCTTGTTAGAAACGTGAATCTAACCAAGGCCTTCTATCTCCTCTTAATAATCACGGGAACATATAGCTTACCCCACCCATATCACCATCAGCATGCCCGCTCTCTCTCCCACCATGACCATGGGAAACATTGGAACCTGGCAGAAGAAGGTCGGTGATGTCATTACCCCCGGTGACGTCCTCGTCGAGATCGAGACCGATAAGGCCCAGATGGACTTTGAGTGCCAGGAGGAAGGCTACATTGCCAAGATCTTGGTCGAGTCTGGCTCCAAGGAGGTCAACGTCAACCAGCCCATCGCCATCATGGTCGAGAACAAAGAGGATATCGAAAAGTTCGCCGATTTCACCGCTGCTGATGCCGGTGCTGCCTCCGCTGCCCCCGCTGCCACTGAGGAGAAGGAGGCTCCCAAGGCTGAGGCCCCCAAGGCCGCTGCCCCCAAGGCCGCTGAGGTCGTCAACGCTGCTCCTTCCCGCTCCGATGCCGGTAAGAACTTGATCATATTCTCGTGACAGGCGCTGAAGGGTGGCAGGTCAACAAGCCAATGGTTAAGAACAACCGAGCGCTGACACTACCCATTTGTTTTGAACTTTTAGAGCGCATCTTTGCCAGCCCCATTGCCAAGAAGATCGCCAACGACAAGAACATCAACTTGAGTGACCTTTCTGGATCTGGACCCAACGGCCGCATTCTCAAGGCTGATGTTGAGAGCTACACCCCTGCTGGTATGCTGCCTTTCGTTGATATATGTTTCGGGATCATCGACTCGTGGAAAAGACGTTATATTTCAGGAGACCAGTTCACTAACGCTATCTAACCGACGATGATGATTTGGAAATAATAGCCAAGGCTGCCCCCGCCACCAAGGCTGCCCCCGCCCCCGCTGCTCCCGCTCCCGCTGGCGCTGCTTACACCGATATCCCCCTCACTAACATGCGCAAGATCATTGCCCAGCGTTTGACCGAGTCGAAGCAGAACGTTCCTCACTACTATGTCACCGTCGAGATGGAGATGGACAAGGTCTTGAAGCTCCGCGAGGTTCTCAACAAGTCCTCCGAGGACAAGTACAAGTTGTCGGTCAACGACTTCATCGTCAAGGCTTCTGCCCTTGCCCTCAAGGCCGTCCCCGAGGCCAACAGCTCGTGGATGAACGACTCTATCCGCCAGTACCACACCTCGGACATCTGTGTTGCTACCTCGACCCCCACTGGATTGATCACCCCTATTGTCGCCAGCGCCGAGACCAAGGGATTGGCCACCATCTCCAACCAGGTCAAGGACTTGGCTTCCCGTGCCCGCGCCAACAAGCTCGCCCCTCACGAGTACCAGGGCGGCACCTTCACCATCTCCAACATGGGCATGTACGGTATCAAGCACTTCACTGCCATCATTAACCCCCCTCAGTCCTGCATCTTGGCTGTCGGAGCCACCGAGAAGCGCGTTGTCCCTGGTGCTGAGGATGGCGAGTACCGCACTGCCTCGATCATGGCTGTCACCCTCAGCTCTGACCATCGCACCGTCGACGGTGCCGTTTCTGCCCAGTTCTTGAAGGCCTTCAAGGGTTACATGGAGAACCCCTTGAAGATGTTGTTGTAAAATGACTTTTCTCTCTCTCTCTATTTTATACTTTTTTTTTCCATTTCGTTTTTTGTTCACACATCCACATAGACCCCACCCCTCCATTCCTCCTCTTCCACGCTCCTGTTCAAACTTTCTCTAATGTACACAACCTTTCCCCCCTTCCCACGCCGTTTCTCGTAACGGTTGCAAAGCATCCAAATAAAAATCACATATTTGAAGAAAAACACAGGTCTTATTATTAAGTGACTAAAAAGGGGGTAAAGAGGTGAACTAATTAGAAGATGGCGAGAGTTGCAAGCAGACCAAGAGCCAGGGTCAAAATACCACTGGCAAGACCGTTCGCACTGTTTCCACTTCCGGATCCTCCTCCAGCCTTCAGACTGGCACAGGACAAGGCGCGGTCGGGGACAGGGGTAGTAGTATCGGCAGCAGTACAATTAGCGCTCGTCAACAGCTGCATGGTCTCATTCTTGGCAATGTTACGGATCCAGTTGTACTGCGATATCGTGAACAGTTCCGGATGGACAGCACGGACAAGGTCCTGAAGGACGGCGTCGTCCATGGCCACGGCGCCTCCGAACCAATCACGGCCGTCGTTGGGGTTGACCAGTCCATCTTCTCTAAAAACAGCCTTGTTCTGGATGAACTTGAGAGTGGATCCGGGTGCGGCTGTGGTAGAGAGTTGGTAATTCTCCAAGAAGGCGTCGTATGTAGATCCACTGACGGATTCGTCAATCAGGATATCGACCGTCTGAACCGCGGTCGCAAAGGCAGCAGAGGTCGAGAAGGTAGAAGAATCAGTACCGTTAAAGAAGGTCGCACCAGCATCAGTGGAGAGAATACTCTTGTAAGTAGCACTCGAGAGGAGCCAAGATGCAGTGTTGTTGTTGTAAGAGGAAGGTGCGTCGTATGAAGCCCAGGCGATGATTGGTTTTGTGGTTGCTTTTGTTGTTGCGGCGGATTTGTAGCAGTTGTAGTTGTTGTTGATTGAGGCTGTGAGGGTTTGGGCGGCTTTTTCGGCATTGAAGAACGTTGCGTAGAACTCGAGCCATTCCGCGCGCTGGAGACGGGAAATGTGTGTGTGTGTGGGGGGGGTAAGATGGGTATGGGTTTGTGTGTTAGTGTTTTGGAATTTGGTTGTGGATACGCGCTTTGGGCGCGTTTTGTTTGTTAGTCGAGTCGCTTGGTCCCTCATCTCTGAAAGCATAAAAAAAAAAAAAAGATGGTCAGGAATGAACAAAACTTACGTTCAAGGGGCTCGAGTCCTCAACCTCAGAAGTAATCACCGTCTTGTTCTCCGTCCCAGGGTCAACACCATACGAACTAAACACAACATCGACCTTCGTCATCTGTTCAGCCCTCAATGTACTATTCGAATCCTCCAACCCCACAATCGTGCCCTTCTCCAATCCCGCCTGGACACATGGGGAAGAAACCAACCCCTCAGTGTCAACAGCCTTGATGGCTGCCTGTTTCCCAAGCATTTCGATATAAGAGACAGCAGTGGTGGCGAGGGAGGCAAGGTTGGTGACGGGGATTTGGATAAAGATGGTGGTGTTTGTTCGAGGTACGATGGTTGCATTTGGGGTGGGAGTTCCGCATTGAGTAAGGATGTAGGTGGTGTTGAGGGAGGTGTTTTTAACGACTTTGTAGTTTAGGTTGTAGGTGATGCTGAACAATGCGCCGCCGTCGACTAGTTGCGTTGGTTTGGAGGCGAAGGAGCGGTGTTTTTGGTTAGATGATAAAGATGCTTTTGGTTTTGTCTTCCGTCGTCGGGCGAGAATGGCATGTGCGGAGGGTTACCTTGGGACTTGTCAAGGAAGTAGTCCTCAGTGGGGTCGTAGGTCGTGACACAGGCCGTGCTCTGCTGTCCGCAGGTTGGGACAACCAGGAAAGGGGCCAAGAGTAAAATAGCGGCGACTGCCTTAGTGATCATGCAACGTGTGGCCTTGTTCTGAACAGCCATTGTCAGAAACAAAAATGGTGGTGCGAGGATGGAAGGGGAAAGAGGAGTTGACAAAGAGTGAAGAAAAGAAGAAAGAAGCAAGAGAGAGAAAGGAGTAAAGATATTCGTCCGTTGCAATTTAGCCGGTGCGCATCTGTTGGAAAAAATAATAATGGCGCTTGGACTCCGGACTTTTGTCCTTTCGAAAGCAAAGTCGAGAGCTTTTCTGCGTTTTTGAGAAAAGAGATGGACCCAGGCCCCCAGAAGAAGGTCTATCGTCTGTTGTATGTGCATCTCTCAACTCCATATTTCAGAACGCGTCGAAGTTGACGGTAGTGGTGGCTCAAATGGAAAAATCGCTAGAGTAATAGACCAGCTACGTCTACGGTCATCAAGAAGGCTCTTCCGCTTTCACGTTTTTTTTCCTCCAGGGCAAAGAGACATCCATCTGCTCGCTGACAGGAATGGTCTTTACTTTTCAAGAGGACGCGCCGTTTGATGATGTTCAATTGCTTCTGGCGTCTATTGTTCTTGCGTTATGTACGGGGACAACACAAGCCTTCGGAAATACGATTTGGTATAAAGGTGTAAGCTGAAAAGATGAAGAGAATGGTTGTCAGTCAGCATTTCTGGTTCCTTGAGTGTTGTTCGGCGAGGATGATAAGCATGATCCATGATCAATAACCAGGCGCCTGGCGGATCCTTTGAGTTTGTCGAGTGACATTTTGTTCCTATGAATCCTCAGTCGCGACTTGGTCGTTCTCTTTGTTGGTTCCTGAAAAGTCTTTTGATCTGCCTTCTATTCCTTATGCTCCTTGGTTTTTTGGTAGCAAAATAAAGTGGCAGCTGACAACCGCGGCCTCTCAAATTGATGTAGGGTTGTGTCTGAATCTCAACAAATGAACTGTTTGGAGTTGAAATATTCTCCTCAACACGTTTCTTAACGATGACTCCTTTTTATCCTGTAAGGAGCTCCGATCGCAATTGAACAGCGGCAAGAGAGAGAGGGAGATCATGTTGTTAACATTCAATTGATTCTGCCGTGATTATAGTGACTTCCTGCGACAGAAGATCCCGATGTGGATCCGCCATGGATAAACCCGATAAGATTCTGGGGAGTATAAGTGAAACAAAAGGTGATGGTTAAGACTGTATCTGACACACATCCCTGAGTATGTGGTCGCGTGCTTTGGATGTGTTTCTTTGATGGTTGTGATGGAAGGAGAGGGAGAAAGGAGGAAGAGAAAGAGGGAGATTAGCTATGAGTCCTGTGGTCATTCAGGGGGGAATAGAGTTGCCGTTGATAAAAAGGGTAGAACCTTTATTTGACATGCTAATTATCCTCGCGTCTGATAGTACTATCGGTATGAACAGCCAAGAACAAGGCCATCTAGGTAACCAAAACAACAAAGAAAAATAGACTAGAAACCGCCCCTTTGAATGCGCATAAACTTATCTCCACCCCACATTCCTGCTACCCACGACATTGATTCCAACATTTTGGGACAAAGACATATCAAAGGCAGTTACCCGACTGCTACGCTGCCTGGTACACCTCCCAACACGGCTTTCAGTGCCAGTGGGTAACGGACTTGCAACCACCCTCTGTAGCGCAAAAGTCCACAGAGCAGGGTCAAGGCTGAAGGGTGGGGTCTCATGCACCTTAGGATGGGCAGACATGAGCGCTTTCCAGAGGACTCCGAATACGTTGACGGAACTGCGTTGTTTTGCCGAGAGGGCAAAAGTAAATCACAGACATCAATCTGGAGATCCTCCTAAGGACATCTGCATTCAAGAAACAGAAGATTTGGTGAATGGTTCTTGTGAATCAAGTGTTAACGTCCTTGCACTTCCCTTTTGATCGAACAGGCTATTTATGAAAGATAGACCTAAAGAGGGTTCGAGTCAGACGAGAAAAAGACAATTGAAAAATGTGTTAGAAAGACCGACTTTCCAGAGAGTGCATAGTCCATCCAACGGATCTCCCGCAATTCTTCCTATTCGCTTCCCAACAATGAAGGACAATGACATTAAAAATATCAAAGGCAGCTGACCCCTGCTACGGCTGCCCAGTGCACCTCCGAACGGACTCCCAAGTGCCTGTGGTTAACGTCAATAAATATACCATGGGCCACTGGAAAGCGACTACCCTCTTTAGTCCAAGAGGCCACAGAGCAGGGTCAAGGCTGCAAAGTGGGGTCTCTTGCACCCTAGGAGGGGTAGACATGAACGCTTTCCAGAGGATTCCGCGGTATTTTGGCGGGAAACTACGTTGCTTTTGCCAAGAGGGCAAAAGCAAGACCACATCCACCAATCTCGGGAGCCTCCTAAGGACATCTACATCCAAGAAACGGTACCGACAAAGTGTTGGCGAATAGTCCATGCGAGAAATTCGTTGAAGGGAAGTCGATGGTGACGTTTTTTTGCACTTTCCTTGAGAAAATCTAAAAGACCGAGAATAGCGAGTGCCGACTCCTGAGTTTGGTCTTGGATCGCGCAAATGATCAATTGAATCGAAGTGGTTGAAGACAGGAAAGGAGTAATAGCGCACGAGATGAGGGAGTAGAGTGATGGAAGTTGAAGATGGAAATAAGTTCATTTGACTGATGGTGGCTGGCCTAGTGGCTGAGACTATTAGGCCTGAAACTAATAGGCTGGTTCAAATATCACCAACCTGTCTCAAACCTGGAGCCGTTATCAATGGTGGTACCTAGCAGACCCGTTCCTGGATTCAGAAACCGACGTCCATTCACTTTCATCGACGTCCATCGTTGCCAATTTGAACCGCTCGTTTTAGTGCCCTCATCGTCGAGAGTTCAACGCCATGGCACCATCGACCTTAGGTCCTTAGGTCAGCCACACGTCTCGGTGGCGGCGGCTTGTACATTTGCTCTCCGCAGCTGAGTCTCGACGTCAATTGAGAGCGAACGTTGGCCAAAGCACATCATTTATTAAGACAAAATTCACTCAGCTTGATTCCTCATCGACCTTCAACCATGACCTCTACAACTTTGACAATGGACCCCCGCAACGAACACGTCCTGGTAAGTCGCATATATTACCAAGTTTTCCTGTCCACGGCACAAAGTGAAAAAGGTGGAGGGACACGTCCTGATGCCAACGCTGTTACGCCATCCAACACTGTCCTTGCATCAACCTTGCCTGTTGGACGTCATGAGACCCATGAGACCCACGAAATTCACACGCTAGTGAACCTTGTCAGAGCCTGGTCCTGATCCAATTGTTTGCCTTGAGTGAAGTTGTAATCGTCAATCCTTTTGATCCTTGGCGAGTCCAATCCATTGCCGACATATCGCGGAGTCATTGTCGTGGCACTGAATAACGTGAAAGTCAGTGAGAGCGCGTGATGGGATGTGAGAGGCGAACGAGAGAAGGCTGCTGGCACTGCTGCTTCCTGTCCTGAATCAATGTCATCACCCAATATAATAACCACAGTTGGACCACCGCATGTTCACAGTGCTACACCTATTGAAGAGAAACGGCAACAAAAGCGATGCTAATCAATTTGCATTATCCTTGTCAATCAACCCACAGAGAGAATTTCAGGCGGGGACGTTGCCTCTCGTCATTTACCAAGGCACTACCATGTACACATGCGACACAAGACTGGGAGAAGGTGCCTATGGGTCGTGCTATAAGGCAGCCACGGAATATGAACGGTGCGTCCTGAAGATATCGTATTGCCCTCCCGAGAAACCCAACAGCAAGGTGGTAGCCACAAACGAAGCTCAAATCCTGTCTACCTTGAGCCATCCATACATCGTCCAGTCCCACAGGAGCTTCGAGGTGGGCAATCTGACCATCCTCGTGCTAGACCTGTATGAAGGCGGGGTAAGTTTGCATTTGTAAAAAATGTCTTGAGTCTTGAAACACGTATGCTTATATCTCTGTGTACTAACCAACTGACATCTTGCCACATAGGATTTGCATGCCAAACTCGCGTGCAGTAGGGTTAACGGGCAAAAATCGGGTCTTCCTGAGGCTGAAGTCTCCAGGTGGATGTGGCAGGTCCTTGAGGCGTGCCTATATCTCCATAATGAACTCGGCTTGGTCCATAGGGACTTAAAGCCCGCCAATGTTCTCTTGGATGATCGTGGAAACGCCCGAGTTGCCGACTTTGGCTTTAGCTTCTATCTGTCGGATGATCTAATGACGTAAGTAATGGGATTTACAATTTGAGTCCAAATGATGTTTTACAGCAGTCATTACATACATTCTAACCAACCACTACATGCTTACACAACGTATAGCTGCCGTGCTGGGACGCCTGGGTTTTGCGCCCCAGAGGTCCTTGCAAAAAAAAATTATGGCGAAGAAATCGACGTGTTCTCGTACGGAGTAATGGTTCGCCAGCTGCTTTACGGGATACACCCTGTGAGCAGGAGAGAACTGGAGGGAGGAAGCGCCGCGGCAAGGAAGTTGATAAACGACTGCATGAAATCCCAGTGTAAGTCTCATCTAAAAGGTTATGTTAGGTGAACAATAGCGATTGTTTAGTAGCCGTTAATTAACACCCATCGTTGTTGGGTTTTTTATGAAACCCTGCTCCATGACATTAGACCAGCGAGTATCCTTCGCCGAACTGCGAGAGTACGAGTTCTTCGCTCGCTGGAGGAACGCCAACGTCAATGGCAAGCGACCCCTGCGAAGCAGCGACACCAATGAGGAACCCAAGAAGCGCTTAGCACTTTCACCCTCATCAGTATCCGCTTCCGTGCCCGCCTCCGTGACCCCTAATGTCCACGCTGTCGCCTCCACCACCTCGCACTGCCATGTCGCCGAGGCAGCTCCAGAGCTGGTTGAGGAGCTGGCTGGTCTCCCTCATATCCCGATTGCCGAAGACCCTATGCCATTCTGGATGGTATTGATCACACCCGACCCCGACCTGGTGTTCATGCTCGCCGTCGCCCAGATGGATCCCCTGAACGATCCGTTGAGTTTGGCTGTGGGTGAAGACCAGCAGGAACTCACTGACTTTGGATTCCTGGACCAGCTCTGCAGTACTCACGAGTCGTGATTTGGTGGCCGGTGTCGGCTCCGCAGCAACGACGCCCTACTTTGTCTTCTCTTTGTACCTATTCGTCATATTTTCTTCACCCATTTTTCTCTCAACCCCATGTATATATTACTCTGTCTTCTCTTTGTACCATACTCGAATATTTCCTTCACCCATTTTTCTTTTCTCTCAATCCCATGTATACATAGTACACTTTTATCTTCTCACTCTTTGCACATATGAGCGACAGTCTACATGACTTCGTCCTCCCCCGGCCTTTGCGCCCCTACATGTATATAGTACACAACCTCAATATAATATACTCTTTTTCGCCCGGTGGCGCTGGTTATAACAGCCCACGACTTACCCCACATCATGAACCCAGAGTCATAAAGTGCTACGCAATTGAGCGTCAACCGGAGACTATCATCTCATGGTATGCGGACAGCTGCAGAGGGAGAAACAAACAAGCAGAGGAAACGGACAAGAGGGTGCGTAAGGAATAATTAGGAGGTGTGAAAAACGAGGTAGTTGGAGAACAGAACAACAGGCGAGGTGTGGTCAAGTACTTTGTGAGGTGACAAGAGACTTCTATTGGCGACTGGGCAAGCGAAGGAGGAGGTAAGGGTGTGTAAGAGAAGGGTGTCGTTGTGGTTGAAGTTCTTTCGGGTGTCAAGTGAAGGGACAAAGAGCGGCCAAGTCGACAGACATACAGGTAGATATCTGGTGTTTATATTGTGAGTGTGTTCAGAGCGCCTGACAAGGAAAGTTTTGCGAACGTGGTAAGAGATATCGAGTATGTTGCAGAGTGAGGGGAGTTGTGTGTCGTGAAGGAGATGGCGAGTTGGTGGTCAAGCAGGCGTTGAAGAAAGGATGGGAGAAGGAGTGTGAAGTGCAAAGTGGTGAAGTGCGAAGTGGTGAAGAGAAAAGACGGCGTCAATTGTTCAAAATAAAAATAAGACACACATCCACTCACACTTGAACTTGTGAGATTAAGGGGCATTTTGTTGCAGTCTTACGAGGCTTATTGATTGTGGTCATAGCCTATAGAGCACTCTTATTGTGGTGTGCGAGTTAGCCTCCTCGTCTTTCTTCATACAAAAGCGCATTTCACTGACCTAGGGCCCCGACCGCTGACAGGAGTTAACATCTTGTCATATCTACCACGCCTTCATTCCCCTCGGTCTGTTACTTCAGAAAAACGAGGCAAAAAGAACCGATCGATCGAACTGACCATTGGTTCGGATACGTTTGAAATAAAAGCATGATTCAGCATCCCTCCTTTGTGAAGGTCCACTTGAACAGACCGTGCGCACTGGCACTCTTTTTGTACTTTGCCTTTGTTCACTGCATAAACGGACAAATGTCAAACAGAGAAGTTAGTCTGGTGGAACTTTCGTGATGTCAACCGGCAAAAAAAAACTCGGTGTGGTTCTTGGTTCCTCCGTCTGTCCGCCTCAGGCAGGTACATTCGGGGACCAGAGTAAGCAAGAGGGAGTGGTTAATGGGCGCAATTCCCGCCGTTGCGACAGCAGGCCTGCAAGAAAATGAGTCGTATCGGCGATCGCAGCAATCCCCGATAGAAAATAATCGCCGAACGCTAGAACCCACAGTTGATGATCAGGGCGAAGGCGACTGTTTATTTGCTGCCTGTCAACGACCGTGACCAGATTCGTCCATTGATCGACATTAAAGGGAGAGGCCACCGTCGACAACAAGAACCTAGCAAGACGAGAAGCCAAAGTCGCGTCAGCTAAACTACTATTACAAACCCATGGTTTCCGAATGGTGCTGACGCGAGAAAGGTACAAAGAAAAAGTACAAGAGCACCTTACTTGTCCTGTGATAAACTTTGCTTGAGCTAGGAAGAGGGCAGCTTCGGCAACATCGTCCGCTTGGCCCAGACGACCAAGGGATGTTCTTGCAACTATGGCCTTCTTGCGGTCCTCTGGTATGCCTTTATGGTTGCATCAGCAATATATAACACGAACGAGAAAGAGAGAGAGAGAGAGAAGCGTCAGAATTAAGTACAGGGATGATACGAAGTAAGAAAGAGTAGGTTTATGGTCAAGGAATGGGAGAGACCATCTATACAACGATATCGGAAATCAATCCGCCGTGCAAAATAACGTTAGGGAGTGGGTTTGGTTGACAGGGCGTTGGTTGTTTTTTTCAAGAAAATCGATTGCATTGAATCCCTCTTGTCTCTCTCACATAGTCATCGCCAATTCATCACACCTCCATCATCGCAATAAACTTCGCCCAGTTCCCACTCTCTTCATGAACCCCCCCCCTCACTGCCGCCACTGACGCTCCTGACCTTGCGGACGAAGAAGATGTCGACTCAAACGACATGGAGGAACTGGATGAGACAGGGTTTACTATTACCCGTCGAGCACCAACTACAATGACCATGGAGGACGAGGAGGAGGAGGAGGAAGAAGAGGAAGTCCCCGATGTAGGACCCTCAACAACCAAAAAAGTCACCAAAAGGAAGGCCTGTACCAAAATCAAGAAGGGTATCCCCGAGCTGCCTGAAGCACCTTTCTTCGACAACATCTTCCTTCACGGGAAACCAGCTCACGGAGGACACCCCAACCTACCATCTGCTCTTCGCCTCGACCAGGTATTCCCTCCACTGCGTATCTTCTCTCTTTTTTTCACCGACGCCGTTCTCACCGACATTGCCACCAACACTAACGCATATGCCGCATTGAAAGGAGCCGGACTGAATGAGGGGTCTCGCAAGTGGAAGGACACGACACCAGGAGAGCTCCGTATTTTTATCGGCATCATCATCTACCTTGGCGTCTTTGTTCCTCGGGGCCCAGTTCAAGACCTCTGGACAACATCACCACGTCTCCCCAAGCATGATATCCATCATTTCATGACCGTCCATCGCTTTCAGCAGCTGGAGCGGTTTCTTCACATCTCCTCTCCTCTTACCACCGAAGAACATTGGTACTCCAAACTCGAGCCCCTCTCTTCCAAGCTCTCCGCTGATTTTAGTCGCTTCTACATACCCTCGACTAATGTCTCCGTCGACGAGATGATCGTTCGTTTCTCAGGGCGCAGTACACACACCGTCAAGATGAAGAACAAGCCCACTCCTGAGGGCTTCAAGATCTACGCACTATGCGAGTCGGGATACACCTTCTCTTTTCTCTACTACTCTCGAATGAAATCTGTCATCGGAGTGACCCCCATCGAGGGCTTGAACCCAACATCATCTGCCGTTGTTCATCTTGCCCAATCCCTCCCCTCCACCAAATACCCTTTCAATATTTATATGGACAATTTTTTTTCCAATGTTCCCCTTTTCAAGCACCTGCGCGACCTCAAGATCGGTGCTTGTGGTACCGCCCGTATTTCCTCCAAGCAATTCCCTCCAGCCCTCAAGGTCGACAAGAAGGGCAAGTTTGAATGGGACACACTCTCTGGCGCAGTCGTCGACAACGCCGTTCTTGCTGTTGTATGGGTTGATAATGCACCTGTCCCCATGCTCAGCACCATCCACCAGATCACTGGTGAGGAGTCTCGCATCGCCCGTCTTCGTTTCCGACCTCGCACCACCAGTACCAATGCCGTCCGTGCCCGAGGTCTTCAATGGTCAACACTGCGCCGTTTTCAAAATCCCCAAGATCATTGACGACTACAACCACAATATGAACGGGGTCGACTTGAGCGACCAATATAGATCGTACTACAACACCCAGTTGACTGTTTTCAGGACTTGGATGCCACTCTTTTTCTGGATTCTGGATACCACCATTGTCAACGCATACAGGATCTACAAAGCACAGGGCGGCGCTCTCTCTCACCGAGATTTTCGTGTTGAATTGGCCTGGACTCTGGCGTCCGAAGGCAACATAAACGACTCCCAAAACCCCAAGGCAACTCGTCAACACCACCAGAAGCAGGATGATCATGAAGCGTCCAAGAGCACTGTGTATGTTACCCAAAACATGCCTGATCTGCCCGCCATTCGACTCCTCAATAAGGGCATGCACTACCCACACGCGGAGCAGACAGACAAGAGTCGCCCAAGCTGTATCCTTTGTCGCTACAAGGCTACCAAGTTGAAGGACGAGAACTTCAAGTTCAAGACCCCAACGTATTGGAGTTGTACCTACTGCAAGGTGCCCTTGTGTCTTTCTGCACAGCGAAATTGTTTCAACGAGTATCATGGTATTCCATAGCTCACTACCCAAAACTCTCCAATCTTCTGTCCCTCTTTGACAATAATGCAAGATACAAATGTATATAATGAACAATATAAAAAAAACCCCCGGCTCTAGACCCAGTACCTGGTCCCTGGGACCTTCTGAAAGTCGCCCTTTTTTCACACTGTTAACATATGGAATGGCACGTGATTAGTTCCCAAAAAAATGTGTTCCAGAATCGATATCAATCGGTGGGATAGTGACTTCCTGCGACAGAAGATCCCGATGTGGATCCGCCATGGATAAACCCGATAAGATTCTGGGGAGTATAAGTGAAACAAAAGGTGATGGTTAAGACTGTATCTGACACACATCCCTGAGTATGTGGTCGCGTGCTTTGGATGTGTTTCTTTGATGGTTGTGATGGAAGGAGAGGGAGAAAGGAGGAAGAGAAAGAGGGAGATTAGCTATGAGTCCTGTGGTCATTCAGGGGGGAATGGAGTTGCCGTTGATAAAAAGGGTAGAACCTTTATTTGACATGCTAATTATCCTCGCGTCTGATAGTACTATCGGTATGAACAGTCAAGAACAAGGCCATCTAGGTAACCAAAACAACAAAGAAAAATAGACTAGAAACCGCCCCTTTGAATGCGCATAAACTTATCTCCACCCCACATTCCTGCTACCCACGCCATTGATTCCACCATTTTGGGACAAAGACGTATCAAAGGCAGTTACCCGACTGCTACGCTGCCTGGTACACCTCCCAACACGGCTTTCAGTGCCAGTGGGTAACGGACTTGCAACCACCCTCTGTAGCGCAAAAGTCCACAGAGTAGGGTCAAGGCTGAAGGGTGG